GCTCCCCTGCTAAAAAAAACAACTAAACAACAAACGTTTAGCCGTTTAATGGAAAACCCATTCGTTGGCAAAAAGTAAGTTAAAGTCCTAATATCCAAGCAACATGTTCCACAGTTTTGATCACCCCCCACATGTTTTTAAGACTCGGACCGAGGCTCGGTGATCCAGGTCTTTTCCACCGACAAGCCCCCGAGCGCGTACCACGCGCACCCTGAGAAGTGGCACAGCAGCGCGATCACCGCCAGCTGCCTCGCAGCAGTCGCGACAAAACCCTCGACTCTCGCCGCAGGGAGGCGTTTTTTTGCCTTTTCCCCTGGCAGCTGAAAGCGTGTTGAGGGTTGCACTTAAGGATGCCACCTGCGCTTAGTTTTTGAATTCTGAGCCAGGGAGCTGAAAACATCTGAAAGCTGAGGGGTCGTAACTTCAAGTGGGTCATGGGTCAAAAATAGGTACCCAAAATCGAACCCTGGTAAATGGAAACATGGACTAAAACCTGTGGTCCAATTCCTGGTGGTTTAATTTTTACTCACACCCAAGTGAATGAAGAAGTCTTTCAGCCAACAGCTGGAAGATTTGGGGTCTCTGCGCAGAAGGGGTTCCAGAAGATTCTGGAAGGGTTCCAAGGGAACCTGTTGCGGGCCACCTGTCTTGTTCCTTATTTGTATTTGTGTTCATTGGTCGCCTTTAATCAGCCCAACATCCTTGTGGAATTGAGGATGTCTGGTCACTTCAAGACAAGTGGTTACTCATAGTCGTGTAAAGTAGGGTTCTAATCTTTATGACTAGTTCGTCACTTTCAAGTGCATTGCGCTAAGGCCGTCGCAGAAACATGATGTCCGAAGCAACCCAACGCACTTACGGAAACATGGTTGGGAAAGCGTTGTCCACCTATTTTGGCCTCAGCACAGAAAGTGGCTTCTAATTGGGACCGCTGGGGTCAAGAGGAATAAGGAACAACTCTCATGTTCTCTTCTTCATTCCCAATACTTCCCGCAAGGCTCAACAAGGTCAACTTCAGGGCTTTGCCTGCACTACAGTTCGCTTGACAGGAGCCGTCGCACGAGAAACACTTCCAACACGCTTTGCAGATTGGAAGAACCATTGCCGCAATGGTGAAAGGACCCAACACAAGGAAGCATTGATGCGCTGTAAGCATCAAAACACCAAGAGATACATACTTTTAAGTTAGCCCCAAAAGGCAGGCTCAAGAGGTTTCATAGAAACCAGGCCCAGACCCCCACTAACCATGGGAGAAGAGTGCGCTTAAAAAAATGTCTACACTCGGATCTAGAAGGCTTCCCCACTTGGTGTCTGGTGAGGGTTTCTACACTCGGATCTGGATGGCTTCCCCGCATGGTCTGTAGCCGCAGGTTGTTACATCAACCCCTTTCGCTGTTCAGCGTCAAGCCCCCAAGTTCCCTTGGCAGATCCAGCAGGTGCCCTTGGCACCTTCGGAAAATGGTTGAAAACACATCAACACTGCGAGATCATGGTTGAAGGTGGTACTTGAGGTAAATGCTGGTCTTGTGATCAACCGATCACAGAGGGGCCCAAAAACAAGGGTCAAAAGGCACACTGAGTCAACTTGCGTGAAGGACGCGTGGTAAAGAATGACAAAAACATGGCTGAATCGCTCCGTGGAAAGCCTTCAGGATGGCTGCTGGAACAGCCGGTTATGGCACAGTAAGATCAAATCATTGGACTGTGTACCATGTCGAGCTTCCTCCTCTCACTTCTTGTGTCTGACAATGTTCAGATGGAGGCGTGGCTTTCTTTGTCAAGAAGATGGACGCAGAAGATCAACCAAACAGGCAGTCTGATGAACTTAACTTGGTGGATCATGTACACGGGGACTTCTGTCACACGTCCACCAACCGTTTTGGACGGTTCCAATAAAAATGTCACAGTCTCATTTGGGGCAAAGGATGTTTTCAGGGCACATTCTTTAGGTTGGTTGAAACTGACAACAGGAAAACCAATTTTTTCGCCTTGCCCCTGTGACGCATTACGCGTACGCAGCCCCCACCTGAGGATGATCATGAAGGTGGCGAGGTAGACTGAGGTCCATTCCAGGCCGTAGTCCAGGCCAACCACCATCTCCTGGAACCCATCCCCTCTAGTAAACCAGCATGGCACTCCCCCACCGCGTGGGGTGGAACCCCCCCCCAGAACAGGTCAATTCAGCACAGGTCCTCACATCGGCCCCTCACACATCGGGGGGCCCCTGTTTGCAGTTTCCCCAGGCTGAGACAACTACACGGATTCCGACTTCAAGCCGAGGGAAGTTCAATCGCGCAATGCAATTCTCCAATGCAACACAAATACTCCTTCATGTAGCCTTTGGACCATATATACATGTACGCCTTACGCTGCACAAACACAAGTACAAATACAAATACACTCGCACAACACACAAAAACAAAAACACACAAACACACAAACACACAAATACACACACAACACACACACACGCACCCACACACACACACAGTTTGTTTTCCCTGGCGACGCAGTCGTATGGGGTAAACTGTTCCTGTCATTAGCCTGGAAAACATTGCAGCAAAGTGGAAGGTATCTTTGGTATTGAAATGAACGAACTGAAGCGAGTCGGGGCAGTTGCGTATCGAGTAGGACATGTAGAATCCAGGCATGTCAAGTGATATCACATCAGTGCGGATTTTCCCTCTAGCTACTTCAACAGGGGTTACGCAAACAGCGCTTGAGGGCGAGGACCAAAAGGACATTCACCGATCACCAACACGGCAGGTACACATGTGATCAACATGCGTCCACCATCAAGCATAGTTTCGTTGGCCACTGTTTGCTTGATGCCCGATGGCCCCCTGCATAAAGTTGTAAAAGTTGGTTTCTGGGTGGCACACGCACATGCACACAAACAAACAAACAAAAACAAACAAACAAACAATAAAACACACAATCATACAACCACACAAAAACGCGAAGCACACAAAAAGTGGGCAAGCCCCCCTCCCCCCCCCCAAAAAAAAAAAAAAGAGAAAAGAGGGCAAGCCCCCCCCAAAAAAAAACAAATAATAGGGCAAGCCCTCCTCACCCCAAAAAAAACAAACAAACAAACAAACAACCAACGTCGGTTTCAGGTTGGGCATTCCTTGAAACCGCCCGCTTTTTGCCCCGCGCTCCTTGATGCGGGAAAGACGCCCGGCCATCTTCACCAGTCGAAAGATCCTCCAGGGTCCCGCCCACTGGGCTGGGCTGACTGTTCTAGGGGACACACAACTACTGGGCAAGCAAAGGTGATGCTTAAAAACACACTTGGTTGCTGTTGACCCCTCTGATCCCAGTGCTACTCCTTTGAGGTGAGTTCACACACTACCTATTACTCTAAGGGTTGCTTCCCCATTCTTTCCAGGGATCCGGATCTTTCTAGAAAACCTCCGGAAACCCAGGGAAAACGGATCCGGTTTTTGGAAAGCACCATGCTTGAAAAGAATGGAAACGGAATCAACCCCTAGAACCTCGTCTTTGCCACGAAATGAAGCTCAAGAGGAGAAAAACCAAGCAACTCGAGCAGCGCAAGTCCTAGGAACTCCCCTGTACACCCCAAATCAAGAAAAAGGGACATGGGACAAAGAAGGTTGATCTTAGGGGGAACCCTCACAAGTACCCAGTTTCAGCAGAGTACGACCAAGAGTCCTCAATGATACATGAGGATTCACCACCAACACGCGTTTTTTGTCCGGCTCCAACAGCGATTCAAGAGCCAAAGGTTTAAAGAGCACATATCTTAGGGCCTCACTGTGCTAAAGTCCCCAGAAACAAATGAGAAGATACTTCCAGTAGTGAAATCGATTTCCTTTAAAACCACCAAGGGAAAAGGAACAAATATTCACTTCAGCAAAAGGAAGAGACCTTACAAACGACCTCGAAATCGGTCCTCAGATTGCGGAAGAGTCGCAGCAGTGTGACGGTGGCCGCAGCCTTTTGGTCCACCAGAAACAGCGACACCACGTCGACGCTGAGCCTCGCAAAAACGAGCCAAGGGAAACCAACGATCCAACCGTTTACCCACCCAAACCGTGTGTGTGTGTGTTGCAAACAATCTCTTCTGTGCGTGTTACCTCAGCGTTCATCTTTTTCTGCCTTGTGAACCTGACACAGGCGAAATTCAGTCACAAGAGATCCCTGGATATGCGGTGAATTCCTCCAAGCTCGGAGCATCCAAAGCGTCCGAGGGGTATGGCTGCAAACCACCAAAGCATGTTTGGCAATGACTCCGCATTGCCAAACTTTGGCCATAGAACAGACATGGCACCCTCTTTCTCGGTTAAATCCAAAGGTGTAAACCTGCCACGGGGTGGTTGCTCTACCCTAAACGCGAGCGCGCGGCATGGTGAGATCCGCAAAGAGCCAAGTGGTGAGGTAGTGAAAGGCGATGTAGCCCAGCCGCATCTCCACGAAGCCTTCGGCCGGTCGGCCGGGGGAAGTGTGGGACTGAGGCTTGGGCTCGGGTAAGATGGGTTGAGGGCCGGAATGGTTGAAGACTTGCTTGGGTACACATGCGCACAGTTTTTTTTCCCAGGTAGGTGAAGATCCGACAAAGCAGCCAAGAAAGGGAGATGGTGGCGTGTTTCCAAATTGCGCTTCTTCATGTTTCCCTGTTGGGTATTGAGGGGTATTGTCGCAACCGGTATCATCATGGGGGCTCAGGCGGGTTCCAGGGGCGGGGCGGTTTTTTGGTAGGGGAAAGATGCAATTACTGGGAATATGTGGTATCAACGTTGATGGCGCGACTGTGCACAAATTTTAACTCTCTTTGTCTAGTGGGGAGCACGATTTCCCAAAAAGTTGAAGTGCAAAGGAACAAACCACATAGCCAAGCTTTGGACAATGACCCTTTTCGTGATACCAAAGTGGGACTGACTGCTTGCTGGGAATACAAACATATTCCCCTAACTAAGTGGGCCTATCATTCTTGCTCTGCAACCATGACCGAGGAAGGGGCGTTTGTAGAGGGGTTGTTTTGTTCTTCAATATCCGCATATCTTTCCACCACTAGAAGCCGATCCTCTGACTAGTTGTGGTCCTGGTCAACTACTCGTCAATTGGGCGCACAAAAAATAGGGATCAAACAAAACTACTGGGCTGTCCTCAGATCACCCTACAACTTTAACTTTTAGTGGGTTAACTGGAAACTCCAACTAAACCAACTAAAAGCCTCAAACAAGAACAAAGGAACTGGGCAGCTGGGAAGCGCCAAGACTATCATCCACTTGTTCCTTTTTGGGAATTCCAAAGCTACACTTTTCAGTTTGGCTTAGGAAACCACAAAACGACAGTGACCATTTTGGCCCCCATTTTAACCTGTTCAAGGGGACTTTCTGGGGGAACACCGGAACGCCTTGGGTTCCATCCCAAATTCAGGAATTCTATTATCCCCAGATGGGCGGCTTGCCTTCGGTTTCACGGTCACACGATTCCAAGGCTCCAACGAACTACATTTCAGACTCAGGAGTCTCCACCCATCACAACACTGGGATACCCAAAATAGAAAGAGTCCTCCACGCAGCACAAAAAAAAGGCTACCCACAAAACACAAAAGGGTCATAGTCATGACCCCATTTTTACATGGTCATGGAAACGCCGTCTACCCACACCTCGAACCTCGCGCTTGCCGCATCGCGTTTCGTTTCTCGAGGCGAAGGCCCGCGGAACTTTCAGATTTGGGTGTGGCTCAAAATTTTCCAGAGCTAGGGCAAACCGCAGGTTTTAGTCTTTTCCATTTACAAGCTGTCATTTTGGTACATTTGGCTGTGAGGCAAAAATGGGTACCCTAATGGAACCCTGGTAAATGGAAAAATGGACCAAAACCCGCGGTCCCCTGGTGGTTTAATTTTCACCCACACCCATTTCTTTGAGCCACAGCCATTCTCCCGGCCTGTCTTGGTGTCCAGGAACCCCCGGAAGAAGCTGACAATCAAGTCCTGGGCGAAAGACTTTCTTCCCGAAGACCGGGGGGGCTGGAGACAAGCAAACAAAAAAAACAGATCCGTCCACCATGGGAAGCAAAAAACGGCGGGGGGAGAAAAGAACGATCCATCCACCATGGGAAGCATATAAATAAACAATATTGTTTTGGGGGAATCAAGCATTGGGAAATTTACACCGATCTGTCCTTTCCTTGGAGAAAAACTTGTTTTCTTTTCGGCTGCCGTTTGGGACAAGTAAACATTGCAAATCCCCTGGAGCAATACCCACCCTCCCCCGGTCTTCTTGTGGGAAGCAAATCACACGTTTTGGTTTCCCGAACAAAGATAAAGGCATGACGTCCGTGCCAAAGGGTGTCTGGACAAAAAACAAAACTTCTTTAGGTCACCATTGGACCACGGAAATACACGGCTACCACCTGGGACCTTGACGAATGACCATGGGAAGGCCACAAGCAAGGTGAGTCGTGGACTGAGTAATGGCAACCAACTGATAAACCCCACTTTATTCATGGGGGGTGTTTCTGGTTGTAGTGGGGAGTCATCTCAATTTGAGACCCCCCCAAAGAAAAACAAACAAACAGGGGGTGTGAATCCATCCGCACAAAACCAGGGACATGCCCCCTATTCATAAACTGGGGTTCATTGATCCGTCAAGATGAAAAACATGAGTATGGGTCAAACTCAGTCACAAGGATACGGGACCCCAGGTGTGCGTCCTTTCCATGTACCCGGCTGCCAACCCCATTTTGGGGTTGCCCGCTGCTTTGTGCCCTCTTCGCGCGAAGGGTTGACGGCCCAACTTGGTTGCTGTAACGACCCCCCTGCGAAAAAGTTTTTAACTTTTCGGGGGGTTTAGTGGAAGACCCAACTTGATTTCAACCAAAAAGTCAAAGTCTAAAGATCCAACCCAACAGCGGTAGAGACACTTGGTTGCTGTTGACCCCTCTGATCCCAGTGCTACTCCTAGGTGAGTTCACACACTATTACTCTAAGGGTTGCTTCCCCATTCTTTCCAGGGATCCGGATCTTTCTAGAAAACCTCCGGAAACCCAGGGAAAACGGATCCGGTTTTTGGAAAGCACCATGGTTGAAAAGAATGGAAAAGGAAAGTCCTAACAGCCAAGCAAAATGCACCAAAGTAAAGATCCAACCCAGTAGCTAGCCAAGAGTCCAAAAGCCACACCGTGGAGCTGATGAACTCCAAGGTCTGAGGCACCCCAGTGGAGTCGATGGGAAAGGCCGAGAGCAACGGGATCATCACCTCAGAAAAAAAAAAAAGAAAAAAAGAAAAAACAAACCTTCCGCGCCGCGTTCGCTTTAAGGCCGACCCGTGAAAAGGAGGAACCTCAAGTTGAGGTTGAAATAAGGGTACCGTTATTTTTGGGTTCTTCTTTATTGAAAAAAAACCATGTCTTTTTAGTGCAATGTTCTTTACAACATTGGACACATAATTTCCGCTGCAACAACATGAACCCATTGAGTTTTGGTTTCCAACTGGTCAACCCAATATACTCTTGCCCGTTTCTTCTGGCTTTGGAAAAGAGCAAATTGTCCCGGTACATGCCCCCTTTTGTAGTGAAGGGTTAATCATACCCTTAAGTCCTGGGTATATGGAGATCTGTGTATGGAGGCTTACAAATGTGAGCCGCCGTGCTCTCACTCAACCAGGCAGGGGTTGACTGGAACGCGGGGTTTCTGCAGCTCTGCTTGGGCCGTGGCCGTGTCGTAGACGATGGTGAAGGAACAAACGAGGTCCCAAATCAAGCACCGCATGCTGCTCGGGCGAAAAACCATTCGCTGCAAGCATGAGTTGCCTCTCAGGGCAGATGCTGAGCTATGCCAATTTCTCCCTAACTCCAGGGCAATGTGTCTTTTTGTTAGCGACCCTGAGATGGTGGTTTTCCTTTTGGTTTCCCTATAAAGCCACCAAAAAGGGGTAGCCTCAAAAACGACAGGCCTGAGGACTTGCGCCAGACACTAGAAATTGAGTTGACCTTCTAGTACGCATTGGGAAGCCCAAAGTTGACGTATGAAACAAGGAAGAATGTGCAGGGAACCTCCCCGCTCCCCCCAATTGTTGCTGTGATTCTCCGCGTTCAGCGGTGCGAGTAGTCATCCTTACCGGGGTTGAGACATGTCAAACGAAGCTCCCGTCCTAGGATCTCCTCGCCCGAGCGTATAGCGAATCTGGAGGGTCGTCGCATGTACAAACCGTCCATGCGATTCGAGGTCTTCTTCTTCATCATCAGAGATGGCCGATTGTCCTGGCGAACCCCCAATCACAACGATGGCTACCCGAAATTTGGCACCAACTGTTGGGTTGTTGGGCTGCTGGGCTGCTGGGCTGTTGGGTTGTTGGGCCAAGGGTTTTGTTTGGCAGTGTGGAAAACTTCTCTCTCTTCCAGGTCCAAAGAGTTCGAAGATCATGTGAGAGCCCCTACCAGCCCCTTGCCCTTGGACCAGAGCGCTCGCGCGATACTTTGGCCTAGGCGGCAACCATTCCAGCTCAACCAGGCAATCCGAGGCAGGCAGCTAGCGTCTAAACTACTATGGCTGTGGGTCAAAACCAATTGTAGCAGTTTGGGGTAGGTGAATTCAACACCCATTTTAGAACCAGTCTTAGTGGAGATTGGGATGTTCACTGGGGGGCCAAAACCGGGATTTTGACCCATAGCCATATATGTGTAGTGTGCGTCAAAATAGGGGTGCCAATGAAACATATTGTGACCTTCATGTTGGTTTCCGTTGAAACCAAAGTAAAGGACTACCCTCAAACAGCATATAATATGAATTCTCTCTTTTCCAAACATGAGATCCCGCAAAAATGCAGCCCGTGTCCTTTTGGTCGCTCTTTAAAGCAACTCAAAAAGGGTGATAACCCAAAACTGCCCCTTGGACAAAACTGAAAGTGAAAGAACAGTCTGGCAATGAAACATGATGGTCTCAAGGCGGCCTCCGAACCCAACCACCCCAACCCCCCCCCACCCCAACTCCCCATGGCACCCCCAACTCCCCCCCCCCCTCACCCCAACACCCCAACTCCTCACCCCAACTCCCCACCCCAACTCCCCACCCCAACTCCCCTCCCCACCCCCAACCCCCCCCCCCCCTTTATTTTTTTTTGCACCGGCGGTCCTCATGCCACACCTCGTGAAGCTGCAGCTGCGCAAACTTCGGGGCCTTGGCAGCGGTCGCTGCCGCCTCCTCGTCGCTCACGCTGCCCATGCTGGCGGTCTTCACCATCGGAGGCCCCTCCAAACGGATGCACGGGGAACCCATGGCGTCCAACCCCCCCCAAAAAAAATTACCCCGGCACGAGACCCCAAACAGTGATAGGCGGCGGTCACACGCTGCAGAGTATTGTGCGGGCTGCGCCGCAAAACGGCGGTTGCTGTCAGGAAGCTGCAACATCATTTTGCGGTATTTGCGCGCACATTCACAAAGACAAGGACACGGCCTGGAACAGACACGCGCAAGAGAATGCAGCAGACACGTGTCGAAGCCAGCGCCATGGTCGTGTGTGCGTGTGTTTGTGCGTGTGTGCGTGTGCGTGTGCGTGTGCGTGCGTGTGCGTGCGTGTGCGTGTGCGTGTGCGTGCGTGTGCGTGCGTGCGTGCGTGCGTGCGTGCGTGCGTGCGTGCGTGCGTGCGTGCGTGCGTGCGTGCGTGCGTGCGTGCGTGCGTGCGTGCGTGCGTGCGTGCGTGCGTGCGTGCGTGCGTGCGTGCGTGCGTGCGTGCGTGCGTGCGTGCGTGCGTGCGTGCGTGCGTGCGTGCGTGCGTGCGTGCGTGCGTGCGTGCGTGCGTGCGTGCGTGCGTGCGTGCGTGCGTGCGTGCGTGCGTGCGTGCGTGCGTGCGTGCGTGCGTGCGTGCGTGCGTGCGTGCGTGCGTGCGTGCGTGCGTGCGTGCGTGCGTGCGTGCGTGCGTGCGTGCGTGCGTGTGTGTGTGTGTGTGTGTGTGTGTGTGTGTGTGTGTGTGTGTGTGTGTGCGTGTGTGTGTGTGTGTAAGCATCACTACAAAAGGCAAGATCTGTGTGTTTGTTTCACCAGGGTGCCTGAGTTAGTGAGTTAGCTAGCTAGGTAGCTTCTTCCTTTGTTCTCGATTGTGGCGCTGTTGCTGTTGCTGTAGCTGTTGCTGTTTTTGGGTGTTGTTGTTCAGAGTACCATGGAGACGCCGTCGCAGCACAGAAGCACCATCCAAGCATGCCCAAAGAAAGGGAAACAAGCTCGCGCGGACAGGGCGGGAATCGAGCCCGGGACCTTTCGCCGTGCCGCCGGACCACGAGACAAAACCCCCATGGTCCCCGGAGCCGCCAAAAAAGCAAGTTTGTGCGAGCCTGCGCAGTCGAAACGCACTTCAACATCAAGCAAGAGCAAGAATTTGCGGTAAACACCACGCGAAACGCTCGCGGACAGAAGTCGACACCTCACTTTGTGCGAGCCTGCGCAGTCGAAACGCGTTTCAACATCAAGCAAAAGCACGAATCTGCGGTAAATACCACGCAAAACGCTCGCGGACAGAAGTCGCCAACTCACTTTGTGCGAGCCTGCGCAGTCGAAACGCACTTCGACATCAAGCAAGAGCACGAATCTGCGGTAAATACCACGCAAAACGCTCGCGGCCAGAGCGGGCACCTCAATCTGGCACCAAGGCCTTTTCTCTTACCGTAAGAACCCCTTAGTGTAGACACACTGTTTGGGGAAATTGGGTTGAACCCATAGTGCCCCCGCAAAAACATTCAAACAAAAAGGAGAACCTATGGCCACCCCTCAAAAACCAAAGTGCCTAGAAGTGTTCACCCACTTTCGAATGGACACGCAAAACACAATCGCCACGGCTTGATTCAGTCTCTTCGCCCATTGTTCCTTCAGAAACCACCCATTTTCACTGGGGGTGCTGCACCAAACCAAGCAAGGGGTTGTGTGGCACGGTAGGACAAGCTACAAGGAAACCAACGACTCTCAACCACAAAACCATGGAAAAGCGTTGGTTGCTGTTGGCCCCTCTGCAAAAAGTCTAACTTTCTGCGGGTTCCATGGACAACTCACTGTTTCCCACAAGAAACAAAGATGCAACCCTCTAGCAATCAACAATTCAGAAGTACAGGAATTTCGGGGAGTCCCTCACTCTAGTACTTTCAATATTTAGGGCACCCACCGTGTTTTCATCACCGATTTAAATTCTTTGCGAAGGTTCTCTGGAGCGCCCACACTTTCAGCTAGCAACTTGCGCGGCTAAATCCAGTGGCTAAACATTCGGCAGTTGCGGCCAGCATCGTGGGGGGGGAGGGAGGGGGGGGAGGGAGCTCCATTTGAAACCCCCTCCCCTCCCCCAGCCCCCATGATTACCACATTTGGGCATCTTGAAACCCAACAGGACAACTGAAGCAAACAGAAGAACAGACCAACACGCTCCGCGCAGTATTGCGAGTCTTACACTACAAGTATGAGTTGCTGTATAAACAGTATCATGCTGCTGCTGAGTATAGAAAATGGAGGTCATTGCAAATTACAGACTCACCAGCTGGGCGGTCAATCGTGTAAATCTTGCTTAGTCATTGTATAGGGATGGGTACGTACCCAAGTTTAGGCCTTCGAGCGAACCAGCCAACGAGGCCACTGCAACTTTCTCTTGTGATCCTTCGACAGTCGCAGTAGATCATTGAAGCCTATTGGTCAAGAAACAGCTCAAACCTTTTGCCTACCACAAAATGTGTCTTCCCAAAAAGTAAAAAGTCGCAGCACTTTGGGAAGTCATGTTCTTGAGCCACAGCCATTTGTGTCCAATGTTTTCGCTGCATTCCCCGCCTCCTTCAAGCTCCAGCTGTCGAGGCTGAGCTCCAGCGATGGCTCCTCCTTCCAGCGCCAGTGGTCGCTGTCCCAGTCGTCATGGCCTTCGGCGTCGGTTTCGAGCGCTCGCCAAACGAGGCCTAGGTCCTCCAGATTTCAGAGCTTAGAAGTTGGTAATTACCCGAGTTTTTTTTTCTGGACGTGTATTTTAGGGGAACCCTCCCAGGGGTGAGAAACGGCAGCGCACCTAGAGGCTTCAGCCACGCTGGCGCTAAAAAGCGAGTGGGTCGCCTTCTTCTGGGTCACTCATGGTTTGCGGCTTAAAAGGAAGCCAACAAGGAAACCACCGTTGCCTTTTTTTTGAGGGCTCCCATGGTTTGGTGGTTTAACTGGAACCCACCCTTTGCATTTGCGTTCTTGTTTTTTGTTGGGGGAAAGGGGGCGGGGGGGTCGGGTCCCCTAGAAAAACGACGCACCGATCTGTTCACCCTCCAACTTCCCCGAGGCAGCGGCAACCTCTATAGAGGTTGCTGGTTGGTTCTGCCCCCAGAAACAGGTGAGAGGTGCCCATTGGTTCTCATTCAAATCCACAGCGCTTCCTTTTGCTACGGTTCTTCGCGAGCTCGCCTTTTCAATGTAGGAAGTCCTGTTTGTCCTGAGCTGTTTACGTCAAGATGAGCTAGGTGTTTTGGGATTTTTTGGGGAGGTTTGAAATAGGGGGCCAACATCATTGATCATCCCTACCTTGAGGGCAGGGCTTATCCCCCTCCCTCCCCCCAGGCCCCATGACTAATGTTGACCCCACATTAATCATATGAATATGGGGGTGTTCCCCTCCAAAAGTGATGATTGCCCACTGGACCCAGGGACACCCCCCTCTTAAACAGGTTGGTTGAGTCTTTAATCTTACAGAACGGGTTGGTTTGGGCAATTGGGGTTGGGAAGTCCTTCCCACCAAAAACAAAACACGCAGGGCTCCCAACACCCCCAAAGGAAACTCGTTCCAATTGGCCTGCGGTCTTGACTCCATGTCCTCTCGCCCTGGTCGTCCCCCAGCTAAAAGGAACTTGGCGGAAATCACGCCCAAAACGCAAAACAACGAACATGTCCATTGCCCATGCTCCGGAGAGTAGCTGAGTTGCATGTGCACGTCTGGCTTGGGTCGGAATTCACGCACAAGCAACAGGGAGGCCAGAGCAAATGCCGAGGGGTGTTAAGCCTTTGAAGCTCACCTAAGGGTCTCAAGGTTTCTCAAAAAACAGGATTGATCAATATTCCCTTCGGTCCCAACATGGCCATGGGCAACTTTTCCCCATTTGGTGGTCAAAGTCATCTTTTTTTTGGGTGGTTTCCCTGATGGTCACCCCAGGTGAAGGACCTTTTGATCAACCCTCAACTGGCGTCACGAGTAGCCAACCCAGCCGTATCCGGGGATTCGGTGCATGGGGCGTGAAGTCACGAGTCGCGCGTGCCTAAAGGTGATGTTTGCAACCTCAGGGCCGCATGACCAGTGGCCATGGGAAAAAAAGGGCGCCATTTTTTTTGCTGCTTGAGTTTGAAGCAAAACCCTTACCCAAAAAAAGATCGTTGATTATCACACGGACCCCGGCACCTCTGAGCTTCGAGTTGGGAGCTGGCAAAGCCTCGGCTCGCGGCGCGCGGCGCGCCTCCGTTTAGTGCCTTGGGCGTCGCGTCGCCGTTCGTCTTGAAGGCGTTCATATTAAAGGAGTCCTGGGCGAAACGTCCGGCTTTCACATGTGCCATGGTCAGGACACACCGAACGAATCGGCGTGGTTCAGAGGATCCCTAATGGGCACCCCGGATTAATAAACCGGTTGATTAATAGGGGGTCCCCTGTTGTGGAGAGTCATCATTGGAGGTGAGCAATTTCTAGTAATAAACCCGTTTATGAATCCGGGGTCAACATTAATATTACCAGGTGGATGATCCAACTTGCAACCTCAAGTGAAGGAACCGGTCATTTGACCATATATGAACTTCGATGGCGGACAACACCTACATATGTCGAAGGGGTCACTTGGGGTCATACCTTTAAGGGTATGTGCCTCCGAAAATGTTGGCAGAGCTCTTTTCGGTTTCCTTCTAAACCAACCTCAGCCCCGGAAGAATTGCTAGAGTTTTTACCAGGGCTCTCTATCTCTTTCCTCTTTCCTAGGATGGCGACGAACAAGTGCCATGACCTGGGGTGCCGCATATTTCATCATATTTCCCCCCCCCACACACCCTAAACATTACCAGCAAAAACTCATCTCCATTGGCCCAAGTGATGCTTACCACACCCCAAAAGGGAACCACAGGCATGCCAAAACAGGTAGCATCCTGGCGCACCTCAGAGCGCAACCCTTGAGTTGGCACCACTGGAATTGAACACTCACACACACAAAAACAAACCTGTATGGAGCTCGTTTTAATGCTGACCCCATATGAATCAACCCCAGGTCACCTATTGGGGGGGTGCTCCCCTCCGATCCAAAAGCCACGCTTTTGGTCTGCCGCGTCTCCCCTGGCGTGAGGTTCATGAAGGGCGACACGTTCCGAGACCAAAGGGTCTGGCTGGTCACCATTTGATCCTTGTGGTGCTGCACCAAGTCCTAAGAGTGACGTGGACGCCTTCGAAATCAAAGCTGACTTTTTCCATACCCTTCCCCCAGAAAGGGGGAGTGGATTGGCAAAAAGAAGGACTCAAGACTTTCGAAAAAGATGAAGAGAGGTTCTGGTTGCCAAAATGGTCTGCACACAAGTGATAAAGTCCATGAGTACTCAAGGAGTGAGTGTTTCTCGGGCACTTTGATTCTTGCAACAACTGACAACCTGTCCTAGCAACTCGAGAAACAAACCCGGAACGTTGGACACATTTCGGTCAGAGAACCAAAGGACCTAGACGTTGAGCTCATTTTACCAAATGATTTCCACGTTGGGTCAGGCAACCCTTAGTGGGTGGTTTGGATTGGTGGTTTGGATTTGGAATTGAACCCATGGTTTTAGTTGAGGGTAAATGGACAAATTGCAGGGAATCTCAGAAAGAGGGTTGAGTCATCTTTCAGATCAAACTGCTCCAATACGTAGACCTGACATAAGCATCATAACTGAGCTCGTTCCCCCCACATGGGCTCTTTGCTTGCCCAGCTCGTTTAGGAAGAGGGGCAATCCTTAGCTTTCCGTTGATTGGCGACTTGGCGAGGTTGCGGGGGCTTCCCATCTACCCTCTTCAAATCCAATCCAAACCACTTCGGGAGAACAGCAAACACCGGGGATGTGTCAAGAGTAGGGAGACAAGCCCCCGCCCCGCCCCCCCTCCCCCTTTCCCGCCCCCCCCTTCCCCGCCCCCCCAACCAAGGCCTGAAAAGGGAAAAATCCTCTTCGCCTTTCTGCGCCTTCACCCGCCCAGACTCCGAAACCCCGCTGAAAAAAAAGAAGAAACGGCTCCTCCCCGGCTTTCCGGAGCTGCTCCAAGAGCAAGGCATCGAAGTTACTGCTCAAGTTGCAGTACACCTGAAGACTTTTCGTGCCGCAGAGGCTGGATCCGAGCTCGGATGCGGCTTGCGGACTTTTTTGCTTGGAAAAGGTGGCCGAAAATCCTACTTCCAAGTGGTCCAACACTCCAAGTGACCTCGGACCCCCCTTTCGGGCCCCTAAAGAAAGCCGATTCACTGCCAGAATTCTCATCAACAAACCCTTTGGTTGTCCTTTATCATTTAAACCAGCATGTTTGGTGACTCTTTTTCCTCGAATATCTAAGTTTGGCCCAGCCGTATAACGCCCAACTCGGGGCCCTTCTGAAGGATTGAGGCTGGAAACTCCAAGAAGGCCAAACCTTTCCAGTGCACCTGCCACACAACTTCGTCATTTCAGCGCGACTTGGGGAAACGGACCTTGGATGTTGGTGGAATAATTGATTGGCGATCCTGGGCTGTCCTCAGATCCCCTGCTCAAAGTTCGATTTTTAGTGGGTTAAAATGGAAACCCCCACTAGACCCTAAAACCCTGAACACCTAAGGGGACGCCTGGGAATTTCCACACATCCTGCTCACGTCTTGTGATTTGATTTCAGTTCTTTTCCAGTTGCGCATTCCATCATAAGTCAGTCAAAAGTCGGCAGATTGCCATGGAAGAAAGGGAGGATCTTTGATCTCAAAGGCAACCTCAGTTGAAAACAATGCACCGGAGGTCTGGGGGCAAACAGTCACGACCATTTCCCCAAACTGACAGCAGTGGACAGGGGGGGTTCCCGAAAGGCAACTAGTGGCTGAAAACCCTCCTGTCAGCTTCCATGATTGGAGGGAGAGCAACGCAAGTGGCCATGGGTCAAAAGCCCGTACCCCCAGTTAACATCCCAATCCCTACTAAAATAGATTCTAAAATGGGTTGTGCACATACTCCAAAATGGTACCATTGGTTTTGACCCACAGCCAAATGAGTGTGTTGCTAAACACATGGACCCGTGGCTCTACCGCGAGGAAGCTTTGCGTTTCCTGTCTCCATTGAGCCAGAGCGCCTAAAATGGCCAACAGGCTAGGTCCTCCAGTAGAGAGGTTAGAATAAGGGTATCCATTCTTTTTTTCTGTAGTCTATTTTAGTAGGGGAACCCTCCCCCAAAAAAGGGTAAAAGGGCACCACTGGGGGACCTAGCAGGGGATTCACTCATTACCGGCTGATCTGGGTCTGACGTTGTTTCTCTGTCGTCTGGCCAACGGAACATGGTCGTGGGACTTGCAACTGCGACGCTGGGACGCATTTCCCATATGGCTGTGGCTCACAAAATGTACCAAAATGGCACCTAGGTAAATGGAAGCAAAGACTAAAACCTGCGTAATCCTAGCTTTTGAATTTTGAGCCACACCCATATCTATGCTTCCTGCGAATAACCTGTCCGGTCGGCACTGCTTCTTTTTCCGCAATGCCTTGATCTTAAAGCGGCTTCAACGTCATGTACTCTTCTCTAAGTGGTTTCAAACCAAAAAATGCACTCATGATTGTGCGTGTCATCCAAGTGCAATGGGCTCTTTACACAAACCCGCACTCCTCCCTTTTGCACTGGGAGTGCAGAGCAAAAGCTCCAAAAATCACGACGGGTCCCGTCGATATTTCCCCCCTCACAGCATCCGAACTGCTTGTTCATGATGCTCAGCTCAAGCCGCTCGTCACGTCATCCCGCGGGGCAATCTGCCCTCATCTTGCATCCTCTCGAAGTTGTCACGGGTCACCCCGCCTTGGCAGAATCTGCACGGCTGCATGGGGCTCAGTGGCTCTCGGCCGATGCCCACACAACGAGCACTGCCATGTAGGAAACCATCTTCCCCCCGATAGGACCGCGCGCCACGGGCCCTCTGTCGATCTCCCGGCCAGCAGTGTGGGCATGGCAGCACCGCCCTTAATCCACGAATGGTGGCGTTCCGGAGCCCGTAGCAGTTGCGTCGCCAATGGATTCGATCACCCATCGACGTGATGTGGTAGACCTCCACTGCCTCCGGTTCCGGCTGCACCTCACGCCAACGGATCTGCTCCATGACCATGAGCTCTTCTCGCCACCTTGCATTCAATCTCTCATCCTCCGTCTGCGGCCCAACCGGCCGTCCAGGAGCTTGCTCGGCTGTGGGTTGCTCCTCAGCCTGACCGCTAGTCCTCCTCCTCAACTGGCTTGGCCTCGAGGAAGTCCCAACTGAAGCTTCCAAAGGCCTTGCCTCCGTGGCTGCTTGCGTCCACCTCGGCACCTCGATGACTTCACTGTCATCTTCTGTCTGAGTGGCTTGCTCACTCTGACTGGTGAGGAACAGCCTCCTCACTCTCGAGCACGGGCCTTCCAGCAAAGTGCCGATTCCAGCCCCCAGCTCCTTCATCAGCCGGTACAGCACCACAGACACCACCGCAATGATGCAGACCAGCACTGTCACGTCCATGGAGTCCTCTGCTTGGCCCTTCTCCTTTTCGGCTTTACATGCCGTGATCTGGATCAGCGCAACCAGCAGCTTGACCACCTTCTCCCTCTGCAGGTTCACCTTGATGGAGGCCACCTTGACATTCTCCACCTCCTTTTCCGGCTGCAGGTTCCACAGCTCGCACAGCTCTCTGATGCGCGATGGCCCCAGCGGCTTCGTGCCAAGGTCCGCCAACATCTGCTGACCTGGGCAATGCCTCATCAGCCATTCTCCTTCTCGCACGCGCCACCTGAGATGAAAGGCCCTCAGCTTCAGGTGCCTCGTTCTCCATGCACCTGCTGTGTCCGTTGCGATGGACACCGCTGCCGCGTTGTCACACAACAGCATCTTCGGAAAGTCCTCGATGCCGATGGCGTTGCCGATCAAGGCCTCCACCGAGTCTCCAAGAACCACCGCATCGATCGCCTCGATCAGCTCGCTCTCAGCAGTCGATAAGGCCGGGAACGCTTGCTTCCCCGCTTTCCAGGCGACCACCGTACCGTTCCAGCACACCACAGAGCATCCTTGGCTTCGTGCTCCTGATGGTGCGAAGGATGCATCCGAGTAGGCCTGAAGTCCGCCAGGTCCATGCCCAGACCAATGTTGCCCGGAATCCTTCGTGATCCGGATGCCCCACCCCTTCGTCTCGCGGAGGTACCCAAGCATGTAGCCCGAGGCGCGAATCACCCATTTGGGGTTCTTCGCTGACATACTACAAAGCCTGCTCATGCCGAAGAGAAGGTCCGGCCTTGTCCGGGTCATCAGCCACAGCAGCTCCCCCGCTATGCGTTGAGCTCGGGTGACATCCTCCTGGCTGTAGTCCCCGGGAACCAGTTCCGCCTCATCGGACATCTCTTTGGTCATCGGTGACCTTGCTCGCACAATCTCATCTTGGTGCCGCTCCAGGACCTCCTCGACATAGTCCTTTTGATGAATGAAAACATCGTCGCCCTCTTTCTTGATGTTCATTCCCAAGAAGCGCACCTGATTGTGCTCCGTGAGCTCCTCCGGGGTGCTCGTCTCCCACTTCTCTCTGATGACCTTCTCGAACGCCTTTCTCACAGCCGTCTCCGCCGTGGTCAAGATGTCATCCACGTAGATCGAGACCAGCCCCACCAGCTTCTCACCCGCCTCCGTCGGCTTCAGCATCCGCCAGAGGTTCGGTTCCGCCACGCACTGCTCCAGGTGGTAGACGAGTCCGTCCATCTCCCATTCCAGGACCTGCAGCTCGCGGTCTCGATGATCTGACCATCGTCTTGGGCTTTGACGTAGCCCATACATGGCTTTGTCAATGAGCCAAAGTTCTCCAGGCTCTGCCCACCCCAAGCGAACCATCACCGCCGGTGGACGCATCGCCACCACCTCCTCCGGCTCCTCCACCGTATGTAGATCGGCGTTAAGGAAGGCAGCCTTGATGTCCAAGGCCGACGTGGTCCACATGTGCTCCGCGCCCACCTTAAGCTGCAGGCGAATCGCCGTGGTGTCTGTGCCACCCGCGTACGTGTCACCCTCCACCGCCGCATTGGCGTCGATGTAGTTGCCGCACACCACCAGCCGAGTCTTCTTTCTAGCCGACCCAGCCTTCACGCTGAAGATAGCCTTTCCTGGGACCACCGTCATCTTGTTCCCTTTCTTCTCCATCATGCTGCGCGCCTCCTTCGGGGAAAGCCTTCGCAGCGCCTTCTTCTCCGTCATGAGCGCCTCAATCTCGGTCCGGATGGAGTCCGCCCATTTCTCCTTGTCCCTGATGACCTCGTTTGGCGAAATCATCTTCGTGTGTAGGACCTTTTCCGCCTCTTCATGGTCCGGCACTAGGTGCTTCAGCGCCTCCTCCTCCTGGCGAAGCTTCCGCACCATCCTCATTGAGGTCTGTGACGCCTCTTCATCCTCCTCCAGTAGCGTCTCCTCCTCTTCGACAATGATCTGCCGCAGGTGCTTCAGACGAAGAGCTACTTCATCACCACCTCCATCATCTAACAGCTTCGCCTCGCTGGTCTTGAGACGAATCCGCCGTCTCGCTCTCAAAGCTTCCTCAAAAAGAGCATCTCCTTCCGGATTCTCCTCTTCCTGCCGAGCCTCCGGTTCTCTTCCATCACGGAGGCCACCCACCACCTTAGATACACAGAGAACCTTCTTCAGCTCCTGCAAGTGCACTGCATGCCCATTCGACATGTCATGGATCGGAGCCAGGTACCATGCCTTCTGGTGGGTCGCCTCGAAAACTTTCTGCTTCCAGGCTCTCTTCGGCACCAGGACCTCCTCCCCAAACTTGTGCTTGGGCATCGTGCCTTTCATGTCGTAGGCCAGCCTCGTCTCCGCCACATAGCGTGCCACGCAAGGCCACCACTTCGAGTCCCAGCCCGTGGAGATGAGGACCCGTCTGATCATCGACTTCACCACCCCCACCGCCGCTTCAGCTCGACCGTTTTCCTGATCTTGATCTGGCGAGCGGGTCGTCTTGCGAATATCCCGCAGCCTGCACCACCGCGCCAGGTCCCCCGAGACGAACTCACCGCCCTTATCCGAATGCAGGCGGTTGACCATGAGCCCTTCTCGCCGGAGTCTGATGTAGACCTCCTGGATGGCACCCAGCACCTCCTTCTTGCTCTTGGACTTCAGCGGCACCGTGAAGTATAGCGTTTTCAGCGGGCCCGGCTCCTGACGCTCCTCCGGTATCACCGGTTCCTCTGCCTCCGGGTCTCCGCCCTCCACCTCCAAGGATTCCTCCTCTTCCTCCTCCGGATCTTGATCCTCCTCCGGTTCGAGAAGATGTTCTGGCTCATCACCTTCAGGTTCTCCCGGATGATGCTCCTCAGACTCCACGTGCACCTGGGGCCATGTGTAGGCCGCCAGCAGCAGATAGCGCTTGTCCTCCACGTCGTCGATGTCCCTGCCATACCGAAAGGGCCCCGACAAATCCACCGAGAGGACGTTCCCATCCGGGTGCTTGATGCGTCTGTGTGGGCGGTCCCGTGCAGATGCTCGTTGACACACCGCACAATCCCGCCGATACGGCAAGTGCCCCAGCTTGATGTGCTCTTCCCAGGAAAGCTTCTTGACCTTCGGCCCAGTCTCGCCCAGCTCCCATCTCAGGCAACGAGCGATTTCCCGCATCATTCCCGGAGCCCATCTCGACAGCTCCTTGGATGTCTGGAGCTTCTCCACGTCCGTCATCATCCACCTGGGCTTGCCATAGTCCTTCTCCATGAGGTGACCTCCTCCGGTCTGAGGTAGGCGAACATCCATCGTTGTCCCCACCGTCGTCGGCTTGGGGGCTTTGCCGCCCCAATCCCCTTGCTTGAAGGTAATCTCCCGCAAGTGGTGAATCTTCTTCAAATTCCTCCACTCCTCCGTTCTCCAGAATGAAGGACATCTCGATTCATCCCGCGGCTCGGCCGGCTGCTCCAACAAGAACCCGACGTTGCCCTCGCGCTCCACCTTCACCTCCGCCTTGGCCTTCAGGTCGGCCAGAACGTAGAGCAGGATGAAGCGAAAGAGAAGGATGTCGTCTTCCACCACGATCTTCTCTTCCTGGGGGTCGAGGTCATCCAAGCCCCATCTCTTCTCCAGTGTCCTCACCGGACGCGGCCTGTCCCGGTTCTCCAGGGGATAGAACCTCAGCACCGACCTGGTGCGACAATTAGGTCCACCCACCAGCGCCTTCATCCTCCCATCCAGCGCCAGTCTCATCAAGCCGCTCATCAGCTCGTTCGCCAAGAGGTCGTGCTCCGCCCCCCTGACAATGTCATACTCCAGGATGTCCCGCGGATCTCCACCTTGCTCTTTGTAGGCCCGCGAGAGATCATAACCTTCTTGAGGCCCTGCGAAAAGGTGAACCACCGCTCCGCCCATTCGCTCCAACCTCCTCCTTCTGGACCTATTCAATCCCAATGGCTTCCAATCGTCGGCCGGCATGACCAACAGCTCCTTTTTCACATGCCATGGGAGGTCCCGGAACACAGGGTGTTCCTCTATCACCTTTTTCACATACTCCAGCTCGTCGCTGGTGTTCAACTTCCGCACCTTGATTCTGTGCGCCTCCTCCAGCTCTTCGATGAGTTCCAAGGCCGTTCTTATGGGCAGCTCGGGGCACCCTTGGCTCATTGCCACTGGAAGATCTCCTCGGACAGGATGTCGAATCTTGCAATGACCTCCCGCCCAGCTCATCCGACATCCCAAGACCTTGACCAGCGCTCCCATCGGCACAATCGGCTGTGTTCCTCGGGGAGCCACCAACGTTCCTGCCGGGGTGACACTCAGCGGAAAGGTCTCTCCCGCCGCCAGCTCCACTTCCCTTCTCTCATACCCCGAAATGTCTTCACCCTCCTCCAGCGGCCTCAATGGGTTCGTCGCCCCTGAGTCCACCAGTCCTCTTCCACCACCCGTCTCGACCTTGGACAGCTTGAGGGTGATCTGATTCAGCCTCATCCTTTCTCGCATGCCATCCAACTGCTTCTGTAGGTCCTTCAGGGTGAGCTCATTCTCCACCTTCCTGGCATCGCCAGGATTCTGCACATTGATGCTCTTGAGCATCTTCGTAGCCTCTGACAATGCTTCCTGCATCGCATTCGGCTCCGCCTCAGGCGTTCTGCTTCTCAGGTCTGGCGTCCCGTTTGTTGAGGCTGAGGATGACGGTGTCCTTGGCGTAGTGTCCACCTTCCCGGGCTCCGTAATCGTCACCTGGTCGACCCTGTGGATCTCCGCCTCGGCCTTCGCCACTTTCGGCTTCCTGTCGCCACTCGGGATTCCGGCCTGTGGGCAATCTTTGCGTAGGTGCTCCGACGCTCCGCACGCCCAACACCGCATCTTCTCATCCTTTTGGTTGTGGCTCCACTTGCAACTCTTCCCCCTCCGACAGCCCTTGTCCGTCAAGAAGAACTTGCAAGGCTTGGCCTCCTCCATGCCCTTCTGCTCTCCCTTGACTTCCTCCGCACCTTCCAGCTTCTTGGCCTTGAGTTGTTCCGCCACCGGAGCCTTAGGCTGAACCTTGTGCTTGGAGTCCATGTGGGCTGATGATTCCATCTCCGACAAGATGTGCTCCGTGAACTTCATCACCGTGTCGTGGCTGGGCACCGAATCCAGCTGCAGCGTATTGCGAGTGAGCGCCACCTTGAACCCGAGGTCCTTGTCGTGATCCGTCACCTTGCGAATCAGCTTCACCACCGCCCTTGCCAAGACCGATGCGTCTGGAATGGTGACGCCATTCTCCTCCGCCCTCCGCCGCCATCTAATCCACCGCCGAAGACCTTTCACCGCCTCCGTGATGTCGCTGGCCTCGGGGGGCGATTCCAAGTTGCGAAGAATCACCGATTTCTCCGCCAGGCTTCCCGGCTGATACAAAGCCATGAGGCGGCAAATGATCTCGTACGAGGTCATGGCCTTGACCGCCACCATTTCCTCCTTGCAAGCTTCCGGAATCGCACCCAGCAGCAAGCTCACCACCCGCCGCTCCAATCTTCTCCATTTTCCTTCACAAAGGTCCAAAGGTGCCACCGGGCTCATCTCCAATCGCTTCAGCGGCACCGCTGCGGTGTATCTCTGATACCACAGCCTCGCCGCTTCCATCAACTTCGTCCACCATTGGTAGGCCGTGTCGCTGAGGTCTCCCACCACCGGCTCCAGTAGGCAGAGCCAATCGCCAATGTCGATGGCCGCCGTATCAGGCTTATACTCCGGGAGCTTCGGCATTTCCACCCCACTTCCGCGCACCACCTCCAGCCCGTCGCTGCCTCCTGAGCTTTTCTGCTCAATCAGCTTGTTCTGCATCTGCTGCATGCCGTGAAGGATCTTGAGTATCACCTCCATCGGTTCTCCGGCAGCCGGTTCATCTCGTTTGAGCTCCTCCGAGGATTCCGCTTTCGAGGCCTCTTCTGCTTCCGGGGCTGCTGGCTTCCCATCCGGGGTCGCAAACCGGTCGCTTTGCCCTGCTGAGCCTCCAGATTGGAGATCATGGATCTTCTGCCTGCAGACGTTCAGCTCGATCTGCATGGTTTGATTGTACTTCATCATCTGGCCCATCATGTCCTTGATCTGGACCATCTCCTGGGCCAGCATCACTGGCACGTTCCCTTGCAGCTCACCGATGCCTTGGCGCATCATTTGCTGCCCACCTTGATGACCTTCGGCGTCTCGCCGTAGCTGGAGTTCAGCACCCCGAACCCCCCATCCAGGATTTCCAGAATCATGCCCATGCCCTCGCTGACCTGCTCCTCCAGCACTCCCAGCACCTGCATGAGCTTCCCGGTCCTGACGGGCTTCACCACCCTGGTCGTTCTGGCACTTCTCCAAGAAGTCCTCAAAGCCACCGCCGCTATGTGTTGCCGGGCGGCTCACCATGGGAGCCTCCTCCTCCCAATCCTTCAACTTCTTCATCTGTTCATCTGTGAAGAGCCCCGGCGCCGCTGGCACCATCACCAGAGGTTCGCTGTCAGGCCCTCCAGGCCACATCGCGGACACCTCGGCTTTGGCGTCCTCAATGGCCCTCTGATCTCGTTCTTCGCTCGGGGGCGTTCCTCCACCTGTCCAAACCCGCCGCCGTGACGTCACCAGCCCTGGAGTCCTTCTGGGGTCCTGGGCCTTGTTGGGGTCCTCGGCCATGGCAACTCGGGTTGGGTCAGAGCGTTGGGCTCATAACCTGCGAATAACCTGTCCGGTCGGCACTGCTTCTTTTTCCGCAATGCCTTGATCTTAAAGCGGCTTCAACGTCATGTACTCTTCTCTAAGTGGTTTCAAACCAAAAAATGCACTCATGATTGTGCGTGTCATCCAAGTGCAATGGGCTCTTTACACAAACCCGCATCTTCCAACACAATCATGGGAGATGGCGCAGCTGACAGAAGGGTTTTAGAAGACCATGGTCCTCTTGCAATGGCCTCTGGTACACTTCCATGAGTATTACATGGCAAAACCCCCTGCCTGTCGCAGGTTGCCAGTCACGTACTCCTTAAAAGCGCCCGCCATTGCAGTGGGAGCTGTTAGAGGGGCGCCCCGTTGACCTTGGCAACGGATTAGGTTTGAGATGGTTCTTCACGCGACTTTTGCTGAGCGACGGAGTCATTCGCGAGCTAGTCCTTTCAGGAAAGTCAAATGGCTGTAGGTCAAAACCAGTGGTGCCATTTTGGGGGTTGGTGCCCCACCCATTTTGGTCTATTTTAGTGGGGATTGGGATGTTCAATGGGGGTACGGGATTTTGACCAACAATCGCTCGAAAAGCTTTCTGGGCAGTGGTCTCGGCTTGAGCACTGAAGCCTGCAGTCCGAAGTTCAAAGGTCTCACCGCTTCCCAGTAACCCTAGGAACGCCCTGTTTCCACCATGTTCCAGCCCAATGAAAAACGAGGTTCACGCAACTGAAGCAGGAAAGAGGCCTCCCGGAGTGGGTCAAACACAGCTCAATGTTGAAACGGATCCAAGTGGAACCCCTGGTTAAATTTGATCCAGCGTGCTTTTGAGTGGGGACTCAGCCTTGGGTGACTCCCCAAGTAAAGAGATAATTCATCCGGGGGTTCCCATTACATTGTTTTCTGGTGACCTGGTGGAAATTGCGCGGGTCTTCACGAGCAACACATCAATGACCTTTGGTCCAGTTTCGACAATCCACAAGACATACGGACGAAATCCATTTCGCACTCAAAGCCATTGTTGAAACCATAACATTGGTTGGAATCTATAGGGATCGGAAACAACTCATTTCCAGGGTTCCTTGTGGTGCATTCATCATGCGCCCATTGGTTTGACTCCAAGCGTCCCACGAAACGACTGAGGGGCTGGACATCCACTCGTCCAGCATGGGCACTGCTGGGCCCCAGGCCCCGTTTTCCCATTCCTGCTCATCCCCTGCGTTGTAATCAAAACCCGGTATCATAAATCGTCTACCCTGAACCATGCAAAGAGTTAAGGCGGCAGCGATTTATGGTTGGGTCATCTCTGAAACGGGATCCCCGGTTTTCCCTGGCTGCGATTTGAACTCCTGCAAAGAACGAACGGGCGGAAAAAAACACATCCCGTCCGCACCCTTGGCTCCCACTTCAGCTCTCCTCTACCCCAAGTGTCCACCTTTTCTTGGGCGTAGCTTGAAACAAGACGGTTTTCCAGTCTTGGCCCCTTAGTCAGACGAAGGGTGGGTATTTGGAGGGGGTGAGAAGGGAACCCGTTCAGAACGGGTTCACTCAGAACTCGCCAAACAGACAGCGAAGGGGGGGGGGAATCCCGTTTCAACTGGGATCCTTTTGTTTTGTAGGAAACCCCCCAATGGTTTTCTCTTGGTCTTCCACTAACCCCACAATAGGCTAGGTTTCCTCTTGGTTTTCACTCCAAACCCACCAAAGCCGGTACCCTTCCAACAAGACACACCTGGCCGAGAACACGCGCGCCGGTTCCGTTCCCTTGAGCTATTGGCACAGGGCCCCCAAGTCGGGGGCCTTTCCGTCTCTTGTCCGGTGAGCTAAAGCTCTTGGCGTTCATACAGGCTGCGAGACAGATCCTTGACAAGTGACAACAAAAACGTGGATCTACTTTTGGTGTCCATTTGAGTCAGAAGCAAAACCTGGTACAAAGATGGTGATTGGGTTTTGATTGTGGTTCATTTGTTTTCTTGAGGAAAACCGTCGTCCAGAAGAAGGTCCCCATGTCCCTGTGTAGTTTTAGGAGCCGTCCCGGCACACTGCACGTCCGCAAGACGCCAAACGCGAGAATGCGTTTGAATTCAGGCATGGTGTTGATACATTTTCTGAACTCTGCACGGGACGGGCGCCCGCCGCCTGTTGCGCATATGCACACAAAATCAGAACTCCACGCCAGGTCTGCTTAAGACCCTCCCCCCCCAACAGAAACAAAACACACGCAAAGAAACCAAACAAACCACTGGTTTCATCCATGTGGTCCCGGATTTGGTCCATCAGCTTGACTCATGTTCCCAGCAATCTCCCGGCGTTGGAGCGGAGAATAGCTTGAACCTGCACTTTCCTAGGCTTGCCTATCGAAGAAACCATCAATTATGGGCGTGTAGTCTTTGAGGCTACCAATTGTTCAATTGTTTAATAAAGAGAAACCGAAACAATCATCGCCACTTTTGCAGCCACAGCAGGGCATGATGGTGCTTGGTGGCACCACTAGTCACTAACTAGTTAGCTGCAATCCCCGCCCTGCTATTGCTGCAAATCAGGCTATGACATTACACACACACAAATCATGATGGACCTGCAAAAATATGCCCCCCCCCCCTGAACAGTGCCAACAGTCATTTGCCAGCGCTTGTTGTTTCCCATGTATTCTTTCCTTTTTTTGCTGGGGGGGGGGGGTGAAACAACTTTCTATGATAGCGGACCCACTAACAGTCCCAGGATCCTGAATGAGGAAAACACTTTCTGTGTAAAGGCCGGTGCAACATTGCGTTCCAACTTGCTGGGGAGGTTCTCACTGCATTGAATCATGACTCAACACCATGCTTTGCGTGATGAATTCATGCATGCATGTGGCTTGCCGCTTGTCTCTCCCGCAGAAGCCGTGCCTAATATTGGCTGCGAAAAGCTGCTTTGTGCAGGGTTGGTCAGATACTGACTGCCTGCAAAAAGTGACTTTTCACGTTTCCCCACAAATAACAAAAAGCTAGGGAAAACGTAACAAACACTTGTCATTTCGGTGGAATCAAAGACCAGCCTCAGAGCCGAGAACCAGCGCTCAGAGATTAACGGAGGACCGCAGAGCATGCCATCTGTTTAACAGAGGCAGCAAAAGCGGAAAAGATCTCACGCATAGCCGCCCCCAGGGCCGTCCTGTCTTGCAGGGCTGTCAGCTAAGTGGAAATTCCGTGTTTTTTCTTTTGTACATCGCACCAACCCACCAACCCACCGACCCACCGACCCACCGACCCACCAACCCACCAACCCACCAAGCCACCTGGCACAGAGTCTGAGCTCGGTGCAATCCACGCGTCTCCCAAAATACGCTCTCACACATACCCATCGTGCAGCCAGTCTATCTTAATCAAGGAAGGGGAAGCATCGAAGCAGAGTTCTCCGGGAAAAAAAGTCCTCAAACGCGGTTGCGGAAAGCATGCCTTTTACTGGAACATTATAGAAACTGGCAAACCATGCTATCCAGTTAAACCCCAACCAAAATCTATTTGTATCACAAAAAGCCAATTCTGTATCACATGTTTTCTTTTTTTCAGGGCCGTTGCCGGCAACCAAACGCATGAACACCACGCCGTTTTGCTTCACAGAAACCCAGGCTTTCTGCCAGGTCCCCAACGACTCCCCGGACCGATCTGTGTCCTCGCAGTAGACGATGGTCGCATGCTTGGGGCTCGGCCTGAGATCAGAGGCTGACATCACGCCTTAACTGGGTCCTCCAGTGCTCCGCCTCGGTGACCCCCACCCCCCCCCAAAAAAAAACAAGAAAGCAAACACATGGGGGAGGGGGGAAAGAACAAGTAGGTCCTTCAGTAGAGGGGTACCAACTTTTTTCTGTAGTCTAATTCAGTAGGGGAACCCTCCATCAACAAAGGGCAACAGGGCACTACTGGGGGACATAGACAAAGAGTTTGCACATGTTGAAGGTGAATTGAGAATCGGATCCCCAGGTAAAGGACCTTTATCATGACAAGCTTGTTGAACAAACAAACAACAGGTGAGCTCGCTAGAAAATAGGCAGACAAGATGCGGGACTCGCAAGGCTTTTCCAGAGCTTGTCTTCAACGCCGCCCTACAAAACTTAGGCGATTGTGCCCCAATGTTTTTTTCCCCTCGAAGGGCATTGGGTATCACAATGCTGCTGAAGCCTATGGGCAAACACAATGCGGCCGCAATGATTCAGATCGGGGGACCAAACACAGCAGTTGCCTGTACACAAATCATTGGAACACCTTTGCGGGTTCACCTGTTTGGTGGGGGTGCCGCCACAAAAAAGAAGTGAACGACTAGGTTGTGGCAGCTGCTTTTGAACACAACACCTGCATATCCCAAGGGCTAAGAAAGACCCGTGGTGACTCTCTGACCATTAGTGACTTGGTACGATGGATTCCTTTGCAAACGGATCGACCACTTACCACCCTCGACAGTCGAGGTTTGGGCAATGCGTCTGCACCTTGCGCGAGACCAGCGGATTTCCATGGGAAAATGACCCTGGTCGAGGATTTTAAAGGGACACTCCCTCAAAAGGGAAAAGGCGAACTCCCAATGGTGCACAAAAAGGACGCCTTGTTGTGTTGAAGTTGCTTTTTTCAAGGACAGTCCCCACCGAATAAAGAAGCTTCCGGTTGCTTCAGGCACCACTCAAAAAAAAGGTAGCCGTACTCACCATCGATGCCCATGCCCACAAAAAAGCAGCACCTTTGTCTGAACGAAACTGGCAAATTGGGGAATGTGCTTTTTTTCTTTTCTCAGGTTTTGAACCGTGTTCCTTGTGTGTTTTCGTTTAAAACCCACCAACCATGAACTCGGGGAGTGAGTTTACATGGTGGATCCATGTCGTCTTTCAAGCGGGGCTTTCCAGTGACAGCTCTCATTTTTCTTTGGGGTTGGGAAGGGGAGGGGCACATCCTTTCAAACAAACACGGAATCAATAACGGGGGGGCAAGAGTGCCACAATCAAACCCCGGGTAGATGAAGGTTAGTAAGGGACGATCCCCTTGCCATAAATAGCTGCGGATATCCGCCTTCTTAATCCTGTACATGGTTCGGGGATTACGACCATAGTACCGATCGGTGTTGATTGCGTCTCAAAAGAATTTCCCTAACAAGATGCCGCCTGGAGGGGGCCCGGGATCATTTTTGGTCGGAACACGAAGGGGGACCAACTCAAGAAAGACACACCCAAACTGACCTCCAGGGGGCTAGCCTCTGTACCCTGGACACTGCTTACCACTTGGCTCCTGGGCTTATCCAGGGATAGCTCCCATCTAGGTGCGTCAATTTTTGAGGGTACCCGTTTTTGGGTGGTTTTACCGGGACCCCAAGGGGTTCCAAAAACCACATAGAAAGCCTCATGAGAAGCCCGACCCATTTCTCCTGCATGGAGAATCCCGGCCTCTGGCGCTCGCCACGCAGAGAGATGCCAGCTCCTCTGCCAACTGCTCCTGCCGGCCAACCGGCCCGAGGTGAGTCACAATCAAAGCCCGGTATATATTACAATGGTCTACCCAGAACCCAGTCAGGGGCCAAGAATCACCCATATGACTTTTACGCAACCACTCCAAGAATCCCAACTGAGTCACAATCAAAACCCGGGTATTAAAATGGTCGTAATTTGATTGTGGCCCACAGTGACGTTGCTGGCTCAGGTGACGTTGCCAGCCGTGGGAAACAGAAAGTGAGCCCCAGAAAAAGACCCGCGCGGCCATCCCAAGCAAGCAAGCAAGCAAGCAAGCAAGCAAGCAAGCAAGCAAGCAAGCAAGCAAGCAAGCAAGCAAGCAAGCAAGCAAGCAAGCAAGCAAGCAAGCAAGCAAGCAAGCAAGCAAGCAAGCAAGCAAGCAAGCAAGCAAGCAAGCAAGCAAGCAAGCAAGCAAGCAAGCAAGCAAGCAAGCAAGCAAGCAAGCAACAAGCTAGCAAGCAAGCTAGCAAGCAAGCTAGCAAGCAAGCAGGCAAAAACCATCAGACCTTGAGGAACGCACAGGACCCTGGTGTTGTCTCTACTTTTGACCTGCCCATTGCGGAACCAGAATGAGGACAACACACCCTATGGCCTGTGACCTGATCAATCGCAAGGGTGATCCAAATCTGGTCCCTGGTCTATTGGGCTGTCCAAACCGATCCCCAACAAATCGAAAGCTGGTGGGTTAAATGGACACCCCACCACTAAACCAACTAAGAAGCTAAACACCAAGGAACCGGATGGGGTGTACCACAAGACCCTGAGAGCAGTCTCAAGAAGGGGCTCCTTTCAGGCCCAAACAAAGACTCCGGAAAAGAAAGTGTTCAACTACTTGGCGTATAGGACAAAGAGCAGTCTCAAGAAGGGGCTCCTTTCAGGCCCAAACAAAGACTCCGGAAAAGAAAGTGTTCAACTACTTGGCGTATAGGACAAATTAGTTGAAATGCCCAAAAAAGCTTTCGCTGCAGTAGCTTTCTTCAAAATCACAAGGCGTTCCAAAAAAACGGTGGTTTCTGCCCACATAATATGCTAACATACTTTTCCGTTCGACTTTTCCAACGATTCGAAAGACCCGGAATGGCACGCAAGGAATGTCAGCTGAAGTCACCTTGGTCCAAGTCTGGGTTGAAAAAACAACCCCGTGGACAACCCTTGTATCCCTATGCCCTCAGTATCGGTCAGTACCGTTTTTTCCTCTGCATCGGTTTGCAGTGTTTTGGCAGCTCTAGCTCGAAAGTCGTGACTTTTCCGTACAAGTGTAGCATGCGAAGTACACTCTGCCAGCTCCCAGCTCCAGCTGGAAAGTCGCAACTTTTCAGTACAAGTGTAGTACACAAAGTACATTTTGGCAGCTCCGGCTGGGAAGTCGCAACTTTTAAGTACTATGCGCAGTACACTTTGGCAGCTCCGGCTCGAAAGTCGCAGCTTTTCAGTGCAAGTAAGTGTAGTATGGTGCAGTATACGAAGTACATTTTGGCAGCTCCACTGCGGAAGTCGCAACTTTTCAGCACACAAGTACATTTTGGCAGCTCCAGGGAAGGCTGCAGGGCAGCTGGTTGGATTCGGCATGGCGGCCAATGAGTTGGGTATCAGTTGGGTATCGGTTTGGGCCCTGCAAACTTATGATGCCGCAATCTGGGTTTGCGACAACAACTTGGACCTGATGTGTGTCTTCATGGCTTCTGGGGGTATCGTTTTTTTGTTTTGCTTTTTCCTTATTTTTTTCTCTGTATCGGTTTACAATGGTTTTGGCCTGCAAAACAAGTTAAGGGACGGCCCCTCACACAACGAAAAGGCGCGGGGTTGCTTTTTCAGCCCAAGTGATTTCATAGGTTACAAAACTTCGAAGGCATGCAAAAACGCTAATTCACAACTTCGAGTTGATTTTGAGTTGAAGTCCAAGGTCTTCAGATCTTGGAGAAACGGTCCGCTAAAGATCTGGCACGCTCTCAAACTGTTTGTTTCTTAGAGTTATGCAAAACCTTGCTCGAGTGTCCTTCTTACTTTTACTGGTTCAGACCCGTAAGGGGAGCCATTGCGGCTGAACAGCATGACTATTGGTGACTAGGACAGCCGATGGCTGAGGTCACGGAAGCTCCAAACAAATCCTTCCCCAAAAAGCGAAGGACTCCTTCTATGGCAACCTATCAAGGGGTTGACTATGTGCCTACACCCCTACGATTGCAAACTGCAATACTTTTGGGGGCCTAAATAATTAGAACGGGCAGTGGACAAGAAACCCAATTCAGCTGTGATCATAGGAGCACAGCTGACAGGGTCAAATGGCACGATTCCCGATAACTCGGGTAAGTCAAGGGGATAACTAAACCAAGATGGGGGGTAGTTGCTCCCAACTCTACTTAAATCATGTGGGCACGCTACGCTGCTATTTTCTATCAGCGGTCCTTGGGCGCCTGTCCGTAGGACATGGTCGCCGTGCGATTCCGGCCCCACTGCCTGGCGAACTGACGAGAGCCGCAAGCCGCTGGCGAAACGTTTCCGGCGATCAAGGCCTGAAAATCGACATTGAACTCCCATGAACAAAGGCCCTCCAATTCACTTTTTCCGCAAAACAAAACACTGTTCTCAGATGCCCAGTGGATATCCATGGGAAAAAAGGGCGCCCTTTGTTGGTTGGTTGAGTTTAAAGGGGAACCCTGACCCCAAAAAAGGCAAAAAGGGCACCACTGGGCAACAGAGTGTTTTGCTTGGGTTGCACGCTAGTTTGCAGGGGGAGACAATTACCACTAAGCAAACAAGGAATGTGTTGCAAATGCATAGAGGCAAAACTCCCTGCTAACCCGCGAAAGTGGTAGCTGGATTTGAGCATTTCCACAAGAACTCTAGGGACCCCGATCTGCAAAACGGAGAAAGGGGGGAGTGACAAACTGCCACCACCCCAAACCCGTGCTTCTTGAGACACAAAAAGCAGTCCAAACTTTTGCTTTGCCACAACGGTCTTCCCCAAAACAGTCCTACTTGGGCAGTGTGGTCGAAACAGACTCGCTCAGAAAGGCCTCCCCAACCCCAACGTGATTGGAGAAATAGACACACTTTGGAGATATTGCCTTATATAAGCAAAGGACCGGTTCACGTCATCTGGTACCTCAAAATCTAGGGGAAAACTACCATGATAGCAACCCCAAGTAAAGCTCATTGTCTAAGTGGATTGGCAGGCAAATCCCGACGTGTTCCTTACCACCAAACAGACCTCCTTAAACAATGATCAGTGGCATAGTAAGCCTTATCAGTGGCAAAGAAGGTCAAGTTAAGATAGGACAATTTGCGAGGCCCCTCTAATCTTGGAAGTAGACAAAGGGTTTGGAATTGACACTCCCGATCCACAACCCCGTCAGCTTTCCAAGTTCCCAACCAGCATGAAGTCTGCAACTTAACAAGTCAGGAACCTATTGGGTGTTTGCTTGTTTTATCCGAACCTTGGCCCGCATCCGGGGTACGCCAACAATCATATGCTCCAAACCTGTGTCATAGTCAGCACAACCCTATAATCTGTGTTTTAAAGGAAACATTGGAGGAACAACATATTTGGCATTCCCTTTCGCACACCCTAGCCCATATGGGTCTTCCTTTTTGGTGGTACCCAATTTTTGTGGTTGCTCACTTGCCCAAAGGACCTGTTTTATCAAAGGCGATCACCTTTTGGGACCACTAAAAAATAGACCAACATGGGAACACCAAAAGGTCAGATCCGGTCGATCCGCTTTGAACAACTGAGGTTGGTAATCTCACTGGCTGAGTGGATGGCCCAAACAAATATCCAAACTTTATAATTGCCACTAAAGTTCAATATTACCAATATTACCAATATTACCAATATTCAAACTTTATAATTTGGCTGAGTGGATCCGGTCTTCCCCAAAAGTTTTTAAAGTTCATGAACTCAGGAAACACACCGGGGGCCGCCGTGGACCCGAGCCTCGGGGAGGGCGGGTCGAGATCCGCTTTGCTGAGGGACACCTCCAGCTTGCTGTTCCCGGGCCTTGACACGGGACTTGGAGGCACCCAACTGGGGGGGGAGGGTGGGTCATGGTTTTTTGGGGGGACCCCCAAAGCCCCGTTGCTTTTTCTTTTGGGGGGGGGTTGGTGTTTTGTGCTTTGTTTTTTTGGTGTGTGTGTGGGTTTTCCTGCTGGGTGTCCCAAAAAGAAACAAGCATAAAAGAAAAGTGGCCTCCACAAAACGCCAAATGTGTCAAGCCAGGGGGAAAATACCGAGCTCCGTGGAGTTCCAATGGAAAACCAGGACGCCCATCCCGCTTTTGGGTTGCCTCTGGTTTGCAGGCCTATCAACTGATCAGACGCCAGACTCCCTAGCTGAAAGGAGGGCTTCAGGGAGTTTCGGGGGGCTGGTGACGGTTATTTCCACTAAGGTTGTACAGTTGGCTTAGGCCTTACACTGCATGAAACTGAGATCCTCTGCTGATGTTCAAACCTTTTAGTGGTTTAGTGGACACGAAACCCACTAAAAAGCAAACAACCCAAGGAACCGGAAGCTTGGGAACCAGCAAAGAGGTACAACCCAGTGCTTCCAGTTACTATTCTGGTAGGCAACCACAGAAAACCATGATATAAAACCAAGAGGTAAGAATACCTGCTTACCTGCTAATGCTGACCCCATATTAATCAACCCCTGCTTATTAATTGGGGGTGTTCCCCTCAAGTGGTCCGATCCCCTACACGCAGAAACGGACACCCCCCTAATAAACAGGATGGTTGAGAAAATATGGGGTCAACATTAGCAGGCTCTTGGTCTTATCTCATGGTTTTCCCTGGTTGCCTACTGGAAAGGCACCTGGAAGCACTGCTTGGTCCTCCCGATTTGAGAGGTTAGAATAAGGGTACCAACTTTTTTCTGCAGTCTATTTTGGTAGAGGAGCCCTCCCTCCCAACCAAAAAATAAATGGGAGAGAGGTCAGGCACCCAGCTGGGAGACCGAAGCCCTGGGCACACCTCTCCTCCTGGAACCGCGCGCGAGCGTGCGCGCCGCGCACGCGACTGCCTCGCCTCCAGCACCAGCAGCAAGGCTCCACGAAGCCCGGGCACTCCAAGCGCTCCGCGCCCGGCGGCATCTCCGAGCTACCCGCCACGTGGCCTGGGGCTTTGGGATGGGGAGCTGGAAACAAACGGCGTACCCTTCCTCCAACTAACAGAAGGCACCTGTGGGAGGGTACCAAGATCAATCTTTGGGGCTCGAAACAAACGCGTTTTGTGGTTTCTCCGGTCCATGGCCTTTTGTAGTTTTTGTTTTTGGAGTTTGGAGGGAGAGATTAGAAAGCCCACTCATTTTGGGGAGGGAAACTGTATTTTGGCGTTCTCAGATTGATCAGATTGGATCGGTCGGAAGGGCCTGGGTTTGTGAAGCCACGCGGGTGCGTGCGACTCTCCGACTATCCGCATGTCCGCTGCGATTGTCAAGGATAAATCATTCAGTTCATCCTCGCCAAAGAAGTCAGTGCGAACACTGGGCTATGATCAATGACTTGACCTGACTTTAACGTACGACGTACCCCGTAAATCGAGGCAGTCCCGAAGCTGCTGTTGGCCCCTGCCCTCGATTCCCATTCTCTCCGCTCCCCTTGGGCTTGTCGCTGAAAACAAGGGCCGGGCTCCACCACCACCCCGTCAAAAGCGCCCAACGTCAAAAGCGCTCTCAGCCTGCGGCCTCAACCTCCCCAACCTCAACCCCTGACCCCTCCAACCTCTCCAACCTCAACCCCTGACTCCCACCTCCCAGCCCTCGCCCCCACCAGCCCTGAGGCCCCAACCATTGACCACCAGCTGGGCACAGTGCCCCGCCGGCATAAAGAGCTGGAACTCCAAAGGCCTTGGAGTTCGCCGAGCGGCGGTCCGGTGTGCCCACGACCGTTTTCTTTTTCGTCCCCTGGGAATATATATATATATAACAACAACTATATATATATATATAACAACAACTATATATATATATATAACAACAACTATATATATATATAACAACAACTATATATATATATATATAACAACAACTATATATATATAACAACAACTATATATATATAACAACAACTATATATATAACAACAACTATATATATATTACACACCCTCCCACCAATTAACATGGAACTGTCAAAGGCAAAACTGGTTGGCGGTTTCCCGTTAATCGACCACTCTGGTGACTTTGATACTGGTAGAAAATTACGGGGCCAGCAAACAACCTATAATCACCTATGTATGGGGGGATGTTTTTCAGCTTGGTTTAGCGGGAAACCAAAAAGGACACCCGAACCCATTTCTGGGACACAAATTGGTGGACATGAGAATCCGCCATAGCCATACTTTCCATTTGCATATCGCACCATCCAAAGGAAACTCACTTCAACAGTGAGCAACTGGTGATGATAACTGGTAAACGGGGAAATACAGCAAGAAAGAGTGTTAAAAGGGTTCATGTCTAGCCCTGCTGGAGTTCATGTAGTTTGTTCCCTTTCCTTTAAAGTAAGTTGTGCTTTGTTCCCGGCCATTGGGTGTCGGGCTATTTCCCTGCGGGCTTCATTCCAGGCGAGCTTCATTCCAGGCTGGCGTAAGGACACATACCTCTAGCGGTTGATTCCTTTTCCATTCTTTTCAACCATGGTTCTTTCCCAAAGACCGGATCCGTTTTCCCTCAGTTTCCGGAGGTTTTCTAGAAAGAGTCGGATCCCTGGGTTGAGAAAATGGAAGGCACCCCTTGCTCTACCGCATGCAGCCAACTCGCTCTCCGAGTTCCTGGACCCTCCAGAGGTTGCTTACTCATTCTAGACTAGGTCCTCAAGTAGAGAGGAGGAAGAATAAGGGGACCCGTTCTGTTTTTCTCTTTTTGTTGTTTTGTGTTGTTTTGTTTTGTTTTGTTTTGTTGTTTTCTTGTTTTTTCTGGTTGTTTTCTCGGTTTTGTCTAGTTTAGTAGGGGAACCCTCCCCAAAAAAGGGGAGAGAAGGGCACTACTGGGGCACCTAGTAGATCATGTTCACATAGTTTGTGTTCCAAAATGTTTAGAGTGACTAGGTGGTGTGGTGTTCTGTGTGACGAGGAGGTTGTTTACGTGTTTAATTGGGGGTGTCTGCGTGTTCACATGCTGAAGGGTGGGCTGCAACCAAGCAACATGTCCTAAGCGTCCTTTGTTCCCGCTGGCCACACGTCTAGGATATATCCAGGCAGGCGAGGTGTGGAGTCCTTTCCTCTGCGAAGGCGATCGCCATCTGTTTCCAAAACGGGGTCTTTGGATTCGGTCACACCGATCAAACCAGCCATGAAAAGCAACCCCGACATCCATGAGAAAAAACAAAATCTGGTTTGTCTCAGCCAAGTTTGGACACTGACACTGGGTGGTTTTCCTTCCCGCACCAACAGGGTACCTCAGATGCCCAGTGGATTTGCATGGGAAGAAAGGCACCTTTTTTGTTGGTTGAGCCCCAAAAAAACAGAAACAAATGCCACTGGGCAACAAATTGCATTTCTCATTCCCTGCATCTCTCGCACCAGCAAGAAACAATATGATTGATTTTCCATTGTTGGCTTTAAAGGGAATCGATTTCACCAGTGGACATACTTCACTTCTTTCCAGGGGGCTGAAGCAAAGGGAAGTTGTCTGCTATTGATTGGTGGGAAATGGTGGGAACGGGTTTGAACCCCTGTTTCTTTGGGCAAACCACCCAACCTCCACACCTCCAATCAGCAAGAAAAGCGTCCAGTTGCTTAAGCCCCCAGCAAAAAATAATAATCTATTTCCAGTAGTGATAGATTTGTGTTGAAATCAACACGGAAAAATATAACATATTCTCAAGCAAAGAAGAAAGCCAGACCCACACCTCGATCTGTCGAGTGGCTGGTTCAGCGGCAATTCCACCGCCTCCATGTGCAGCTGCTGAACCCCCGAGACGCAGGAGAAGCCGCCGCCTCAAACCCACCCAATTGAAACCATGGCTTAAACCCATGTTGAAACAGGCGCTTGTTGGTGAAACACCAAGGTTCTTGAGAAAATAATGTTTAATGCATGATTGTTCTTGTTTCAACCTCCTAAAAAGGAGTGTCCCTATTGACATGTTCTAGGGTCCGGTTGAAACAAATTTGGCACCCCCAAACAGCCAACCAGTCCAGCAACCCCCTGGGCAACAGAGTTTCACTTGGGAGTTGGAGTCCCGCCTCTCAGTGGCTTCAGCACCACGCGCGAGATGCTGAGGGCCGTGGAGGACAGCCTGGTTGCAATTTTTACGTGAGCGCCCGCTTTCACCTTGTCCCAAACAAAAATGTGGGGACCCCTCCAAATGGTTGGTTTTGGTTTCCTTCAAGAGACACACAACTACACACACACACACGCACCGGTACAAGCAGCCCGCTCGTCAGAGCATATAACCAAAACACCCTTAGATTCGGGGGGGTCAGACAGTGGCCAGCAAGAACTGCTCAATTTCTACAACCAAGGATCCGTCCCCACTTTCCATAACCATGACCTCGGTTTCTCTTTGTTGGTTTCCGCACCAATTTTCCTAGTTGCCCAGGAAGGCCTGTTAACAACTCATTAACGCCAAGCAGTGAAACCGAACTACTTAACCCTCAAACAACAAACACCTGTACACACCAAGAAGCCCACCAAACTCGGCCGATTTCACTGGCGAACTCCTCGGCAACAGATCTCCCGGGTGCCGGGCACTGCGAAGAGCACGAGATGCCCCAAGGGCGGCACCATGCCACCCACCTCGGAAGACCCACGTCGACAAAATCATTCAGGTTTCTGCTTGGGGCCCATAGAAACTAGGTCCTCCAGTAGAGAGGTTAGAATAAGGGTATACCAACTTTTCTTCTGTAGTCTATTTTAGTAGGGGAACCCTCCCAAAAATTTGGTAAAAGGGCACTAATAGGGGGCCCTAGAAATTATGTGGACCCACCCAAGACACATGCGAATCTGAAGTGTTGTTTTTGGGTTTGGATGCAGCGGATTCACCCGAAAACCGTGGGCGTGCGAAAAGAGTGCAAGAAGCGAACCTACAGCTGCATCCAATCGGGTGAAGGCCCCCGGAAAACGCAACGAACGGAAATCAAAAGGCAACTTTACAAGTCTCACTCGGAACAAGATCATCCCAACATGTTCAGCTTCCCACTACGGTGTCGTCACCGTAACTGGTGGGCTAACGCCCGGTTTGGAGGTGTGGACGTTGGGTGGTTTCCCATTGGGGTCCCAACCCGCTCCCACCAATCCAGGCCAGACAACTTCCATTTGCTTTTCCCCCTGGAAAAACAACAAGCATGTCCATAGCGATTCCCTTTCAAACCAACAAGCGAAAAAGTAAAACATACTTTATTCGTTTCAGCAAATGGAAGCTGTAAGTCAGTGAGGCAAGCGCCTGACATCGAGTCTCTGGAGAAACGCTGAAAGACTTGGTTGACGTTGGAAGGGGAGCAACAAATAAATTTTAGCAGTTAGGTGGGGATTTCAACCACTAAACGACAATAAGCAAAACGTAAAACGTTCCCCAACAACAACCATGTTTAGGTCTCGAACCAAAAAACAACTCCGAGCGCCGCACCCATCCGAAGGCGACCTCGATGTCATCCCTACCGAAGCCTCGAGGTGAGACGTCGGGTGGCGACTCGAGTCGCGCGGATGAAAATGCCTTTTGCTTTCGTCCTTGTTTGTGCCAACCGATGTCTTAAGCTAGTGTTGACCCCATATTAATCGACCTCAGTTCATTAATGTGGTCCGAATCCTTACATTTCACCCAGGGACACCACCTGGTATTCATAAGCACCTGGACCTTCAAACTCCAGGAATTGTCCGGGTGTTTTAGGAGACCTCTACGATTCTCCCGAATTCCAGTGGTTTAGGAGGAAGCTCCAGGCAGGGGTTTACCGTTTTTTTTTGGGTCGTTTCACAAGCCGAGCAGGTAAAACCCAAGACACCAGCGCGTTGAACAAAAAGGCACCAAGAAGCCAGAAACCAATCACTCAACACGGGACATACATTCCAAGGAAATACGTCCACCTCATGCTTGCTGAAAAGGGAAATGGGTGGCTTGTCTTTTTCTTCAGGGTGCACCGAAACGGCCTTGAAAGGGAATCCACAAGTTGAAAAACAACCTGGATCGCCAGTTGCTGTTGTTTTCAGCAACGGTGACTGAAAAAAGCGATCGCAACTTGGCTATCTAGGAATGGCTTTTGTTTTCCTTGGCCTTTGGCGCGCCGTTTTTTTGGTGGCGCTCGAGTCTTTCAAGGCTCGCCGGCGCCCAGCGCCCGCGTGCCGGGCTTCCGGACAGACCTTCCCTGCGAAGGACGCCGGCAACTTGTTCCGCAAGCCGCCTCCCGGGGGCTCCCGCGGGTCCCGCCCCGCCCCGCGGGTCCCGCCCCTTTTAACACAAAGAGTGATCCTGTAGATTTCCAACACCATGCCAAAAGGAGCATCCTCCAAAAACAGGACACACCCTTTCCATCCTTAGCTCGAATTTCTGTCAAGGGCGGGTAGCTGCTTGGGCCCGTCAGATTTCTCAAATGGTCGACGGCAAGTGGAGTTCACGCAGCAAACGACTGCCTTCGGGCGGCCTGTGTGATGGCTAAGAGGGCGAATTGGCGTGCACCGTTCAAGGTGTACCAATCTCGGAGTCTGCGGTTCGTGAGGAAATGGACCTTGCCGCACCAACTATACTAAGAGTTCACAAGCCTAGACTGACAGGGGCGGCCATTTGGCTGAATTCAGCGGGGCATAGATTTGAGCAGGGACCCGCACTGGTGGACATCAGAATTCCGCGGCCCGCTGTTGAGGTGGTACCAACTCCTAAAATCCATATCCAGCCCTCATAAGGGGAGCCATTTGCAGCCTACTAGTGACTCTTGGTGGCTTTACCCTCTCATGGTTCCAACTGGCTTAGGTTTTCCTTTTCTAGGTCCTCCGGTAGAGAGGTTAGAATAAGGGTACCAACTTTTTTCTGTAGTCCTTTTTCTAGTAGGGGAAACCTTCTTCCCCCAAAAAAGGGTACAAGAGCGGGCACCTAGCTGGGGGACCGAGTTTTGGGTTTCCCTTGAACTCAACGAACCAAACCCATGGAGCCGGAACCGGAACCGATTCCACACGCGAAAAGGCCGCAGTTGCCTGCAGCGCCCAGTGAGAGGCTCTCCGCGCCACGGTAGGCACCTCTCATAACGCCGGTTGGTTGGGACTAAGCTTAAATGGAAGAAAACACGAGGACTCGACGTCCAACGGTCGGCTTGGGAGCGATGGGGCAAAACGGGAGAGCCAAGGGGCCCGGTTGGGTTCAGCCACTGGAAGCAACCAAGGCCCCAGGAAGAAAGACAAGAAAACATCCAGTAGTGAAATCGATGCCTTCTAAAAACAACAGGGGAAAATACCAAAATATTCATTTGTCCAGTAAAATTGATTCCCTTTAAAACCAACAGGAAAACAGAACACGGATGCTTTTCAGCTTGGTTTAGCGGGGAATAGAAAACAGCGACAAAAACAAAATCCTCATTTCAGCCACATTTGTCCAGCGAATTCGATTCCCTTTAAAAACCGACAGGATAAAAACATGCCTTCATTTCAACAACCTTTTAACGCCAAACAGGAAAACACATCTTCTAAGTCCTCCAGTAGAGAGGTTAGGGTAAGGGTACCCTTTTTCTGTAGTCTATTTTAGCACGGGAACCCTCCCAACCAAATGAGAAGGCACCTAGCTGGGGGACAACACACATAGGTGTCCTTTCAGACGAAACCAGCAGGTAAACCAGGGCCATCTATTTTCCACCAACACAACCAAAAAGGACACCTATGGACACATCTTCTTAAGCAACCAGTCTATTTTAGTAGGGGAACCCTCCCAACCAAAAAAGGTGTCTAGACCTAGCTAGCTGAGCAACCGTAGGGAACCCTCCCCCAAAAAGGGTAAAAGGACACTACTGGGGGACCTAGTTTTAAAAGCCAAAACAGGAAAACGCATTTTCTGGAAGCCACCGGAGATCCCGAGGTATTTCCCTCTCTGAGCCGTGCACCGCTGAGCTCCGCCGCCGCCAAGACGAGGCCCAGCTGGCGCTGGGACACCTCCCGCGACCTGAAGCGGCGCCGGAGGCGCGGAAGCGCGATTTCGCGGCGCGCAAACGTGGAAAAGCCCCAGCTCCGGTCCCCGGCCAAAAGGTGGTTCGCTTGTGGGTGAAATGAAAACTGCTACAAGTTGAGAAAACTGTTGGTGGGTGAACTGGAAACTGCAAACAGTTGAGAAAACTTTGAGCGGCTTAAATGGACGCTGCGAAAGGTTGACAACTTTTAGTGGGTGAAATGAAACTACCAATCCCTAAAAGCCTAGAACCCGGAAAAAAAGCTAAGGGAGGGCTGGGAACCACCAAGTCAAAAAGCGGAATTGAAATTGAGCCGCTGACTTGACTCCCTAGAAAAAGGTTTAACTTTGTGGCCCCGAGCCAAAAAACACATGAAGACATCGGGCAGCACAAAGTTCTGGGCTCGGAAACTAAGAAGGCAAGCGAGGGACGGGCAATCATCCTCCATGTGCTGAAGTCCCATGGAAAAATGCAAATATTTTTAGCAGTGATAGATTCCCTTTAGAACCAACAGGGGAAAAAAACAAAAACAAACATAAAGTTAACCAAATATTAATGGAAGTCACGTCAAGAGAAGAATGATCCTGGCTACACATTGACCCAAGAGCGCTGTTTGACGAAAAGTGCAACTAAAAAGACAAGGCGTGGACCGCACAAATCTAAGATCTGGAGGCACCAATAGGCTAGGGACTATTGCCTGCTACTTGACCCATGTTTAAAGAAAGACTGGGATGTGAAAGCAACATGTTCGCAAGAGTCGGAAGAATATGGGATGTGAAGGCATCACAATATGTCGGGGTGCAAATTGACCAAACAGCGCATTTTGAAGAGCAACAGGTTGGCAAAGGGCCGAGCCAATCTAAGGTCTGGAAGCATCAATGGGCTGATTATGGCTGACTATTTGTTGATAACATCAATCAACAGCAAGATGATCACCAATTCGGCACAAATATGGGATCTGGTGACAAATGCTCTTGCCGCATGCGCACGTCGACACAATCAAATATTGTCATGTGGGCATGTTCTAAGTGACGAGATGCAACATAGCATATGAAGTGCGAGATCTTGGCCCAATAATATGCCAAGTGATGAATTCCATTCTCTGTTGTGAAAACATGGACCAAAGAAACATGGGGCTCCATATTCTAGGCGCGAGTCTGCCACTGCAAGCCATGACGCCGCGCACCAAATGTGTTTCAGGGCGTCAAGTGGAGCAGGCGCTGCCAAATAGGGGGGGGGACATGAAGAACTTGATGCATTGCCTCATCGTCGCACTTGGATGTTCGCGCCAAGTCAATAAGTCTGTTAGCCAGTTGGGGTATAACCGTATAACCCCCCAAAAACCGCAAGGTTAACCCCATCAAGGGGACCAATCCCAACTGGTGCGAAATGGATTGCCGGCATCCACAGTATTTAGGCAGTTCTTCCAAAACGCAGGGGTTGTAACTCCTCAATCCGACTCGAAGGCACCTTTTGGTATCAACAGTCTCCAACCTCGCTTCGAGAAGATAAAGAACCTCCCTCATGGATAGGCCCAGGTTCAGCTTCCCTATTGGTGCTTTGGAGCCCGGTTTGGTAAGTATGGGTGTCCCACTTACCCTCTACGGCTTCAAATCCCAAACCAGCGGGATCCAAGCCAAGGGGCAACCTGAGAGTGACAGCTGGGAACGAAATTTCGAAGGATCTTCGGAGGCCCGGGCGCCACCATCTTGCGGATCTCTGCTGACAGCGCCTCAGACCGGGTGGGAGTTGGGATGACCGAAAAAAGGGTGTTGGGAATGAAGGGGCGAAAGATTCCCTGAAATCTAGGGGTACCTTCCATTTCCCATCTTTCCAGGGATCCGCATCTTTCAGGAAACCATCCAACAACCCAGGGGAACCGCTGGTTTTGAAAAGAACGATGGTTGAGAAGAATGGGGAATCAACCCCTAGATTAAAGGAAGACAGAGTGGATGGTTGATTTCGAGATCATGCCATTTCTCATTCCCTGCTGAGAACCAACAAATGATGGCTAGTCCTTTTGGTGTCCCAAAACGGTGTGCTCAAAAAACAGAAACCCAAATACGTGCCACCGCTTGGGCTGTGCCCTCCCACCAAATGGCGTTTGGTGGACAACCTAGTGCACCAACCACAGGGGAAGATCATATATTTACGTGGACCAGTATAATATGTTTTTCCGCAACCACATCAACCTACATGCTTGGAGGGTAAGATTACATGGAAGAACACCGCATTTGGTCCAATTCCCACCATCCGCCAACCTGAATGACGGAATCTCCAACATCATGGGTGGGGTCGCTTTAGTTCAGGGTATGCGATATTTGCGTGCAATAAGCCCCAGCCACACCAACCTTAAGGCCACAAAGTAGCCAGCTTCCAATTGTGGTTCGGAATGCTGACCCCATACTAATCAACCCCAGTTTATTAATAGGGCCCCCCCCCCCCCCCGCGTTTAGTGGGGAATCGGAATCACGTTTGCAGGGGAACACCGCCTATTAATAAACTGGGGTAGATTCCTATGGGGTCAAGATTAGGCAGTGGTGTCCCGTTGCTGATCTGCTGCAAAACCTCGACAAAAGAGGGTGTCCTAAAATGGGAATGGGACCCTGTACATGGCACCGGCTTTGCCTCATCTTCTGCCCAAAACCAAAAAGGGGGACAAAAACAAGCGAACCTTCAACATGGGTGGCTTTTGGAGCTCTTTAACCAACCCCAAGAGTACCAAGTCCAACTATGCGTAACGTTGGGCAACGCAATCCGTTAAATGTGTTGCATGGGGAGACTGAGGCGGAAACCCGGAAACTGCCCCCATGCAGACGGCGATGGGTTTTGATCTCCGGGTTTGTCTGATGAATTTCCTTTCGGGCACACGTCCCTCTCCCAGTTCTGGAATCTGCACTTGAAGGTCTATACCCCGGCCTGGGCAACGAGCACATCTCAGACAGGGTATACTTCCACCCAACATCATTTACATGGGGACTTGTGTCCGGTTGCCCAAGGACCCAGACAAAAAAAGGTTCACCTTTCGGGACCTGGACAAAATATGGCCATGGGTCAAAATCCCGGTTGCCCCCCAGTGAACATCCCAATCCCCACTAAAATAGACTGTGGTGCACCTACCCCAAAAATGAGATCACATTGGTTTTGACCCACTGCCATATGCCCCAAAACAGGAAAACCGAAAAGTCAGCTCCAGTCGATTCGTCTGGGGGGACTGTCCACCAACCCGCCCCCGCGCGGCTCACGCGGAGCGTCTCTTGCCACGTGGCCAGCTGTTCGAAGTGCTCCTCAGCCTTCAGCGTGGCTGAGCCGTTCATCTTGCTCCTTGGCCCATTGGTCCATGGCATCGCCGTTTTCTCCCGAGCCGTTTGGTTCTAAGATAATTAGTTGCCCTCCCACGAATTCACAGTGCTGTCTGTAAAAAAATCGGTACCCAAAAGGAAACCCTGGCAAATGGAACCAACGACTAAAACCTGCGGTCCCCTGGTGGCTAAATCTTGACTCATACCGACATGGAACCCTGACGTTCGGGGTTTTCTTCAAACGGAAAATCATCCAACCAGCACCGCCCCGAACGTCAGGCTCCATGCTAATTATTGGGAGGGTATAAATATCTAGGCCTTGCAACAGAGCCTGGAAAAAACGTGGAACCGTCTATTGACATGGGTGTTGTTCTTTTTCACGCCAAGCCCCAACTTGCAACTGGTGGACATCAGAATTCGGGGATTTCATGTCCACCTTTCCCCACGTTTGAGATAGGCACGTACTAACATTGACTGCTCGCATTCAACAACTTTGAGTGGTTGGCGTACCTTTCTGGAATCTAGCCCACATTCGGCATCCGAAGGTAGAGGGATTTGACAGTTAGTGCAATCAGAAGCCACAACCCTTGGTTTTTGTAGCTTCTCAACACGCCCGCCTTCAGTTTTGTGGGGGTGTGCTTAGAAACTGCGGGACAGCTTCGGGTGGACCACTGGGGAGGGAATCAACTGCACTTTTAGAATACTACCCCATACAAGTGTCCCATGATGTTGTTCCAGGAGTAAGCCCCTAGGCTGAGGAATCTGCACAAACTAAAATAATTCATTCGCCGTGGCGTGAAGGAGTGCCTAAAATCCGGGACCTTCGCTCGTTTGACCCTTGATGCTTGCCCGTTGTTTCTGGGTGCAGATGACCCAAGGTAAATGGAGCCACTGAGAACAAATCCCTAAAAGTCCCCAACCTGATCGAGGACTTCAAGGACCCCTTACTTTGTTGCAATAATCCGTTCCCCCTATTAATAAAGGTCTCCCTAATAATAAATATTTGTTTCGGAAGTCCCAAATCCGGGAATACTACTTTTAGAATAGCCAATACTAAACCAATTCTAAAGTAGATATTTTCCTGCCCGTACTCAAATCCAGCCCCATTAGGGGGACCCCGGGGGCACGTTTCCTTTACTACGGCTGTACTACAAAGTTGCGACTTTCGAGCCAGAGCTCCGGGAGCACGTTTCCTTTACTACGGTTGTACTACAAAGTTGCGACTTTCGAGCCAGAGCTCCGGGAGCACGTTTCCTTTACTACGGCTGTACTACAAAGTTGCGACTTTCAAGCCAGAGCTCCGGGAGCACGTTTCCTATACTACGGTTGTACTACAAAGTTGCGACTTTCGAGCCAGAGCTCCGGGAGTACGTTTCCTTTGAGAACCTGCCCTCCAAAACCTGCCCTCCAGAACCAGGGGACCCCTAATAATAAAAATTGTTTTGCAGGCCGGGTATTTTTTTTATTAGGGAGGGGGGGGGGGGGGCGTCGTTTATTATTAGGGGGAAGGGATTAAGGTTGACCCAGGATTGATAGACCCCTGGTTGATTAATCGGGGGGAAGTCCCCGTTGAGAGAGGATCCTGCACGTGTCTCTAAGTAGCAAACATCAAAATCAAAGCTGTGGTCGCCAAACTTGGGCCATCCTATGCTGCCAAGAATTCGGGGTCACGGCGGCTGTTCGGCTGTTTTCCAAGGGACCGCCCTCCAAAGGTGGGGTTCATGCGACTGGTTCATGAAAGGGGCTGCGTCTTTTTTAGGTACACCAAAAGAACCTCACGCATTGCAGCGCTCCGCGGCGCTTTCTACGAGAGATGCGGGGCACTCCACGGCATATGCTATAAAGAGACTAGCTTGCAAAGCGTGGCGCTGTTCTAGCAGAGAATTGCGTAGAAAGGAAGCGGAAACACGGGACGCTCCGCGGCACTATTCTACGAGGGACTAGCTTTGTGGAAGCAGGAACATGCCATTCTACTATGAAGAGATTCTACGAAGAGACTGTGACTAGCTTATGCAGGATTCTATGAAGAGAGTAATTTCTAGCTTAGAAACGTTCCGTGGCTCGCTTGGGAACTGAAGCGGGTCAGCCAGACATTCCCCATATTTGGGTATGTGCCAAATCTGGGGACCCCCCAAAACAAAAAGAATCAAACAGATGGTGCTTTTCCTGTCGGCTTCCCTTTAAATTAAACTGACCCTCCCCCCCCCAAAAAAACAACGCTTTCCTGTTAGCTCTCTTTCAAACCAATGAAACAAAACAAGATGGTGGTTTTGTGAGCTTCCCTTTAAACCGATGAAAAGGGGCACCCTCCAACCAGCTCCCACCCCCAGCCCCGACCCCCCCGACCACCCCACGACCCGCCCCCGGGGCTTCCGCGGGCCCCGCGGCCCACGGGGCCCCGGCTCCACGGCGCGTTGGTTCGGCGTGGTGGGCAGCAGGCCTTTGGTGATGGCCTCCAGCGCCTGGAGGCTTCTCGAAATCGAAACGCGGCGAAAGGGAGCCGCGTGCTTCTTTCCGCGGTTTTGCTGTTTTGTTTGTTTTGGGGGGTAAGTTGTTTTTGTTTGTTTCCCGTTTGTTAGTTGTGTTTTGTTTTTGCTTTTTTGGCTTCCTTTTTTCTTGTCTCGCTTTTTTTCTTCCCCCGGAGGTTGGGCTAACCCACACAAGTAACTATGGGGCTATTGGTTGGTTGGTTGGTTGGTTGGGTGGGTGGGTGGGTGGGTTGGTTGGTTAATTGGCCTCATTTCAGTGACTGCCCTCTTTCCAATGGAAGCGGACGCTTGAATTAGGACCTCACCAAAAGGAAGGTAGCTTTGAACCCTCCGGTCGTTAGCTTCCATTGGGGGGGAGGGTATGTCGTCTCAAACAAAGCTGTTTCCCACAAAGGTGAGCCTGAAATGCCTGAGGGAACCACACGCGAAAGGGTCTCCTGGTTTCTTTTCGCTTTCGACGCCCTCCGACCCCTACAACAAGTCGCCATTTTGGAATCCCCCAACAGCGAAAGTTAAAGAGATGAGCCTTTTGTCTGCAATAACTGGATCTCTCTCTCTTTAGGGGACCCCCAGAATTTGTGGTTTTCCTTTTGGTGTCTAGTGTCTCTTTAAAACCAGAAAAAAGGTACCTGAAAACTTGCAGTAACTTTTTTTCGCCCCATGCAATAAATGGAGACAATCTCTCCAGTAGTGGAATCGATTCCCTCTAAAACCCAAAAAGAGGAAATTACAAAATCTTGGACGAAAGCACTCACTAGTGATGATTCCCTTTAAAACCCAAAAAGGGAAAATGACAAAAGACCGCGGCGATCACGATGTTTTTCCCTGGGGCGCTGGCCATGGGATCGATGAAGGCCTCCCAGCCTGGCTGTATGGCGTGACCCAGCCGAGGGGAAAATTCCTGGAGGCTTTGGGCCCTCGCTTTGGGTCTCCCCGGTTGATTTTCGAGGCCCACGTTCGGGCATGGGTTTTGGAGGTATGACTCGTGAAATACCACTTGTACCTGTGGCCTGCCAATGGCCAAAAGCAAGAAGTTAAGAGCGCTGACCCGTGCCGTCAGGGAGCGTTAAGGTCTGTCTTGGGAAGAGGGCTTCAAATGCTGAACCAAAGGGAAAGCGGCAACTACAACTGTGTAGTCCGGCCACAAAGTTCTGTCTTGCAACTAGGGCTTCCCCACCACTTTTCAGGTGCTTCTCGCTTTCGGAACATTTGCATCCCCCCCCCCCCCCTCCCAGCCCCTCACTTTTGGAACATGTCTCAGGTTGTCTTCCCCCCGCCCACATTTTTCAGATTGCCCCCCCTTTTGGAAAAGACGCGTCAGGTACTTCTCCCCCCCATCTCCGTGCTTCTTGGGGGCGATTCCCAACTTCAGCGCGACGCTCGAGCGACCGTCGCCGGGGCTCCCCGCGCAAAGCGCGGACCATGAAGAGCGTGGCCCGCGCCACGAACTTCTCGTCGCCTTGAGCGGAAGGGACGGGTTGGATGAAGGCCGGCGGTGTGTGTGTGTGTGTGGATGGTGGCTGGTGTTTGTCTAGGTCCTCTAGTAGAGAGGCTGGAAGAAGGGTACCCTTCTTTCCGTTGTCTATTTCAGTAGGGGAACCCTCCCCCAAAAAGGGTTAAAGGGCACAACTGGGGGACCTAGTTATTCTAGAGGTACCTTCCATGTCCATTCTTTCCACGGATCCGCATCTTTTCAGGAAACCATCCAAAAACTTCGGGGAACAGCTGGGTTTTGAAAAGAACGATGGTTGCAAAGAATTCGCCATCAACCCCTAGATTTGTGGGTATGTCAAAACCGGCGACCTCCAAAAAGAAAGGAGGTGTCCAATTGTGTAATTTGCTCCCGTGCTCCAAGTCTCACAGTCCGTTGCTGGGATGGGTCCCCGGTTGGAGCATCATTCGTTCCCTATGCCTTAAACAACTCAGAGGAATCTCAGTAGCATCTCACAAGCTTTGGCAACTCAAGAGGAGTATTAATAGGACGGGGTTATTCATCCGGGGTCCACATTACCGTGGTCTGGTCAGCTTTTCAGAGGCTCGGGGCTTTGGGGTGTTTGATACAACTGGTCGAAGCGAATCGCCTTGCTTGCTGAGCCATGGCTGAGAGGTATCACGCAACAATTGCGACACGCGGAGTTAACAAGGGTTATCATTCCCAACCCTAGTAGTTACCTAGGGGGACTCATGGGTTCTGATAGATGGGTTCTGATCGTTTACAACGCACGACAATGTGTGTAGCATCTGAAAGGAACCCATTCAACAGCTCACCCAAGCCGTTGTTTCCTCGTGAGCATCCATTTGCTGCCTGCTTGGACTTCATAAGCTGCCTGGCGATCTCTTAGCTGGTGGAAGAAGAATTCGTTTTTTCCCCAGGAGCTGACAGACAGCTATGGTTGGTCTCTGCCCAACTGGGCTCCGCAAGTGGTTCGGAGCGGCTCTGACCAGAGTTCTGGGGGTTGCAGCTGGGGATGCGAGCTGCGCTTGTCCAAATAGCAGGTGCAAGGTTGAAGCGAAGAGGGAAGCTATGACCTCCAGCCCCCTGGGCAAAAAACATATTTCCAGTAGTGATAGATGCCTTTTAAGACCAAAAGGGGAAAATCAAAATAATCTTAAGGAAACGGAAGATGACTGAAGGGACCTTCAAATCCTTTGTAAGTGACTCGGATCACCATTGAGAGGCTTCCCCCGGCAGCCCTGAAGTACTTCTGAGACGAAGCCATCTCAATTGTCAACCCCGCTACAATATGTCCCTTTCTGGTGTTTAACATTACCCCTTCAGCCAATTCAGGGTGAGCCTCCTTCAAGCGGGGTGTTGTTTAAGGGGTCCTATTTGGCGGCATTTTCATTTTGACACAAATATTTAGGGGGCTATTTAGGGAGCCCTGACCGCGCGACGGAAACTCGCTGGGCAAGCGCACGGTGGTCGTTGTGCTCTAGGCCGGGCATGAGGACACGAGTCGCCTGCGTACTAGCCAACGCATGTCCCTGGGATTTAGTTGCCACCACTAAAACAACGGCTGAGTTGGCATAACCACCATTGTTTACCGTTCAAGTTTGCATTTGCATTTTAATGGAAATTGGTTGACAGAGACCTGAAACTCGCAGCCAAACCCAGCTCCAAGTGGATCAAACGGAGGCTATCCAAAGCGAGCAACGCCAAAAACAGGCTGGATGTACTCAGGGTTGCATACTCAATGTGAGGTTTGCCCGACCACTTTCGGAAACCCACGTTGACCCACTATGTAGACACCCTTTTTGGAGGCACTTCATTTTCCTCGAATCTAGGAGCAAATCCACACACTCCAAACCGCAGCAGTCCGTCAACCCAAACAACTAGAAGGCCAACATAGAAGGAAACCACAACAAAAACCTAGGTCCTCCAGTGGCGAGGTTAGAATAAGGGTACCCTTTTGGCACGAGGCGCGTCCACGATCGGTTGCGCAGGGGCATGCCGCCCAACCACCGGTGAAAAACACCACCAGCCGAGGAGCCCAACCCACCCGCAGACAGGTAGGACCCCCCGGACAAGGCTGAACGCAGCCCTGGAGCCCAACTGACAAGGGCCCAAGGGCCAGACAAAAAGGGGGCAGAGCCCAGCAAGGGGGAGCAAAGCAACATCCCCTCGTACAAGCCAAAGGAAAAACCGAAGGAGGAACCGAATTAAGCCCGTTGAAGAAACTCATCCAAGTCATCATACCCTCCAGCCCAGAGAGGGCAGAGGGGGAGGGGCCCAAGTGGGAGCCAGCGTCCCGCATCACGGCTGTAAAGGTAGTGAATCCTGAAGGAACTGCAATCCTAGGGTGCCCCAAGTGAAGAAGACATCGGATCCCAGCGACGCCATCCAGTTACTGTTGCTGGGCCGCGTCACGTTGAACAGATACCGGTAGATCGCCCATCCCACAAATCCAGTAAATGAGGCTGTAGCAACGGGTCGACAGCAGGGTACGGTCGCATCCAGGGTCACGCCCAAGGAGTAGTGAAATGCTGAAACACTATACAGCTGTAGGTCTCCAAAGAGGGTAAAACCACCCAGGCCACCAGAAATGTAGAGCAACTACACCACAAAGTATTGATCCCTGCCGAAGCTGAATCCCCGGGGAGGGACCATGAGGTTTGCACCTGGGGCGTAGGGCAGCAAATCGCCGCCATGCAGTGAGAGGAGGGGGCCGAAGAACAGGGCCCATCCCTAGGGCAGGGATGGGCACATGCAGCGGCACCCAACCAAAGCAAGCCACACACCAGGACCATAGCGGAACAACCATCAAAAGGAGACCACAGGGGACCAGCAGACCAAGAGCGCAACACAGCAACGGAACCAAGCGCCACGGCTAGGGAGGCCGCGCACCAAACCAGACGGGGCTGCCGGGGGTGAGTACCCGACTTTGTAGACGCCCAACCGGCAGATGGCTGCCTAGCAGGGTGCTGGGCGCACCACTCCCTCAGGCGAAGCAGCTTGGGCCGAGACGCCTATAAGGGTACCCTTTTTTCTGTAGTCTATTTTTAGTAGGGGAACCCTCCCAACAAAAAAAACAAAGGGGGGGGAGAGAAAGGGCACCTAGCTGGGTGACCTAATAGAAACCATGTCACCGTGCTCTCTTCTTCCTCCATTCATCCACCCAGCCGCCCTGCCTCTCCCTGCCATCCTTTCCGCAAGATCTCGGAGTGGTGAGGCTGCACAAAGGCGTCCTGACCAACAGGCGACGGGTGCCTTGCCCACTTTGCTCCCAGGAAGTGGCGCTGGAAAAGTCACTTCTTGAGTAGGTGGCCCTAGAAAAGTCCTGTGTTTCTTGTTTACCACCAAATTGGTGTTCCCAAAAAGTATCAAGCCCAGGAACTCAGGATGTAAGAGAGGTGGATATGCAGAACTTCAGGGACCGGCTCAAAATCATAGCAAAGGATAGGGGCGAGAGGAGATGTTCCCAACACCACCTCGGCCTTTGGAAAGAAAGCCCTAAGGCCCGGAGGCAGGGAAGCGCACCTCGGCTTCGGAAGCCGAGAGCTTCTCGCCCGCAGCGTAAGGTTGACGTTGGGTTAGGGGAGCAGAAATTATCAAATGTTAGCAGCTAAGTGGATTTGGATTTCAACCACTCAATTCGGCAATAAGCAAAGATGCAAAATGTTTCCCAACAACAACCATGGCAACAGCGTAAGTTTGTCAAGGGTCAACGAGCGGGAGGAACCTGTTGGGAGGCCTTTTCAGGATCATCCAAAACTCCTGCGCTGCGTCATTGCCATAGAGGGCTCCAAAACAGAAGCTGGCATGGTACCCTTGCTCAGTCTGAACAGGTTCGCATCGTACCCTGATGTCAAGCAGGGTTGGTCAGAATGTGCTTAAACAACCAGTGCCTGGCCGCACTTAAACGGGAACAACCAGGAGATTGGTCAAAGAGAAATTTCAAATTCAATCCATGTTTCAACCATAGGTGACCGTTTGGACAAATAGCTGGATTTCCCTCAGAAATAGAATAAAACCAATCTAGACCAGAACAAACCTGTCTATCTCTAACCAAACCAACCTTTCCCTCATAAAAATAATAAAACCAATTTAGTGTGGAACCCATCCGTGTCTAGCCAAACAAACCGACCACAAGGAACTGGCTTGAAGCCCAAGCCAGGTGGATTTGGGCCAGGTTCCAAAGGCCGCGGGTGTGCCTCATCTCCGTGCATGAAGAAAACCGGCACCTCGGGTTTTGGGTTTTGGGTTTTGGGATTTTGTCACGGCTTGGGACCTCCGAAAAACCTGGAGACTCGGTCCTCAGGGATCCGGATGCATGAAAAACACCTGAACATTGCAACTTGTAAATGGTTTCCAACTTTATTTTGGTCCTCCAGATTTGAGAGGTTAGAATAAGGGTACCCGATTTATTATTTGTTTTCCCGGTAGTCTATTTTAGTAGGGGAACCCCCCCAACCAACAAGGGGTGAGAAAGGGCACTACTGGGGGGCCTAGTTGAGGCAACCGAAGTCCAAAACTGTTTGGGGTGTGTTTGCGTGGGGGGTCATAGGAGCAGATAGCAATTGCTTGCCCGGGTTTCTTCTTTCTGAGCTTTCGACATTTCCCCGACCACTGCACGGGTGCGGACATGGGGGCGCCAAATTGGACACAATGATTGACCGCGGCTCATGGGCCTTTCTCCGAAAGGGGAGCCATGAGCCTCAAGCGGGGTGAGCTCCTGGCTTTGAGCAATGAGGTTCCAACCCAAACAGGTGGCCTTTGAGCCCAAGACTTGTCATGGGCTGTTCAAAGTCCAGATCGGTTGGCCCCCAGTGGTTACATCAACCAATCCAACCACTAGAATCCCGGGTCTAAAATGGGTGGGGATTTTTTTACCTACCAACCAAAATGGAATTCCATTGGTTTTGACCCACAGCCAATGTTTAACAGGAAAAAATGTCTGGTGAGGAAGACACCCCTTCCGCGCCAAAAAACAATGCTTGTTCCGCGGGCATGTGCTGGTGCGGTGCATGTTTTTTAATGTCCCAAGCAGTGAAAGGTTCACGCAGCCAAGACACGCCAATCACACTCTTCACACTGAACTGGACGCAAAACAAAATGTTTAGAGCCGGGCATCTAGCAACGAGCTGGCGACTTCGGGACACCAACCTTGAAGTGTCCCGATCTGAGTTTGCCGTAGTCCAAGCAACCTCCGGGGGTCAACCTCTGACACTGTCTCCGCCCAACTTTGGAAAACAAAGTTTTCACTTGGACAAAACGACTTGGAACAATTATCCATCTCCAACTTCTGCAACAGCTCCGAAACCTGAAAAATAATAACTAGGTCCTCCAGTAGAGGGGCCGGAACAAGGGTACCACTGTTTTCGGTAGTCTATTTTAGTAGGGGAACCCTCCCAACCAAAAAAGAAACGGTACAAGGGCACCTAGCTGGGGGACCTAGATAAGATATGCCCAGGCAAAGAGCCTGCGCCTTCATGGTGAGCCCAGTCTACCCCGACTTGGAGTTGGAGCTGGATTTGCGCGCTCAGAGCCGCGCGAAGCAGCTGTCCAGGTGTTTCAGCGGTGACACCTGCCAGGGCTCCTTTTGGCTTGAGCTACTTTGGCCCAAAGGCGAGGGTTGCCTGACTTTTGCTCGACAACATGGTCATGTTTTTGTCCAGAAGCTGAGGAAGTGAGCAAACATATTTCATATATCTTGGTCTTAAGGAGGGAGTGAGCGAACCAAGCACATATATCTAATCATATGCCACACTCTATTCAATTACGGGGGATGGCAGGCCAGAAGCTGAGACCATATCATATAAGTCTAATCACATGTCGCCTCTCTGGTGAATGGCGGGGCATGGCGGGGTTCCTCTATTTGCTTCATACTGCACAGCCAGCGAACTGTATCACTATCTTGACCCTCAAGAAAGTAATGGGAAGCTCCCCCCGCCCCTGGAGCAGGGGAAACCGTGCGCTTGCAACATTCCCCCCCCCCCCCCGAGTAAAGGGTGCAGTTCGATTCCAGGGATTAGGGTACCTGCCATGGGTGACCTTTTGGAGAAATAGATGGCTCTGCTAGGAGTAAAACCCATCTCAACCAGTGCCATCTATGTCCGACCGAGCTAACCTAACGTCAGAAACCGTGGGGGCTCTGTTTGATCAGGGATCAGTTACTTGCCCATGTCTGAACCAGGTGGCATGGTTCACAATTCATTCTATTCGCCATGGCCATGTGTTCGTTTAGCAGAATCCATTGAAATAAAGTCAGCCGGAGGTTTCTCAACACAGGAATCCGTACCCAAATGGTTGGTGTCCTGTTGGTTTCCCTTGAACCCCGACCAAAAGGAGGCTTTTCCACCATAGCAACACCCAGTTGTATTTCAGGTTGGATACCTTTGAACGCCCTGGTGGCTACTCCCAGCTAACGTTTACCTGGACCGCGTTCCTGCAGGCATGGTCAAAACAACGCATGTTGCCAATGGGCAAACTAGCCAGGTATCTGTGGGGAAACTTGGGGCTGTCCCGAAACCCTAATGGTCCATCGACTCTTACCAGTAAATTTGGAGAAATTTGCTTCGGGGATCTTCATCCAGACACATCCAAACAGGCTCTTTGCCCAAGAAAACAGAAATTGATTCAGGGATCTTCAACCATTTTCAGACACATCTAACCAGCATACCTCAAAAAGAGGCGGTTTGGAGGTGTTCCTGGGATGGTTCCTGGTTCCCATTTACCCTCCAACCCTTTCCACAAACCACGGCAGTGTGGACAATCACCACGGGTGGCTTTCCACGGATCCTCCCATGACTTCACTACTTAAGACTTGAAAGGGCTCCCCCCCTTGGTACGTAATTGTCACAGAAACTGGTGCCAAAAAAGGTTCTCTATACTTCCACTTAGAACCTCACCTACCAAGACAAACTCAAAGGAAATTCACCTTCAAATGGACCAAAATGTGATGCGGGTGTGAATCTTAATTTTTAAGGACCCAACTTGGTGGACATCAAAATTTGGCTTAGATGCATGCAACCACCAACCACACTTTGTGAGGTGTTTCTCAACTTGTTGAATCAATGCCCAGTAAAACCAACCAAACTAACCAAACATGGTCCCCAAGGGACCAAAAGCTAACGGGACATATGGGTATGGGTCAAAATTTAACCAGGGGATCGCAGGTTTAGTTCCTGTTTCCATTTACTTGGGTTCCATGTTGGGTCCTATTCTTGACCCACACCCATACCGGGACCCCTGCACCCCCCCCCCCCCCCGATTTTCCCAGAGCCTCACGGATGTCGAAGCCGGCCTAGTGAAATGAGTCGCAAGAATGTGGGGGCTGCCCACGGCCGCTTCTTTTGGGCTTCGAGTTGGGGTGGCGAACTTGGTTCCTTAGGGTCAGCCCTTTGCAACTTGGCACTTCCCCTTTTGTTCTTTCAGAAGTCCTTTGAAAGCAAACGCTTGCGCTTCCTGCAAGGAAAAGCCTGGCTCAGCTTTTCGCCGCCTTGGCACTATGCAACATGTTACAAGTGCTCTTCACGAGATGGGCATGGACAAAGTCCTGCAGTTATGCAGTTGGGATGGTGAGTCACCATGATTCAAATCCTGAGATGGCCCAAAAAAGTCCAAAAATGTCAACATATTTGTGTACCACTAGAATGGTCTTCCCAAGTATAAAGACCAGGAACTCAGGAAGTGAGATGAATAACCACTTGATGAATCCATCAGCTGGCGCCTGGTGGCGGACTTCGTTCAGGGGAGAAGCCTGGGATGAAACCAACCTGGAGTCACATCCTGGAGGGCGCAGTCAAAAAGGGATCGGGCAACACCGAGAACAGCCCGTTAGGCACAAGCAAGGAAATTGCAAGCAGGTCCCAACCAAGGACAATAACTCATCACTTACTTAGACTTGGTTCGTCTTTATTGCAAGTCCAAGTGAGTAAAATGAAAAGAGCTTAAACATGTAAGGTTTTGCAACCCAGTGGCCAAGCTTACCATTCACCTTTTTACCCTTCGATCGTAAAGCTGATGAAAAAACCTCCCCGACGCCCCCCGGACCTTTGAATGGTCCAACAGCAAAGAGGTCTGTTGCAAAAAGCTGAGGCCACTGGACCTTTGACAGGTTTCCCGGTTTCCCGGGGATTGAACTGGTGGTTTTTGAATTAACCGGTTTTCATGGACTGGCGGTGTTAATTGACTGGTGAATCAGTGAAGGCTGAGGGCTCAACGGAAAATTGAGATGGATTCCTGAAACAGGGCAAAACCCGAGTGTTGAAAGACCCATTGAGTTCTTCGCCAAAAAGAAGAAAAAGAAAACAAATCCTTTATGTGGCCTGCCCGCCTTCAAACAATATTTGTTTGTTTTAACATTAGAGTGCATGCTGCCAACGCCTTGCCTGGGGGAAGGAACACCGACTCCTTGGGTAGGTTCCACCCTTGCACGTCAGGAGAGTTCTGGCGGAACGAACACAAAGAAGCCTCGTCGTGAACGAGTTAGTCGCGTGCCGGTGGTTCACCTTTTTTCACCTTCTTGTCACGGACCTTCTGGGGGAATTCGGGCATCTGCGACCACGGGTCACACCAGGAGAGCAAGCATTGTTGACTTCCCGTCACTGAATCATCGACGTCCGTCAACCTTTGCCCCGTCGCGATAAGGCAGTCAGAGCCATGGTCGAGCACTTCTTGTCTTAGCAGCTGCCATCTTGGTGAGAAGATGCTCACAAGGGCGCATGAGACAAGGACTTCACTGGAAACCACCGGGATCTGCCCCAAACCTGGTGCCTTTTCAAGGTACCACACAAAAAGTGCCACTGAGCAACTGGGCCATGATCTAATGGCCGAAGTGATTACAAACGTGATTCTCCCATGAGGTAGTCCGGGTCGGAACTCAACTTGTCAACCAAAATGGTGACTTTCCTTTTGGTGTACCCTCAACAAGACACACACCCATTTCAATTGTGTAGGCCCTGACGTGGGTGTGCCTGTTTTGAGGGAACCCTTTTTGGTTTGCTTTTACCGGACACCAAACAAAAAACCGCTGGCTTGGTGGGTTCCCCCATTGAAAGCAACCCCACACAGACATGGATTGCCTTGCCTGCTTCTGGATGGCCATGCGAATGCCCTCGAACACAGCGCCTTGCATGAGCGGGTGTTCTGCTTGGAGGGTACCCTATGTCTTGTTTAAAGGAAAACCAGCATGACAACCGTCCTTTGGGTTGTTCCCCCGAACTTTAGCACAAATCCACATGGGCCAGAAGATTGAAGGCGATTCCCAACCTGAAGAAATCACACGATGGCCAAACAATTCGCAGATGAAGAACCCACTAATTACACTCCCTCAGACCAACAGCCAGAAGCTCCCCCAACTGGACTCTGACGGAACCAAGTCTTCCAAAAGGGGAAGCTTCCCTGGAATCGCCTGGGGGAGGGTTTTGGCAAAGGAGAGACACATCCGCGCTGCAAATGTGGGAAACTCCATGAGGGACCCGTGAGCAATCAGAGCTTCGGGTCTAATGACCAACTGCACTTGCCACCTGGCCATGGACAAAGCCATGTCCACCGAGGCAACAACAAGCAATTCTTGGCAAACACTGGACAACTCACTTCCTGAGTGGATGGCTGAAGAAAAGCCCAAACTTTCCGTATGCCACAAAAATGGTCTTCCCGAAAAGTATGAAGTCCAGGAACTCAGGAAGTGAGACAAACCGGTGCACCCACGTGGGCAAAAGAAGAATGGTATGCGCCCTTTTGGGTAATCTTTGGAGTGGGACCAAAGAGGAACCCGGTGCTTTCGGGACCATTTCGGAGCTAAGGCTTGACTTGCGAGGCTCGGTACCATGCCGAGCCCTGAATCAGACGCCAAAAGGAACTGGAAGCCTCTTGGAACTGGATCGAACCACGACGCGAACTTGCGGGGACTCTGGGCGAGCGCACTCCAAGCGAAACGAGGGAAAGGTCATGAGAAATGATCACCGCCGTTTGATGGACGCCCATTTGGGGGAAACCAACATTGGTCTCTGTGCGATTTGGTCACAAGACCTGGAATCCCGGACTTTAGTCAAGGCGCCGCAAATGACGCTGGGCAGGTTCAGCTTGGACTTGACGATCTGGCGGAAAGGCCGGCTATGAGCCACTGTGATCTGTGTGTGTGTGTGTGTGTTTCACAGTGTGTGCGTGCACCCGGACATCGGATTTTGGTGATCTCCATTTGCAAATTGGCAATCTGGCAAGTGCCGTTCGAATGACATGCCGTGGATGGGTATGATTGACTTGGCGCCCGCTGGGATGACTGCGATAAACCGCCTACGACTCTAATGTCATTACGAACTTCGGGTAACCCCGAATTGGTGGTTTGGATTGGTGGCTTGGATTTGGACTTGATCGGTTCCCCGGTTTTCGTAGAGGGCACATGGGTGTTTCCCCCTTAACCAAACCACCGGGCTCCGAGCCACCAAGTAGAGGGAAGCCGACAACTACTGGAGAACAACATATTCGTAAGCAAATGGAAGATGTTGGGAGGACTTGCCATGTTCAAGCAGCACAAATGGATCCATGGATCCCATCGAACTCTCCCATCCTCTTCCATGAGGTTGCAGAGGTCGCTGAAGGGGCTGTCCGCAACCTGGCTTACAAAATCACTCGGATCACAACCAAGGAAGAACAACGCATGTGTTTTGCCACTCATTTTTGGTGTTTGATTTCAAGGGGCACCACTGACTTGATTGATTCTAGGAATCTGAGACAGGCTCAAACAAATTACGCAGCTTCGAGAAATTAAATGGGCGGTTGAAATGTATATAATATATTAGGGACCTCTCAGATGTCCCGAAGCTCAAATCGGAACAATCGACCCCCAATTTTTGAGACCACACATAGCCTCCGGACTTGAATGGAGCTCCATGTTCTGTGGAAAGGTAATTCATGGCTTCCCTCAATTGGCAAGTTTGTGTGGGCCTCGTAGCCTGCTAGTACTCATGGCTTGCCCCCCTTCCAGCATTTGGCATGTGAGCCAACTTGGTTGTCTTGCAACCAAACATGTGTACAGCACCAACTAAAAACGGCCATGAGTCAAAATCCCGTACCCTCAGTGAACATCCCAATCCCCACCAAAGCCAGCAGACTAGAATGGGTGGTGCACCTACCCCAAAATGGTATTGGTTTTGACGCACAGCCAAACAGCTAAAGCAACATGCCAAACACAGCGAAGCATCGTTTTCCCTTCAAAGCTTGCCCCGGAGAAAACGTCAACAACGGCTCGTGGCTTATTGGACCCCATTCCTACGCGGCAGACGTGGAGACATGTTGAAAGGTGAACAACCAAACACCGGGAACCCCGCCTCACTTGCCGAAAGGACCCCGCAATAGAAGGTTGACCTGTTGAAACTTTGACGAAATATGGACCAAAGCAGGGCAAGCAAAAGGTGAAAAAGGTGAAAAAGGTCGGCTCGGAGCAAGCAACAAGGGAACTTCTCAACCCAAGAAACGAGTCTCAGAAATCTCTCAAGCAAGCGAAATCCCAGGTCTACCTTCCATGGAACCTGACTACTCCTGGCTACCATGATCGGCTTGGCATAGGTACGAGTAACCGGGCAACCAAAACCGTGATTGTCACGATTTCAGGTCCACGGTCCATCCAAAGCCTAAATCACAGGGTGTTTTTGTGCGTCACATTTTTGCCCAAAGGGCTGTCCCCAGGGGTCCCGTGGGAAGAATCTGAACCAGGCTGGGAAGCTGATGCTCAACCACTTTTTTTTGTTTTCAATGACTCATTCACCCATGTTGGCTCATCCCAACCTTTTAGGGAACAGCCCTGCTTAATGTTGAGCCCTGATGAATCACACCCCCCCCTCCCCTTCTTATTCAGAGTCTCCCTGGAAGAAAGGAACCCCCGCAAACCAAACGGAACGTGCCTCAACTAGGTCCTCCAGTGGAAAGGTTTGCCTAAGGGTACCCTTTTTTTCTGTAGTCTATTTTAGTAGGGGAACCCTCCCCCAAAAAGAAACGGTCAAAGGGCACTATATATTGGCGAACCTAGTCAATAACAAGTGGCTTGATTTCATCAGGGCTTAAAACAAAAATACCCCGGGTGTCGATTGCACGGTTCGCCCCACCCGCGCGCGAAAAACCCGGGCTCCGGGCGATGCCGGCCAACGAGGGATCCCGCGCGCCGTGCAGGACCTCATGTCTCACCGGGGCTCTAAAAATCACCCAGCCACTCTAAGCTGGAAACTGGGCTGTCCTCAGATCCCCCGCTAAAAGTTTAACTGTTAGTCGGTTAAATGGAAATGCCCAATAAACACTAAAAGGCTAAAAAGCTAAGGGGATGGCTGGTTCCCCAAAAAATAGAGTTGGAACCTGTTCGTTCCCAATTTTTCCTCCAAACATGAACCAACAAAAAGGCCACTCACTTTAAACTGGCCCCCTGGTGACCTTTCTTTAAACCAACCCAACTGGCAACTATTTCAACGACCTCCCCAACACGCTTCTGATCCAGGTACCTCAGCTGTTGCCCCCAGCCCGGGTGCCATTTTTTAATTTGTGAACTTTTGGGGGTTGGTTTCGAATTGTAAACCCCATTGGACATGAAAGTACTTTGATTCTGGCCCAAATTTAGTGAACCTTAAATGTAAACTCATGTCAAATGTGATCCTAAGGGTCAATTGGGCGCAAGGACCGCAAGTTGGGGCCGTCTTTTCGTTGGAAACAGGTGGACCAATGCTACTGCAACCTAGAGCTTCCAGACGGACATGATGCACCCCATAAATAATTTGTAATTTAGTTGACGGCTGGCGCAGGGGAGTCAACAACCATGAACCAAGCAAGCCACATACGTAGTTTACAGAAAACTAACCGCTTCACTACCAGGTAGACTGCGTCTTCAAATAGATGACCACCCCCACAAGGCGCTGTCTTGGTTCAAGAATACACCCTCCAGGACTTGCCTTTCCAGGAGTTTTACACCCAGTCATTCTGGGAGAAAACATGGGACTATTCTAAGTATCCAAGCTTGAGCCCCAGGAGCAAGCAGAGTTCTGGCCACCACTCAGGTAAGCCGACTTTGAGCACCGCTCAGCTTTTCCACCTCGTTGATTCCGATTCCATTCTTTTCAACCATCGTTTTCCAAAAACAGATCTGTCAAGCCCTTGAGCGGTTGCAAGGCCTTGAGTTCACGGGATTCCTTCGAGTCACGATTGGATCTCTCATGAGTTGCATCTTGGTTCAGAAACCAAATGGCTGTGGTTGTCAAAAATAGGGTGACCCCAAAATGGCTTGCCCTGGCGAAATGGAAACATGGAATGCAACCTGCGGTCCCCTGGTGGTGAAAACCAAAATCAATTGGCAGCCGATGGCGCACGCTACCTTCATCCCGTTTCCGTAAGTTTCCCAGCCGTAGCCAATCGCAAATCGGATTTTGGGTGGCCCCAGGAGTAACAAGCACGTCATGTTCCCCTTGAAAAGTGATGCCCCCCCACTACAATTCACCCCCCCCACATCAAAATGAGGTGTTTATTGACCCCCCCCAAGCTGGGTGGTTTCCTTTTGGTTTCCCTCTAAGACCAATCCAAGCACCACGTAGATGCCCTTTGGAGATGCGGGTATGCCTCTGCCCCACACAAAAACCCTCTGCCCCTCGGAGGGTTGCTGTACTGGGCTGTCCGTTTTCAGATCCCCTGCTAGAAGTGCATTAACTTGCAGTCAAATTCTGAGACTCAACCACTAAACCAACTAAAAACCACTAAAATCCTAAGTTTTTCGAACCAAGTTTAGATACCAAACCCGATCAGCCAACAACTCGACCAACCTCTCCATCCACCCACTCAATCCCAGGGTCCCCGCCGAGGTGGTCGCGCCCATGGACCGGCCCCAAAGCCCAACCTCAAGACGCTTCTACGTCGGCGCGGTTGGGTTTCGTCTCAAGGGAAACCAATCTATTGTTTGGCTTGAGTTTGTCTCAAAGGAAACCAATCCCTAGAAGCCCAGGACCTCATGTATGGAGGTCTCAGCCAAAGCCTCTAATTTCAGGTCTCGAACAGAAAGCCTTGACTTATGAGGTCTCGGGGCTCCTAGGGAATAGATAAGATGTATGTATATATATATATATGTGTTGCTCTAGTTATTCGTCCTCTTCTTCTGTTCTGCGAGGGTCTGTCTCTCAATAGGACATATAATGTTATGCATGGTGTTTTGAGTTCCTGGGGGCTGTTACATAATTTGTGCTTATTCCCCGTGGTTGCTTGCTGCTGGGATTGTCTTCCAAATGGAAGGCAAAGCAAACCCTGAAAAAGGGTCCTCCCCGCCAGCAGAAAGAACTGCCTCCACCAGCACCTGCAACGGCTTGAGAGTCTGCTAACGAGTGCAGGCAGCGCTCGGCGTATCAAGGCCGAGCGCAAACGTCGCTTTTGTTGCCGAAGTAGTACAGTGAGCGATTTATGGCACTCCCTCTAAAAGGCTATCCCATATAGAGCTATCCCAGCTCGGATTGAGCCCAGGCCAAACAAATAGCCCGATTGGGCGACTGCCTAAAATTCCGAATCGAATAAAAAGTGCAAATAAAAACACCCGAATGCTCCAATTGGTCAACACGGATTTCATATTCTGTCCTGGGCGACATGTAAGGACCAAGCTCTGGCCCTTTTGGGGGCAATTGAAAGGAGGATGTGTAAACAACACTTGGATGCTCGATTCGCCAGGTTAGTGTCTGTTCGCACCTGCTTCTGTTTCACCCCCTAAGGGTTCACTGGGCTGTCCTCAGATACCCTGCTAAAACCGTAACTTTTAGTGGTTGAATCGAAACTACCACTAAGCCGTAAAAGCCTAAAAGGCTTAGGGGACGGCTAACACCAAAGTGCCCGCTCATGACTCAAGCAAGCAAGCAAGCAAGCAACCAACCAAACAAACACACAATGTGCCATCGCTAGGGCTGGCATCTCGTTTTGGGATCAGACATTTTTGGGCTCCTTCTGTTAAATTGCAGCGCGGGTAAAGGGAAAAGCTGGAACGTTGCCGGTTGGGCCAACCCCTTGTTTCAACAACAGTATCGCAACCCTTTGTTTCAACAACAGTATCGTGGTGTCCCTTTAAAGGAGACTCTCCAACAAGATTGAAACAACACGCGCCAGTTGCTTAACCAACTGTAGGTTGTAGAATAAGAGGCGTTCAAACCAACGAAAAGCAAGTTTTCCAGTGGGCAGCAAAAAGGGGGGGAGTTCTTCAACTGAACCCAGCAAAGGTTTGGTGCAGCCCGCTGGTTTTGGCGCCCCCGGCCCTGGTGTAGCCCTTGCGCTCCCGGAGGTGCTGGACCACCTCGGTTCCGATTCCGAGCGGACCCTTGGCAACATGGGCGTCCTAGGGGAAAGAGATGGCCCTGGTAGTTGATTGAACCACCAGGTAACCGGGGCCCTCTATTTTTCAACCAAATCAACCAAAAAGGACTGGTAGTTGATTGAACCACCAGGTAAACCAGGAATCGCGCCCAGAGTTTTTTCAACCAAATCAACCAAAAAGGACACCTCTTCCACCAGTCCTCCGACTCGGGAGCTCCGTGCTCGAAGATTGTTTGCAGGACTGAGTGCAGAGACAAGCAACAGCGACTCCCGGCCACAACACAATTTGGCTTTGGGCAAAGCCGGCGAAGCTTTCGCCGGACTTGTTAGAGGAGTTTGCCCTTTGTCTTGTGCTGCGCCTCAATCATCTGGAAATGATGCAGGAGCATTTCCGATAGCTCTGGGCAAGTCAAAGCAGGGGGAAACGGGCGAAACAAAAACCCTCTTTTTTATGTGGCTTTTTGTTGGTCGTATATGGGTTGTCTCAAACAAGGGTGAGCTTCCCCACAATGGTGGTCTTCCTTTAAAACCAAAAACAAGGGAACCACACGTCTTACTCGGCTGCCCAAAGGACCCAGAAACAAAAGGTTAAGAACCTTTTGGGACCTTGACTAGGTCCTCCAGTAGAGAGGTTAGAATAAGGGCACCCTTTTTCCGTAGTCTATTTTAGTAGCAACACGCTCCCCCAAAAAAGGGTAAAAGGGCACTACTGGGGGTCCTGGTTGCCTAAATATGGACCAACACAGGAACACCAAGAGGTCAAAAAGAAGCTCGGAACGCCAAACGGTCCCCAAGCAAAGTAGGGCCTCCAAAAGCACCTGATGGGCATGGCCTGATGAACACTTGGCCGGGATCCAACTGAAGTGCAGGGCACCCAATCAAAGAAAGTGGTCGCCCAAAACTGGCTGGTGATTGGAAACCGGAAACCTCCATTTTGCTCCTTTGCTCGTTGGTAAGCGGGTAAATTGCAACATCCCCTGCTCGTGTGCTCGTCCCTGAAACCCAGCACCCGAACCTCGTGCCAAAACCGGTGGTTGGCCTTGCAAGCCAGCTGTTTGTTGTTAGAAGGATGGTTTCCCATGGGCTTTCCTTGTGTTGTCATTTGTTGACACCTAAACTCAACAAAACACATGCTCTGGGTATCTATTTGGAGGATACCCTTTTTGTGGTTGTCCAAAAGGAAAACAAAAGCATACCATCGTTACGTCACCCATTTGTGGGGGGGTGAGGCTGAGTCTTAAACTCTGAACGAGTGGATTGGCCAAAACAAAGTCTGACTTGGCCGCCATCACGGTCTTCCCAACGAGTGACCAAAGTCCAAGAGCTGACAAATGACATGTTTCCCGACGTGTCAGATCCTTTTCAGCCACGTTTGGCTCGGGAGTCCTAAAGCTCTCTGAGTAAACTGCCCGATTGCGATCATTTACACAGCGGCAACAAGGACCCCCCTAATAAGACAGCCTTATCAAGTGATGTACCTGGTCAAACACATCACCTTGTCCCTAGTTGGTTCTTTGGGCCATAGAAAAGTGGGGGTCAAACCCCCAAACCACCAATCCACGCCACCAATTGAGGGGTACCTGATTGTAGCTTGCCCTGAAACCTTCCAGTTGCCTAACCCCCCTCGAAAGAAGTTCCAGTAGTGAAATCGACTCCCTTTCAAACCAACAAAGGAAAACAAAAAAAAAACATCTCTCGCTGGTGCTCAGCAGTGAAATGAGCATTTCCGCAAATGGAAGGCAGCCGAAGCCTCCTGTCTGCCCGCTTCGCACCATCCAGGGCTCCCTATATTTATTCTCAAGACATCACCCACACCAAAGGACACTCACCTTTGGGCCAAAAAGGTGAGGCTGTGGCGGTCAAAAATATGGTAACCCCAAAATGGCTTGCCCTAATGGAACCAAGGACCAAATCCTGTGGTCCCCTGGCGGCTTAATTTGACTCACAGGGATCCGGATGCATTCTACACCTCAACATTGCAACTTGTAAATGGTGGCTTCCAACTTTAGTTGGGTGTTGAAAAAGCAATTGTTCAATTGGGTGCAACATCTCACCCATGCCTAAAGTCACCGATCCCTATATTTCCCCTGAAAACATCACCCCAACAAACACTCTGTGGGTATGGGTCAAAATACAATCACCAGAGGACCGCAGGTATTAGTTACCTATTTGTGACCCATCGCCATGTTTAAAGTCACCCAACAGGGAAATCTCGGGACCCCTGTCCGCCCGCCCTCGGATCTTTTTCGATGCCGGCGGCCGAGGCGAGGTCGTCGCGCTCGAAGTAGCCCAGGGAGACGTACTCCCCGCCGCTCATGGCTGGCAATACCCGAAGCTCAGGCGCTTTAAAGCTGGTTCTTTTAGGGGTGGTTTAGGGTGGGTTTTGGTTTAGGGTTGGTTCAGGGTCGGTTCAGGGTTGGTTTAGGGTGGGTTTAGGGTGGGTTTTGGTTTAGGGTTGGCTTAGGGTTGCTTTGGGTGGGTCTTGGCTTGGTTCAGAGTTGTCTTCGGCTTGGTTTAGGGCATAGGGTCTCTTTCGTGCGGGTTTAGTGCCCGGGCTTGAAAAATAACAGTTGCGTTGTATCTACTAACAACCTCGGCTTTGGAATCTAAGCTATCACCTTGTTCATTTATCTGCTTGTGTTTGAACGCCAAGTATGGCGTGACTGAGTGGGGGAACGCAGGGGTACATCCTCAGGACATGAAACTTGCCCTTCAGGAACCACGAAGGAATCCTTGAAAGGGGCTATGGGGCCTGAGATCGTACTCCCTCGCAACACTTCGCCGAAGGATTGGTCTCCTTTTCAAGGCAGTCCTTTAAACATGCGCATGGCTCTGCAGAACCTGGTCAATATGACTCTACTATATGAGCGGTTCCCTGTACAGGGGACCTGAGAACTGGCTGGTGTTCGAATAATTTCTCTTGGAGACATCCCCCCCAAAGATCGATCGCTTTTAGTGTGGTATCTCTCGAAACAAGAAAAGGTATAATGGGAGCACGTGCTGCTTCTCTTGCAGTTTCTACAAATGAACGGCATCTACCGCTTCCTTCAATTTGCTGGTTTGGATTGCTGGTTTGTTGGATTGATTTGCGTCGTGTCCCGGAGGTTCGGATCCCCAAACCACCCAAAGCACCAAGTAAGGGCTACCCCTGAGATCAAGTATCAAGACAAGGCCGACACAAATACCACGCCACGGACGGCAATGTGGAACTGGGATACCGGACATGCTGCACCTCAAAAGGGTGAGGAACCCCCCCCCACTGACGGACAAGAAACAACCTGGTACTCAGTAGGGAATGACCCTGAGCTTTGGGGATGAACTGTTAAAGGAAACGGAAAACCAAAATCAAACCGCCCATGTTGGGGGTTCCCCATTTGAAGACACATACATGTATTTATGGTACCCCCTCCCCATGGACCCTGGTTTGGTGAGCTAAAAGGCACTAAAACCGGAGTCCACGGGCGGGGGGTTGAATATATATATATATATATACATATCTCTTGTTTTGTGTGTTTGGGTGTGCGGAATGCTGAAGATGCAACAATAAAAACCAAGAACTGTGACGGCTCGCCTTTTGACGTCTTTCTTTCTTCGGGGAAGGGGTTTTGACACATAACATCATACCAAGAACAAGACTGACACACAAACAACAACTTGAAAAACCGGATCACAAAGACGAGAAAACAACACTTGTGCAACAGCACAGGGGAAAACGAGGGAAAGACCAAACTTCTGCAACTTCAAATGCAAGGCCTTCGAATGACTCAAGTTGTCCATTGGGGCCGGGGTGTGTCCTAAAATAGAGGGACCCCGCCCCCCCCAAGAAAAAAAAAATGTTTCCCGCCAAAGCCATCCAAAAAACGGGCTCCCAAAAGAAGGGACAAACCCATTTGAAGGAGAAGCTGGTTGCACCTTTCAGCAACATTCCCGCCTGATCCGGCGAAGTCGAAGCAGCACACCGCGATGTTCAAGGGCAGGAAGCAGTGCACCTGCCATTTTCTTCACCCAAACGCGAGGCCGTGTCTTCGGCGCCGTTAAAAGGGCCCCAGAGATGGGAGAGGGCTCAAATGATGGGGTGTGCATCAAAAACACAAAACATAAGCATGATAGGAGTCCAGTATAACTTGCAGCCCCTAAAAAAAGGGGGCAGCTGGTTTTCCTTCCGAGGAAAACCTTTCGAGGGTGTACTTCGATGGACCCGTCACCGCTTTTGGGCTTTTGCTTTCTGTGGATGGCGATTCCCACTTGGCTCAAGCTGGGCATCCCAAAAGGCGCTCGGGGTGCAATCAAAAAAGTTGGACCGTGCGGTTCTCGCTTGGAATTGGCCCAAAAAAGGTTTACTCGGTTGCGAAATCTGCGAAGCCCTGCTAAAAGTGACTAACTTTTAGTGGTTTAGTGGAAAACCAAAATTCGTTGGCAAAAAGTTAAAGTCCTAACAGCCAAGCAAAATGCACCAAAGTTTAAACTTGCGTTCCACTTGGCTTCAACTAACATCTTCCTTTGGTGGACGCCAGTTGGGACATTCATGTCTACCAACCACTTTTGAGGCGGTTCCTTGTCAAAAACTCATGGCCATGTTGACTGCTCGGTGTCCTCTCCTCGTCCTTGTGACGAAGAAGCGTCTCAAGGTAGAAAGCTAGCCCCATACAAGGGTTCCCCACTGGCCCAGTGACCGGGCAAAGAAAACAAAAAAGACTTTTCGAGGTCGACCACGAGTGAGGAACCCGCCAAACAAAAAGATCCACTTGAGCGCCGGGTAAGCGAAAGCTAGCCAGCCCAACGACACGTACGACTCAGTTGCCTAAAAGAAGCGAAAGCTCAGGGAACTCCCAGCACAGCTAGCTTTCGTGGCTTTTTGGGGGGGTTGAGCACCTGCGGTTAGCTTCCTTCTGCTTTGCTTCCCACAAAAAACAACTCAGAAGTGCCCGCTGGATTGGGATTTGAAATTTGGGCTTGTCTCTGCTTGCGGAAACCGGACACCCCCCAAAATGGTCAATCAACAAACTGCAACTGAAACAATCAAATTGAAAAAGGGTACCCTCCCGTCCACTAACATGGAGCTTGACTGAGGATTCCGGAAGGCTATTTGCCTTTAAAAGGGACCCTCTGGTGGGTTCCATGTTAGACAGGACGGTAATCACCTTCAAAAAGGCCCCCACAGCCGGGGCGTTTGCCCCAGAGCAAAACATGCAATTTATGCTCGCACGCGTCTCACCCCTATGTGAGAAGGCGGTCCTTGCCTGCAGAAATCCGTCCAAGCGGCAGCCAGCGTTGCCATGGCAGAACACCACCTGAGAGGCTTGACTTCATCACCCGCGACTTACAATCCAAGAACATTTCTGCACGGCTGAGCTCATTTTACCCTCCATCGGGGGCTTGCCAGCGGAATTGCGCAGTAGAATCGTGCAGGGCTTGCCTTTTGCCCCCCCTAAAAAACGGGAATCCTCCAAGAGGGTCTGTGCATACTTTTTAAGGGGTCTAAACGGTTAAACCCCAGTTTGTCGAGGGGTGTTTGGTGAAATCTGGAGCAAGGGAAGCTGGACATGTCATTCCACAGCCCAGAGCAGGGTGTGGAATGGGGCAAATAGGCAAGTCGACACAAAAACAGTCGCTTGATTTCCCGTCAACCAAAAATAATGTGCTTGACCCTGGTTCATATGCAGTTATATATATATATATATGTATATATATGTATATTAAAAAAAAAAAAAAAACGTCATGTCCAAAGACGCCCCGGAGACAATAGTGAATATTGTTTGGCAAAACCCCACCTGAGGGGTAAGAAACAAAAGAGATGAAGGCAGACCTACAGTTTTCCTGTTACCCTCCGCCCTGGGCAAATTGGCGTCCCTGTATTTCCCCGTGTTTCCCCCAGACTCAGAGGATTCCGTGGGCCTGGCGAAAAAACCGCGCAATGGGCGCCCCGGCACATGCCTTCTCCCCGCTCTTGTCCTCCGGCCTCCTAAGACGTTCAGAAGCCCACGGGCCGCCTTGGAAACCTGGAGGCTTGGTATTGTGGGGGGTCTGACCCCTTGGATGAGCAGTTTTAAAGGGGTCTCAAAGTGGGCCCCCCTTTTTAGCTGGTTGTAGAAGGAACCAACAGGAAACCACCTGCCTGGAGCGGTCTCCAACGTTGAGAAGCAACCATATTTGGGTCATGCCTCATGACAAAACATGGGGGACGAGGCCCCCTGCAGGGTTTCAGGTATGCATGTAAGGGTTGTCCCCATTGTCCAACGAAGCGGATAGCTCCCGGGCGTTTCAACAGGGTTCTATACCTTCCATGTCCATTCTGAACCCAGGGATCCGAATCTTTCTAGAAACCGGATCCAGTTTTTCGGAAAGAACGATGGTTGAAAAGAATGGGGAATCAACCCCTTTGCTGGGTACCTGTTTTGTGGCGTTATAAGGAGTCTTGGCGGGTGCCCCAAAAAAGAAACACCCCCCACTTGGTGCCGGGCTTTCAAAGTTGTTCCATGGGCGTTCATGCATTTGACAGCCTGACCCCAAAAAGCAAGCAGAACTTGCATCTCCTGTTTGAACATCACCGCAAAGAAATTCTTGCTTCGTGGTCCAACATGTGAAACTCACACAAGAAAAATACAAGGGGACGGCCAGAAAAAGCCTTTGTTGAAAAAAAGGCACGCCGCACCCCTCAACGCCAGCGTGATCCGTCTGTAACTGTTCTGGGGAGAAGCGGGGAATGCCAACAAAGATAATACTACCTTCTTCAGGGCCCGAACCACTTTTCTCGAATAATTTCAAAACTCCGGTTCTGAACAAAGAACACTCCACTCTTTGAAGCCCCCTCCAAACATGAACGCTTCGAACTCAAACCTGATCCCAACAATCATGTAAACTGACAATTGCAGGGTTTTGGAAGACTACCATCCTCTTAAAACGGTCGACGGCTGCCCAGCTCGTCTCCAACAGGAAGCCTACGTGTTTTGTCCGAGCATACACCCCGATGGGAAATCTTCCTCATGTATGTTCTCCTGAAGCTTCTTAAGGATTCCTGACAGGCAGTGAAATCTTGGTATCCTAAAGCCGTAGGCTTCTTCGGAATGATTCCTTCCTCACGACTTAGAGGGTGCACATATTGTCCACGCGTAAAGTCGGCCCCACTGAAATTGAGAAGTTTTCAGCAGTCACACAACCCGTGCTCTTGACAACAAGGATCACACCGAAGCTCGCCAAGAAGCTGTCTTGGGTTCTCCCCAACTTAAGACACACCCATGTTGCGTTGTGACATAAACATATTGCATTTGCTTCTTCGCCCCCTGGAAAAAAAAGCACAGTGGTGAAATCGATTCCCTTTGATGACCAACAAGGGAACATACAAGAAAACACATTTCAGCATATGCAAGAATAACAACACCAAAGATTGAGGAACCCACCTAGAGTCTCCATGACCCTGAAAAAAATGGGTCCATGACCCCTTAATTTTGGGTAATGACCAACCATTCTCTAAGGGTCCTTAGGGAGACTCCAGGCACCTTCAAAAAAAGAAAAAAGAAACTTCGTGGGGATTGCCCGTAAGCCACCCCGCTTCTCAGGCTCGAAGATGGTGCACACTAAGGTCATGCCACGCCTAGGGGCGAAAAAAATCAGCGCCAAAGGCCGGGGAACAAATACGCGGAAGGTCAGCAGAAACCAGCGAACCATGGAAGGCGTTGCTTTTTTAGTACTAAATTATATGTTATTTGTTTATGTTTTGCAGTCTCCCGCAATATGGTGAGCTTTCTCTGGCTTCCCATTAACATCAACAAAACAAGGTACCCTCAAGAAAACACAAAGGAAGTTCTGTGCGACATTCTCTCGGTTTTTCCGATGGGTTGGCCAGACATTCACCTGGCTTGGCTAAGGTTGACACTTAATTCCGGTGCCAAAAGGGTTTGAGAACTCCAAGTGAGTCACTTGCTCAAAACCCGTTGTATTAAAATGGTCGTACTCCCAGAAACATGCTTCAAGAATTAAGGCGGAGATCCGCAGCTATTTTTCTGCTTCAGCAGCTTGACCACGAAAACTGAACGCGGACAGAAACTTTGCTTCGCCTCGGTAGGCTACACTCTCGCCAACATCCCAGCAATGGGCAAACAAATCACAGAAATCCATGTGAGGGTGTCTTGGTTTAGGACAGCCCCCAAAATGATGTTCCTTTTTGTTTCCCTTGAAAACCACAACAAAGGGGGTACCCTCAACAAAGACACCTCTATGTGTTCTGGTCCGGCTGTTCATGTCACCTTGCGGTTTCAAAGGTCTTTTGTTTCTGGGACCCCGCAAACAGCTGACAGTTTGATATGTGGTTTCAACATGTGGCTGTGGGTCAAAACCAATGGTACCATTTTGAGGTAGGTGCACCACCCATTTTAGTCTACTTTAGTGGGGTCTGGGATGTTCACCCATGGCCATGTGTCTTGTTTGTTTGTGTCTTAGGTTGAGCCTGGCAGTGGCTCCCTTTGCGTTCAGACGAGAGACGAGACCCATGGCGCCTACATGCCCAAAGGGGCTCCCTGAACGCGACCAAATTCAAATCTATACCACTTTTCCGGGGTCACAAACACTTGCCCTGTCGTGAACCCCAAAGATCTAAAAAAACGGGTAACCAATCCTCTAGGAGACAGGCTTCCATGTCCATTCTTTCCAGGAATCCTTCGTTCTAGGAAACCCCCCCAGAAATCCAGAAAAAAACGGCTTGTTTTTTGAAAAGAACGATGGTTCAACCCCTAGAAATCCCAAAGGAACTCGTCCAGAACATGTTTTGGCAGGTGTCCGGCTCGTCTCCTGTAGATCTTGTGCTGATCAGTGTTTCGGAAGCCATTCTTACATTTGTTTAAGCCCCTTGGATACATTAAAGTATTTCCCGTATAGTCATAGACTCCCTTTAAAAACAACAAGGGAGAATAAAACCACAATCTTAAGCAAATGGAAGCGTTCTATTGAAATTCACCCTACCCACACACGCACATTCTGCTCGGTGATATGCAACAAGAGAGAGAGGAATCGTTGGAACACACCATAAAGCGTTTCTGCCAACCCCCCATTTAGTGCAACAAGACACGGACCAGTCTCAAAATAGGAAAACTCCGAACATTTAATATGGATATGTTCTTCTGGCCTCCATTTACGACAACCACAAGAACAATAGTCTCAAAACGATGCACCCACATCCCATGCGGCCGCATTTTTTTTGCCACGATCGCAATGGCGATGGCGGCGAGCTAAAACTCATCCGTCAGGGTTGACATTTTTGCCTTGCCATCGTTGGCAACGCTTGCATGTTTTAAAGAGTTGAGGCGTAGCATGGTATTGATGTTTCCATCAGGGTACTTCTCAAGACAGGCAATGACCGGGGCGACTGAGTTCCAACATTTATGGGCTTGGTTTTTGGTGATTTGACTGGACGACCTTACATACCCTTAACACCCCCTTTTTCGGCTGGCAAAGCCCAACAAGGAACAATGCAACGCACGCCAGCAGCGAAATCATGTGTGCCATGGTGAAAGCTCCTGAAGTATGGGTCATGGTCATGGTTCTCTTGGGAAACTTTGCAATGGTTGTCTAAGGTTGTCTACAATCCAACTGGTCCTAGGGATTCACTCCAAACGTCAGGTTCCATGTTCATTGGTCGGAGGGCAATCCTCGGGACCCACGAGCATGCCTATTTGATTAATCCCAAGTATACAGGTCAGAAGGACCAGAGGATGCGCTCGCAGCGCGTCAGGCTCTCACGTCTTTCGCAGCTGATCCTCAGATCCGGCCCCTGCCGCTTTGCTTCTTGAAAGGGACATCGAGTTCTTTCCTTGTCTAAGATGGCGGAGCGAAGCGCTTTACACCAGATCAAACGAATCACCCACCCCCCCCATTGACACTGCCAACAAGCGAATTCCAAGGGTTGGAGCTTCATCAGTCTATTTAGAGGTAAGGCCAAATAGGGCTACTTGGTTGACGTTGGAAGGGGAGAAAAAAATATATTTTTTTAGCAGCTAGGTGGGGATTTCCCACTAAACTACAATAAGCAAAAATGTAGAATGTTTCCCAACAACAACCATGGCTAGGGCATGTTTCTGGCAAAAGGACGGTGCGTTTTTGCAGAGTTGCTCTCAGTCCACATCGGTACTTGGCCGAAACTTGACAACTGGTTTGCTGGAGGGAAGCCAAAGGAACCGGTTGACCGAAATTCTACCCAAAAGTGAAACTTTCAATGGGTCTTGGACCTTTGGCGGACATCAAACTTGGGTTGGGGGATTTATTCAACCACCTTTGAGGTGGTTCCCCATGAACATTTACAGCCAAATGGGGGTTGTGCAAAATTACTTCTCCTGAACACTGCCCTCCCGCCACCCTTCCGCAAACCTGCCGTTTCGCTTTCTTGCCCTTCCGTATCTCTTCCGCACACACAGTGGGAAGCTCATGCCATGTAAGCCTGGAAATTCGAAATACAAAAATGAATGCATGGGTTTTAGCACGACGCCCAAATGATGTTGATTAGCTAACAGCCCAAACAGCAGTGATTTCGGTCGCCTACTGCCGGATGAATACACCCATGTTTCAGACTGTTGACCTTGAGTTTGAACAAAGTCACCCTTGCCGTGAACTAAAACGGCCGTCCCAAGCAATATAAAGTGCAACAAACCGGACGTGAGTGATTCGTTTGATCTGGTGTAAAGCCCTTCGCTCAGCCATCTTGGACAAGGAAAGGGCCGAAATGGGGGGGGCTTTGGTCGGCAAACGGTATAGCCAAGAAAGAACCGAGCCTGTTCTGTGTAGCCTCTCGCTATAACATGAAGAGAACTAACCAACCCACAACCAGCAGTGAAGCTAACACCACACCACTCCACTACGCAACACAACAACACTTATCCAAACACTACAGCGCATATATCACCCCTGGAATCAAAGACTCATCATCACTCCAGTTGCAAGAGCCCATGACCATGTTTCGTGCGTCGCTGAACCCCGCTCTGGGTTGCTCCAAGTCCGCAACAGGTCGTGATCGACCTTTGGTAGGGTTAATATCGAAAAGCCGGTTTTCCTTTACCAATTTCCACCCCCCAAAAAACCCCCAAACCCCCTGGATTCTTCCAAGGAGCTTTGGAGGAAACGGGGCGGGTTGGATCCTACCAACGTGAAAAGTTCGGAGCAGCACTCAACCAAGGAGCCCATGCTTTCGACCAGGTCTGGGCATCACCGTTCGCGCCCATGGCATCTGCAAGATCCTGGCGATCGGCACTCGGTAAAGATAAACAACCGGCCACCCTGCGTGGAAGGAAACGAAACAAAAACCCTCGAAGTAGGAAAGAGAAACCAAAGAAACCGTTCATAATCTAAATCGGGTGTGAAACTTTAGGGGACCCCCAAAATGGCTTCGGCTTTGTTGTTGGTTTCGCTCTAGAAACTCAAACATGGGGTACCTCAAACAAACGCCCATGTTTTTCTTACCCTTGGGGCCTAAATATTCTAGGGACGGCTCGCATCGAGCAACCCCAGCCTTTGCTTGCTGGATGAGCTCGGTCTTGTCCTCGATCATGGGGTGGTCACCATAATGCCTGAACCGCATCATCATATGGCCATGGAAAATCCAAATCGTACCCCCCGTGAACATCCCGATCCCCACTAAAATAGGTTCTATAATGGGTGTCGAATTCACGTACCAACCAAAATGGGATCCGAAAGCGGTTTTGACCCACAGCCATATTCATTCTTGGCCCGGCAATACACCTGCTAGGAACCATGCAGGGCCACGATCGCATCAACTACCACGGCTGGACTGAAACGGGGGCCCCAAACCAAAAACGTTTCCTGGAACCCCAAGTGGCCACTTTTCTCAAGCCACTTTACCCACTAGCCCATCATTTGGTCAAAGTAGCTGGAAAATAGAAAGGCAACTGGGGATCTAGCTTCGAGGGAAAATCACCTTAGAAGATCCAGAGCGCCTGGCATGCGTACGTTCCGCCGACTCTGACATGGGACAGCATATCACGCAATCCAAAGACAGCTGACAGCTGCAACCTCAAGCGCCTGACGTGCGTGGTCATGCAGAAAGGAGTAATACAGATGCACATCACCCAGAGGCCACGAAAGACAGAAGTCCAGGCGCTAGCTTGCTGCCAGACGCGCTTTGCGCGGCACGAAATCGCAGGCAAGCAAATCGCTGCGAACGTTGTGCTCTGGTTGGACCGCGTTTCCGCCGTAATTTCCGCGTGTGTCCGCAAAGCCCTGGAGGGGTGAAACGCTAACAAATCATGAAGCTGACCATTCAACCGTGCACGCAGGCGAAACCGGATTGCTGCAATTTGGGGCAGCCAGCCCCTTTGAAGCCACAGGCAGCGGAGGCAAAGAACGCCACGTGCTCGCCACAAGCATCGAACACAAATTAAAACACACAGACTGCAGCATACCCTGATTGAAGCAGATTAGCAGGAGACGGGGGCAGGAACAAGGCGGCTGCAAGTTGCAAATGGCTGCTTTGTTGGTTGCAGTGTATAGTGGGCCAACAGGCAGTTTGCGCAATCTACGCTTCTTACAGTGGTGCACCCTCATGGGTCACACCAAAGGCTTTGGCAGCAATGCTCTCTAAGGCCGGGAAAGCAGAGACACCGCACGATTCTTGAGGCAGAAAGGCGCTTTGTTGGGTCCGCTGAAATCTGGCGAGTTCATGGGTTTCGGTATGAATTTCAGTTGGGGACTCTTTGGTGGACATCATTTGGTTGGAGGATTTATGCTCCTTTATAAAAAAAAATCCTAGCCGGGGAATCGTTCAGGGTCTAGATACTTCGAATTGGGGTACCGGGTACTTAAAAACCACATTTCATGGCACTAGTATGGGCAAAGTAGCAATGATTCTGTTTCTTAAGTAAATGGGTATCTCAAACCAAGGGGACACCCTCTCACGCTTGGTTTCAAGTATTTCCTTTTGGTCTCCCCTTAAACCACCGCAATGATTCTGAATTCTGCTCCTGACATGGGTCTAGTCCTCAAAACATCGGCCCCCTGTTGCATGGTTTCCTTTCAGTTCCCCTACCCCAAGAAGGGGCCCGGTACCCTCAAGAGACTTGCCAGCAAGGCACCGCAGCCACGCGAGGTACGCCTGGGCTGCTGATCTGCACTCCACAGCCTTTCGCGCGAGATGCCGCGCACTTGAGCGATTTTTCAGCACCTGGACCCAAGGAATGGTCGAAACCTGGTAACAACATCTGGTATTAAAATGGTATTCACACCAAATCATAGGATGTCACACCAGAATCCAAACCTGCTACTAACATGGTCATAATCCCAGAACCATGCAAAGAATTAAACAGGCGGGGAAGGCACCTGGTCGGGATTGTCCCTTACCAACCTGCATCTAGACGCGTTGTGATAGTGGCTCAAGTGTGTTCGTTTTCAAGTTGGAAACCAAGGGAACCCGTTTTCAATGTGAGGAAAGTGACTCCTTTCTTCCTTGGCAAACGGAACCACCAAACCAAAGAGGAAGATCGTTGGTTCCTGTAGTGGCAGGCATCTGGGATCCAGCTCGAATCGGTCCACCTCGAATCGGCATGTTTTTTCACCACTTCAAGCCGACGAAGAAACAAGCTTCCCCATCCCTTCCAGGGATCCTTCTTTTCAGGCAACCATCCAAAAACGAGGGTTGGACACAAAAAGCTGTTCTCCCAAGCTGAAGGCTATGGGGTCTCCGCGCAGACACACATTGGGGCGGTTCGGGGAAGCTTTCAGGAAGGCTCTGGAAGGTTCCGGGCTGCTGGGGATACCACATGGGCATGGGAAAAACCCGCAGGATCTTAAGGAAAGGAACCAGTTCGGGGTCATTCCAGTATTCCCAAAATATGAAAGAAGGACACCCCCAGCTTAGGAAGTCTTAGGGAAAATGTTGCTATATCCACTCCCTAGCCACCCTAGGGATAGGATCTAACTACCTTAAGGGGGGGTAGGGGGGGGGGGGTACAGGCATTCATAACCAAAGCGAATCACCAAAAGGTGATTCCTCTCGAACCCAGGTACTCTCCAAAACAAAGTGGACCTATGTGGCACATTTTTTGAATATATATATATATATATATATATATATCTGCATGGCGCAAAACCCCCGTGCCAAAAGTTCAGCCCTTGCTGCTTAGTGGCAAGCGTCATCCACATAGCATCCAATATATGAGCCACGGACCAAACTACTTGTTCCCCCAAGAGGACATGCGAGCATCAGCGGGTCTCTTGGTTGTTGTGGGAAATCTAGAGCTCCTCCCTCCATGGTCCCTCCCAAACGGAGCATAGCTACCCGTTCTTTTGCCGTACCTATGTGGATACGACCGCCCTCAAAGGATGTTAACATGGAGTGGTCCGTGTGGTTTTCCCTTCACACAAACCGGAAATGGGTACTTGGGTGCTCGGCCAAGTTGGTAAGCTGTTGGCAGTGGGATCGAACCCACTTATAAGTCCCCCCCAAAAGGGTTAACCTTGTTATCAGCGGGCGACAAATCCCGAGTGGCTAACCACCTTCTATCTTGGCACATTTCAAAAACAAACAAAATGGACCCCAGGATTTCAGCCGCACTTTCGCGCGTTCTTTTTGGTTGCCGCGCCTTGGCCGGCTGCAGCTCAGATGGCGCTGCGCGTAGGCCCTGCGCGCCCATGGCACCTTCGGGAAAGAGCACAAAGGCCCCCACATGTGATAGGCTACTTCCTTTTGGGGGAGACGTTTATGTTAGGGGGCAGGCTTTCTGTTTCTTGTTTTTAGGGAACTGGTGCTTGTTTTGTTTTGAAGGGAAACCAAGAGGGACAGCCAGTTTAGGGGCTCACCATTTGGAAACAACTGAATGTTGGCTCCCGTGCCAATTTGTGTTGTGCCGAATACCACGCGGATGGCACGGACACACGCCGATGAAGAGGACCAGAAAGAATCCCGGAAACTCTGGCGTGCAGAACGAACAAACGACAGGCCCAAACGGGGGATTCCAGTTCCCTGTCTCTCCAACCTGTTTGGGATTAAGGGAACCCCTTGAAAAACCGCTTCTATAGAGGGTAGTCAACAAAAACGTCAGTGGGTTGTTGATCCCTTGCTCCAAAAATACAAAAATTGGGTGGGGGGTTGGCTTCCTGCAGCCCCTGACCAGGAACAATTTTATTCTACCTGCCTTGTGACTCACATTGTGTCAGGGTCTTCGGGGAGACCCTGACTGTTTGTTTCCCTTTTTGTGGTTGGTTGAAAGGAAACACTAAACAGCAACCCAACTGGTTTGGGTCGCCGTGACGAAAGAGCACCCCCTGTTTCAACTTGAACATTCCAACAAGGAAAGCATACTGTGGATGGACGGAATCCATTTCGCACCACTTGGAAACCACTGCTTGTTGGTATCTACAGGGGAATCATCATTCCAGGGTTCCTTAGGTGGTGCGAAATGGATTTCGTCCATAAACAGTAGTGACCCCGATGTCAAGCTGAAATCCAGAGGTACTTTTTCGGAATCTCCTCTTCCCAAAGCGTCCTGGGAGCTGGAATGGATTGAGGGAGATGCCGCTGGGTGGTAGCTTACAGCCAATCAAGCACTTTAACATCCTCAACTTGCGCAGCTACGCTTTATTCGGATCAGGAGGGTCCTTCTGCTTTCTGAATCCTGCCGAAGACTTCTTTGACTTGAACTACTGCCCTGCAAATCCCCCTACCATCCCAGCGTAGGAGCGGCCCCCGCCATCCATTTTGTGTTGTTCTGCGCCTACAAATATCACGGGGGCTGGGGGATATGGAGGGAGGGAGCTCAAATAAGTGCTAAACAAGGCCTTGCTAAGGCTTGGGCTCCCTCCCGGTCCCCTCCCTCCCCAGCCCCCATGCAAATAAATATGCGGAGGGCCGGCCGAGGCTGAAGGCAAGGAGGGGTGTTGGAGCTACGGGGGCGGGGTTCCCGTTTACCCGCTGCAAGAACCGCCACATCCCCCAAGCCTCCAATCCACCCCACCATCTGAATGTTACCTGATTATTTGTTGTCACCGTGGTTGATCTCACAAATCTATAGGACATGGGACTCTATCCCTATGCTTTGCCCAACTTCAAATATTGTTTGTTCTGAGTGCTTAACACAATTGTATGGGACAGAAGTGGAGGAACAAATCCGTTTTGGGGAATAAACTTATATACAAGTGCTCCACAAAAAACATAATCATCGACCCCTTTGGGGAAAAGTAGCAATTCCGGGCTATTTAGCATCTGGTTCTTCCCGCTCAGTATCGAAGAAACGCAAGGCGCACTGTTCCACCAAGGAGTTTGTTCAACTTTTCCTTTGCGTTTCCTTTTTGCCTTTACTGGAACAAGAAACCATATGGCCATGGGTCAAAATTTCATACCCCCAATAAACATCCCAATCCGCACTAAAATCGACACAGCCATACTGTGGATGGAAAAAATCCTGGACCACCTAAGAAACCCTCGAATGATGATTCCCCTGTAGATACCGACAAACAATGGTTTGCCATGGTTTCCAAGTGGTGTATTTTCGTAGGGGAACCCTCCCAAAAAAGGGGTGAGAAAGGGCACTACTGGGGGACCTAGGCTTTCTTAGCACCCAGCCTTTTTTCCAGGACACAAGGTCTGCCCCGCATCCTTTTTGGGGCAGATGGAGCCGCCAGGGCGCCCAAGATGGCTTCCTCGAAGCTGCTGATCAGCAGCGAACCCCGTGCTTCCTCCGCTTGCGCGAAATGGGAACCGTGCGGCTGGGGTTTCCCTGGGAAAACCGCGGCCCGACCATGTCCTTTGACCGGGTTGCTCTCTGCTCCCCTGCTAAAAGTTTGACTAACCTTTAGTGGCTTAATGTCGGAAACCCGAGATTCGTTGGCAAAAAGTGCAAGTCCTAACATCCAAGCAACATGCACCAAAGGCTGCGAAGTTTCCCTGGGAAAACTGTGGCCATTTCCTTTGACCTGCTGTTATGAATCCGGGGTCAACATGCAGGTGGCGAAGGCAACATGTGTGTTTGTCAAAATCGAGCGTAATCCTCACCATACCTGATTTGGTTTCCTTTTGGCTTCCCTTTGAAACCGATCAGCAAAGACCCCCAACGATGGACACTTTGGGTCTATCTGTTTAGTTGTTGGGGCTTCCTGCCAAATGGTCCCTATGAGGTAGAGCTTCCCCAGAAAAGCCACGGGAAACTCTGAACCCGAATGCTTCCCTCTTCATCCTTCAGAGGCTCGGAGAAACCCGACTGCAAAGAAGCATGCAAACAACCAACCTGTTTGCCCCCACTGTAAACCCCTTGAAAGGATATTGACAATTTAGCTATCCTTGTCCACGTGATATGGAAGGCCTGGCGAATGATGAGTGCCTTTTTCACCACCAAGCGAGGCTGCGGGGAGGGGGGGCGGCCCTTTTGCTTGGCTTAGCTCCCCCCCCCCCTAGCCCCACGCAGGGGTCCATAATCAGCGGAGCCCCCCCACCCGCAGGCCAAGACGCGCACCGCAAGACGAGGGCCACCAATTGCTGGTAGTCCTTGGAAGATCTCGGCAGACCGATGAGAACCACCGCCTCCACTCCTGATGGGGTGAAATGTTCTTGGTGACATGCGCGGAAATGACAAACCCCTGATGTAATCCGCTTGTGTATGCCCGCATACGCCAATATGTGTGTTGAAATATATATATATATATATACACATTGTTTAATATATGCATTTATACATGTTGATACACATGTGTATAATTTATACATGTTGATACATATACACATGTATATATAATATACACATGTACATATATATGTATGTATACATATATCATATATATATATATATACATATTGTGTACTGTACCTCCCCCATTCGCTTAAATTACAGGCTTAACACACTTTCTGCGGATGGCATGATTTCCGAGTGCGTCTGTGTTTAAACAGAGGGGTACCCTCAAACATGACCCAGCTTTGGGCGGCTGCCGTGGGCCCTGAACATGAAGCCAAGCATTTCTGCACCTGGCATCAAATAAGTGTTTTCCGAGCCTATGGTAAAGAAGCAAAAGGGCTGGCACAGAACCTTCACCTACTTCCGATGGAGTGGATTTGGCCAAAACAAGCAACCAAACTTGTTTGCCATTAAAACGGTCTTCCCAAGAAGCATAAAATCTATCCACTCAAGTAAGTCCATGGCATGGATTGTGTCCTTCGCCTCCTACCCAGGTATTGAACAACATATCCGGTTTCGACATGCCGCCGCGCTCAACATCTATGGAGATGGGACATGAGCGCGTCCACCGGGAAATTGAGCGAGCCCCAGGTATTCCTCCAAACATGTCAATTGGTGGTTTGGAGCCCGATGGTTTGGTGCTTGAGCGGTAGCTTCCCATCTGCCCTCCGCAGCCAGCCAATCACATCCCCAACCGATCCAAACCACCACTAGTTCCTCCAGAGAGCTTAGAACAAGGGTACCCCATGTTTTTCTGTAGTCTATTTTAGTAGGGTCCCGAACCCTCCCAACCAAAAATAAATGGGTGAGAGGTCGGGCACCCGGCTGGGGGAGCTAGACCCAGGGGTACCCGACAAGGGCCCAGCGGACGTCGTTTCGCTGCACTCCCAAGATGTTTTCACCTCTAGCGGTACGTATTTTCCCCCCGCTCTCCTCAGAAAAGTGACAAAGCAACACAAGGCCTGCGAGCGTGTCTGATCTCTTGAGGATATTTTTTTGAAAACCAGAAGAGCCCAAAGCGATGGGTTGATCATGCTTTCGACCGCTCCTGCCGCTGGAATGCTTGAGGGAGCAAGGCCTGGCGATTCCCCAACCAGTTGAAACAGCAAGTCATCACTTGCTGCACATGCGCCCCTTCCCTCAGTTGGTCAGTGACCAACCCTTTTTGGGGCTTGGATCATTTTTAGTGGGGCCACCCAAAAAAAACCGACAAACAATTGGTGCCACTGAACAACTGAGATCCCACTTGCTCCCGTGGACGAGCTTGGTCCCAACATGGCTATCAAGGATACGAACCAAGCCCTCCCGAAACCGAGTGGAACCCCTGGCGTGGGGGTTTCCTGACCTCCTATAGTACAGCTTGGTGTAAAGCAGGCCTAAAAGCGGAGCTTCCAAGGGACCAGAATGGTCTCCCAGGTACTGCACGCCTATCAGATCCTGTCCCTCGCGCCCAGTCATCCCTCTGAGAGAGAGCAGAGCCAAGGGTCCTCCCGACAAGATTAAAAACAGCGCCAGCAAGGGTTAAAATGAAGCTTGAGCAGAACCTTTGGCCACGTGTGTGGTGTGTGTGTGTGTGGTTCTTGTCCCCGACTTGGCGAAAGGCGATTCTGAGCGCCGTAATTAAAAAAAAAACAAAAACGCCTGCCGTCAGCAGCAGCCCGCAGTCTGCGGCTTCGAAGCTCTGTAGCGCTCTTCGCCGCACCTGCTCAGTTACAGTTAGCCTCCCACCAAACTTGCAGCTTGACGTTCGGCAAATGGTGCCTTCAAAGGAAAATAATCCACACCACGACCCAATCAATGTTAGGTTCCATGATCATTGGTGGGAGGGTAAGTGGCTTCTCTTTGAAATCATCATATCAACTCCACTTCCTCCAAAGATGATTTCTTTGTAATTATCCACAAAGAGAAAGTGTGCTATAAGCGTTTAAACAACTTGAATGGGGTTGTGGATGTTCTTACATCAACTAGATGAAATTATTTAGCCGCTTATATCATGGGGTCAAATCGGCTTGCCTCACAATCGCGGACCCTCACAATTAGTCGGTTTTCCTGTTGTCCCCTGTTAAAAAAAAAAAAAAAAAAAAAAAAAAAAAACCTACCGAGCCTCAAAAAGGGTCGATACGCTTTGGTTGGTGAACAAGTCCTATCTTTGTTTGGCGGTTTCCAATTTTGTGGTCACCCATGTTTTAAGGCACCCCCCACAACCATCGACCCCCTTGCTTTTCTAGAGGGGCAAATGGGAAACCACTCCAACAGTTTCACCCAACCACCGCTTCGATTCCGCCAAAAAGTCGAGGGAGGCTGACACCAAGACGCCTGCGAGTCCCTGTCCCGCTGGCCTTCTTGCTCATGGCCGAGTGCGCCTCAAAGACCTCCTCGAAGCGAAGAAACGGCGCATAGCGACGCGCACGGCTTCGGGGAGAGCGCACGGGTTCGGGGAGCCGCAGAGCCGCCTGTCAACAAACAGAACAAACAAAAACACAAACTTCGTACCCCTCATCCGGCTTTTTGAGTTGGGCCCTGCCTCAGGCCCATCCTGACGCATCAGCCCAGCGTAGTGCTTGGCGATATCACCTCAAAGCCATCTGCGAAAGTGTCAAACCTGCGGCCCCTCGGACGCTGGGACGCCGTCCTTTTGACGGGGCCAAAAAGAGCCCCAAATTCTGAGGACAAAAAAGAGAGCATGTGAGCTTTGGTGCTTATTCTTCTATTTGCATATGGACAGAGCGCAAAACTCATGGACTTTTAGTTCCACCAACACGGTCACAATGGTTCACATAGGCTTCCCTATAACCTTTAATTATAAAACAAGGTAGAGCCACCTGGTAAAATTGCCAATGGCAGTTTTGGGCGCGAAGCTTCCGCATCGTGAGTGGTTCCTCCCACGGGCATGTTTCTGTCACAGCTTCCGCAAGGGTCCGCGTTACGGTTGCCTCCGCGGATACATTTGTGGGCCTCATGCCATTTTAAACACACAAACCTTCCGCAAAACACACCCTGCTGCGAACCTTCCGTGACCGCAGTTTCATGCACGTGTTGCAAGCAGAATGTCCACCTGCTAGCGCGATGCAAACACTGGAATGGACTTCGGGTGCAGAAAAATAAGAGAGGGAGAAAAAACTGAATTGGGCACGCACCCAAATCCATCGGATATCTAAGAAAAAAGCAATCCCCACCCCGCAAGGGTGTCTGGAGAAAAATACTTCACTGGGGGACTCGCACCAATATCTTCCACTGCCCCAAGCAATTTCAAGCAAAGGAACTACGTTCCGTCTGGGTCGCTCCTCTTCGATCTGCAAAACAGTCTAACTTTTGGTGGTTTAGTGGACACAAGAAAGCCAAAACCCGAAGGGGGAACTACCAAGACATCGTCTCGAGCTTGTTTTACTCCCGAAGATTATCCTTTTGAGCAGGGTAGCACTTGCTTTGGCAAGAACCCACAAGGCCATGTCTGAAGTGGCGAGTTTGACTCCCGAAGTGCAGCTCATTTCTTCTGGATGCCCCGGCCATGGACGAAGTAGGCCACCGCCTTGCCAGCTTCGCGCAGTTCGCGCGCGAGGAGCGACGGCAGGGCGGCGTAGAGCGCGGCGGCGTCCATCTGCCTCGAACGATCCCGGGGGAGCTGCGAACTGATTCCCTCTCCCTGCTGAACGTTCCCCGAATACTCAAACCGACTTTTGAAAATCCCAAATCCGGGAATACTACTTTTAGAATTGCCAATAGTAATCCACCACAAGTTGGACTTTTTTGCAGATCGAAGCGGAGCAGCCCAGATGTAACGTAGTTCCTTTGCTTGAGAATGCTTGGGGCAGCGGAAGAGATATGTGCAAGTCCCCCAGTGAAGGATTTTTCTCTAGACACCTAAACCCAAAGATTTAAAGACCCATTTTCTTGCTGGTGCTCAGCAGGGAATGAGGGAATAAACCTGGGGATTCCCTTTAAAAAAGACATGTAGGGGACGGTTTATAGGGGTCATTCTCTCATTCCCTGCTGAGCACCGGCAAGCTTTGGCTGTGGGTCAAAAAATATTGGGCAAACCACGTGGGTTGCCCTGGTAAAACGGAAACAAGGACCAAAACCTGCGGCCCCCTAGTGGTTTAGGTTTGACTGAAATCCCCGTCAGGGTTCAGACTCAGTTGACTCAAAGGACCCACAAATAAAGGGTTATATATTTTGGGGGGCCATGGCTGATCATGTAATTACCGAGGAAGAAACACCAAAAGGTCATCTCAGGTCGATTCGCTTTGGGCAAGTCATTACAAGAAGTCCCTCGGATTGGTCTAAGAAGTGTACCTCATCTTGGCCAACCAGTCTCTGCTGAACTCAACCCTCCGAACACGCCCAACTCTGAAACCAAAACATTCTTCTGCAACTTGTGCAATAATTCCAAAAGCTGAATCAAGGGATCCCCAAAGTCAAGGATCTTTACCATTACGAGCTCGCTTTACTCCCAGGTGCGCTCTCAATATTCTCAGATTCTGCGTACTGTCGAACGAAATCCTGCAGTTTCCAGTTGGATGGGTAACACCTGCAAAAATACTGGCAAAAACCACCAATCCCAACTGGTGCACAATTCTGTCCATCCACGGTATTTAGTCTACCAAACATATTAAATCCTTTAGAATACCGGGGTGGCAACAGGTGAAATCACAGCTCTCTGACACAGAACAAAAGAATTTGGAGCCAGGCTTGACCCGGCTTGGACTGTACCATGCGGATTTTCCCGCGGGATGTGCTGGGACTACATCCAAAAAATGGTCGCCCCGGCCGGGCATTGATCAGCCGGAGGTAGATTCATCCGCCAGCAAAGACTCAAAAGGTTCACCGTAAATAAGACAAATCCACAACCCTGGTCAAAAGTTTGCGAATACCTTGGGTGCACAGAAAATCGTATGTTCATATTCTGTTTCATATTTAGCCTACCCTGAAACAAACAATAGCTTTGGAGGAGACCCCAAAAAACAGAACCCTGGTCCAACTGGTGGACACTGTTTGGGCAACAACGCCTTTTTCCACGGCTTCCAGTAAAGCGGCCGCTCGACCGACTTGAGAAATTATGCCCATACCTCTCCGAGTACGCAAGGCGTGCCAAGACTCTGATATGATATCGTCACCTCCGGAGTAGCATCTTTGACAATGTTGATGGCTGGATCGGAGATGTCCTGACTGAGTTGCAAGAGAGCTCACTTGAGCCAAGGTCGAAAATAGGGAGTCTGGAAAAACAAATCCAACCCCCTTTCATATCCTTTAGGGTAAATTAACACACATATATTCAATTTAGCGCCCATATCCTTTGTGCCCCTTGCCAACATCAGTTTCAACGCAGCGCAGATTCCAGACAACACATCGTCAAGGCAGTTGTGAGTTGTTTTTGCTTGATCTCATCATTTGTTTGGCTCTACGACTTTAACAATGCTTTGCCTGTGATGACCGGATGTGTACATATCCTTCACGGTGAAACTCTTTCCTTCCACTCAGTTGATACTGTGCCAATTCAGCAAATTTATACTCCTGAGTTGTTGGTAAGGTCCAAGGACATACTTCCCTACTGAGTCTGCCCGTCGGCATTCTTAGACGTTCAGCAACAAAAAGAGCCCACTCAGTTCTTTCCAAGATACCCTCCCATCCACTAACGTGGGTGGGGTCGGGGCAGACCTTCAGAGTCGTGGGGGAGTCGCCTGCAGCCTGGGCCTCGACTGCAAGGAAGCCCCAAGGTTGTATGGTTTCCAGTACCCCCAAACCAAAAGTACATCGCCACGAGACAAAAATCATGCCTCATTTTCCCAGAGCTTCCCAGTTTTAGAGAAGCAACCAACTCCGTGATCCATTTGGACCGGGATGAAGTGCAAGGTTCCCTTTTCAGCGATCAAGTGAACCAACTACTGTGGATGAACCAAATCCTGCACCAGTTTGGTAGTTTGTCCCATATTCACCGTGCTTCATCCATCCCAACTGGCGCGAAATGGGTGTTGTCCATGTCCAGTGGCAATGATGACATTCAACATGGCCAAACTCTGAATTAACGCCCTCTGGGGCCCTCTTGCTTCAAAGCTCCGGATTCCAATCCTCGAGGACCTCTGATGTCCTCTCTTTTCCAAGGCGCAAGAGGGTTGAGAAACCAAAAAAAAGCCGCCGTCTCTGTGGCCTCCAGAGCCCAGAGCCCACGAGGGGCTCTGGAGAGGGTGAGAAATACATCCGTGGGTAGGTACGTAGCACCCGTGCTACACTGAGGGGGAGGGGGTCTCGTCAAAGGGCAGTCGTAGTTCCGCTCCGATCTCCCAGTGGAAGGCTCAGAGCAACCGAAAATCGGCCGAGGAGTCATGGGCCGATTTCACCCACCGAATTTTTTGGTGCACATGGGGGCCGCAAAAGGGGGACCTACCCCCGCAAAAGGGTCGCTGGAGTGTGGCCAGAGGAGGCCATACTAAAGACATGCCCAACACAAAGTCACGCTTAAGACCTTCGCCGAGAGGCTGCGACGCCGTACCTGACCGCGCAAGGCCCAACTGGCCGTATGTCTGCGTGTTCCAATCGCTTCTGTAATTCATCTAATGCGTTGAGAGATGAAGGGCACACAAAGCGTCATGTTCAGCTTGCGATCTTAGACTCGTGCTGGCAATGCACATGTTGAGTAAACAGGTCTCCGTTGCTCTTTGATTGATATCGTGGTCATTTACATCGGCCTACTATTGTCCTCAGTAAACCAAGAAGCAGAACCTACCACTACATTGGCCAGCTGGAAAGTATCTTTGGGACGGCACTTTTCCCGTGTACAAAAGTGCCAAAGTGACAGGAGGCCCCTAAGCACTTGCTCATTGACACACGTTCGGGCCAACAAGTTCTGCAAGGCCTGAACTGTACGAGTACCAGCAACACCATTGAGGTTTCTACACTGAAAGAGGGATCGTTGGTTTCCTCAAAGGAGATCAGCCTTTACAATAATAGAGGTGTTCCCTATCCGCTTTGCGACACTGACAGTGTGTAAAGCGCATGACAACTCACACCAGGGGCTTTTAAGCTTGTGGATGGCTTGAGGGGGGCTCCCAATATTTCCAACAAAACATCAGCCCTGCTCAAGGGAAACTTGCTCAAAGCAAGGTTTGGCCGGTGATGTTTACAACCCTCCTTTAAGGGCAAGTATAGGAAACCCTGATAAGAGTTCCTTCCCAGAAACACAACATCATCCTCACTTCAATCAGCAGCGAAGGGTACCTGGCGCTTCAGCGTGGTTTGCCAAAAGCATGGCACAGCTTCTTGTAGGCTTTCAGGGCCATTGAGATTGCATTTAAACCACTTATGATAGAACCACATACAAAAGATGCCCCACTATATCTAGCTATAAATCCAGTACTAGACCAAGCAACTCCCTGTGTTATTGGATAAAAAGCAGATGGAGACTCGAAACCCAACTATAGCTGAAAGGGAAGTCCAAAGGCGAAGCCAAACTGTGCAAACGTCAAAACTCCAGGTCCGTCTGACCATTGCAAATTCACATGGCCATGGGTCAAAATCCCGTACCCCCAGTGAACATCCCAATCCCCACTACAAAAGACTAAAATGGGTGGTGCGCACGGTGCACCTACCCCAAAATGGTACCATTGGTTTTGACCCACAGCCACATGCCAAGCAAAGGGGAACCCCAAAATGCTAACCGTGACGGGCTCCATGAAAGCGAGAGCAAGCCCGAACCAAGTTCTTCACTGGTTAGGGGGTCCAAGAGGATCTCTGGTTCGAGTCCCCAAACCAACCGAAACACAAAGGACTTGCCATCGCACTTGAAAACACTGGGAAGTGCAGTGTTGATCTTTGTGTCCCCCCCATCTCAGTGGCTGCAATGACGTGTTTAGACCACACACGGGGCTCCTCGCAATTGGAGGATTCCCAAGCCTCCGCGCATTCTCCTCCTGGCCGCGCATGTTGTTTTGCGCTCAGAAGCTTTCAGCAGTCATAACTTCAGCCGTTGACAAGGGAAACACACAAGCCCGCCAAGAAGCCCTCATATTGGGCTTCCCCACCCACGTGTTGTTTTCTCCGGAAATGGAAAAACAGCACCAAAGATCAAGGAACCCACCTTTAAAAGGAACCATCGTGAGAAGCGGACTCAGTCGTACACGTGCTAGAGTCACTTTACATTGGCCAAAGAGGATTTTATGCTGCTTCTCGCTGAGCAAGAGAGTTGCTCACTTCCGATCGAGTGGATTGGCCAAAGAATCTTGGGTGCTGTAGATCCCCAAAAAAAAGTTAGTCTAAAGATCCAACCCAATAGCAGTAGAGAAACATGGCCAAACTTTTGGGTTGCGTCCATCATGGTCTCCCAAAGTGAGTCCAGGACTTCAGGGCGTGAAGCCGTGGAAAGCTCTTGGGCCATGCCGCAACGCTGCCGACTTTCGTCCGTTGCTATGGCGGCAGTTTGCGCTTCAAACCGGCCCAAAAGGTGATGCTCAAAAGACGTTGCAAGGTGAAGAACTGGTGAAATCTAGGACAGGGTTTCTCAAAGGGTGCATCCAAACACCACCTGGACAGGGAAACCTCCAAATCGGGAAGTATAGGAAACCGGCCAAAACTTGGTCCACAGCTGTACGCAAATCCTTATTTTATGATTCTGCTTCATATCCAGTCAACCCCGAAATAAAAAGGACAACTCGTCTTGGGGTAGACCCAACAAACTAGGCAGTCTCCTTTCCACCGTGTGCTGGACGTTCCAACTCACAAGCCCCCCCTTCTCAAAGGGATCAGGAGGAACGGAGGAACCTTGGCAGCTTTGGGCAAGCTCTGACACCCAACATGAGGCTTCTGCGTCTCGTCCAATTTGTACAGAGTTGATGAACCGGACCCCTGCCACCGAAAGGCTCTCCCTGGGGAATTTGGACAGCTCCGTGGGTCCCTTCCAACCGGCGAGAATCTCGGCTACTCTTTGGTTGGTTTGGAGTGGCTGCAGGATTTGAACCTCTTCTTGTAGAGGGCAAGTCCGGGAGAGCCAATCCAACACCTAAGCGGGCGCCAAACCAACTGAAGGTACCATCCCACCAATTTACATGTACTCCGACATTGATTCGGCGGTCCTGGTTTAGAATATTGTCCCTTTAAAGGGACCATTTCTCGAACGTCAGGTTCCATGTAAAACAGGTGGGAGGGTAACTTGTTGGTGCGATATGCAGGGAATGAGTGATGGAATGACCCTGAAAAGGTGGCTTTCCTTTAAGAATACCAAAGCCTGGGCTCATTCCATGTCTCATTCCCTATCAATGACCCCTTGTAAACAACCATAAAGGACCCCAGGGTCATCTTGGTTGCAAAATCTGCTCCCCTGCTAAAAGTGAATAACTTTTAGTGGTTTAATTTGGAAAACCCACTAGATAGGCAAAAAGTTAAAGTCCTAACATCCAAGCAACATGCACCAAAGTACAACCATAAGAGGACCCCAGGTTCATTTCATTTCTCACTCCCTATCGCACCGATCCCAAGTTGCTTCCCGCCACCGGGGCCCCCGCCGTCAGAGCCGGCGGCCGACCATCGGCGAGTGCGCCGATGGAGTCTGCGAAGCGCTGGGCTTCCCGGAAGACCTGCGGACGCGGGGCCGAAGCTGGAAACCCCAGGCTTTAACCCCTGGTCGTCAGATTCTCATTGGAGGTTTATTTGAAAGGACTATGTTCTTTGAAAGAAAATAGCAAGTGTTCAGTTGCGTTTAAAGAAATACAGCATGTTCTAATTATAAATATGAAGAGGTTCAGCCAGGTGTGTCCCAAATAGGGTGGGAAAGTTGCACAAAGTTATATACGACATCGTCGTGTCCCCAAACAGGTGCCTAGCATAAAAGGAACTGCATCTCAGGGAAAAGAGGGAGGGCATTATCTGCCACTGCCGAACCGACTTGTGGCACCGGCTCAAAAAGAAGAAGTCCCCCTCAAAGTCAGATGGTCCCAACACATATTTTGAATGACAAAACCGTTGTTATTTTTGTGTTTTATGTTGTTCAAAAGGTAGGGCAACCCCCAACCCCGTGTTTGTAGAAGAAGAAGGCAAGTGAATCTGTGCTCCTCGGGACTCTTCATTTTAAGACTGTCTTGGAAATAAGTGGGATTCAGATTCTGGAGAGGGTGACGAAAAGCCGGAGCCACAAGAGTCATGAACAGATGCAACAAGCGCAAACGCCACTACAAGCCACAAGCGCCACAAAAGACTCGTCCAACAAAGAAAAACAACCTCACAACAAAACAATCTCCCAACATGTCTCCCTCTTTCCTAACTATGCGGTGTGTGTGTGTGTGTGTGGGTTAACATGACAAGACTCATTTGTCCCTTAAGGCTCTAAGACTCCGCAAACACACAAGACATGGCCATTTCCCTTTTGAAACTGACAGTTGGCTTTGCCAAACCCAAAACTCTCCAACTCAGTAGAAAGAGGTCAACGTTGCACCGAGAATAAAAACATCCCCGATTCAAATGGACGCGTGCGAATTCAGGAAGGGCCTCCAGCACATCCACGCTTTCCGCATGCCTGGCGATGACTCGAGGAAACTTCCAATGACTTCACTTGCCCAAAGGACCCTCTGGTGTGATGTTGAATTGGGAACCCTCTGGTGGACATCATTCAGGTGGGGATTCTTTGTGTACCGAGCAAGTTGAAGAGCGCTCCCGATGAAAATTCATTCATTGACCTGGAAGTAAAAGGAACACCATTTTGCTGCCAGAAATAGACTTGTTGAATGGAACTGAATGGACAACAATATTTTAATCGGCTTGGCATGACCAACAGGCTAGAAACGGCAAACCAAAAGGACAGCAGGCCGCCTTTGGACAGCTAAGATTAGCTTTGGCTGCCACCAAGTAAGCATCAGCCAGCCCTTGGGAGAGAAACAACACACCATAGGACCGCAAGAACCACAGCACCTCATTCTTTTTTTAGACCAGATTATGGTGAAATGGTGACCTGAAAGATATCGCAGACGCGACTCTTTCAAGTGCCTCCTTTGCAACAGTTGCTCTTGGATAGATGCTAAAGCGACCGCCTTTGGTCCCAATACCAAACACAACATGGGGATGTGCGACAGGTGCTGACAAATGCCCGAAAACTAACCCCGATTGTATGTCTTGGACCCTCTATAGGAGAGCAGGAACCATTGGGGGGGAACGCTTGAAAAGTGGGTCCCACGTTTTCCTGACAAACTGCTTCCTGGCTTGCGAAGCCCGTGATGTAATCTTGTAGCCTTGGCAACTCGTTCTGAAAGACCCGGGCCCAAAAAGCGAAGGATCACAATCGGTTGGATAATTTTCCGTCATCGTCCAAAGAGTTCCCCTAAGATTAGCATGAGATCCAAACAAGGGGTCCCCTCCAAAAAAGGAGACTCCTCTGCAAGTCATTTTGTTTGGCGAGTGAAATGAAAGTTCGGCCAATTCGAGAACAGCCATGGGTCAGTCAATACCCTTTCGCACCTCATGACATGGTTGATGCGGGAGTAGTAGGCTTGGTTCTTCACGTTCCTGAGCTTGCGAGATTGCCACCCACTTACGGAAGGGTAACTTCCTCTAAATTAAACGACGTCTAACTTGTCCAGGCAGGTTAGCAGGGATATTTCCGAACTAAAGGAAAATAACAAACATACCAGGTCAAGTAATCTTTGGGCTACTGTAAGCGTCATTTGCCAGTCGTTGGGGGCCACGCTTGTGCCAGGACTCCGAAAACCAACCCCTGAGTGTCACCAACCACCACGGCTACTCTTGAACTTTCGGATGGGGGAGAACATTGGTTTCTGGGCTGCACCAAATGAATTGTGGCTCTGAATGGTCATGCTTGGAAAACACCCTCAAACATGGTTGGTGGACATAAATCCCCATGATGTCCGCCAAAGAGTTCCCCCCATTATAATTCATACACAGGCATGAATTCTAAACGGGGACCCCTCAAAAATCACACATGTATATATATATATATAAATATATCCTTGCTCTTCCAAGGGACCGCAAAAACAGGGTCCTTCTTGATTCTGCTCTTGGTTGGAAAAGGAAAATCAGCCAAAGGCCTGCTTTTTCAGGGTCCTGGAAGATCAAGGTATATATAATATGTAAATATTGGGTTTGTCAACGAACATATGTTATTTTCTTGTTGGGGTTTTCCAATTTAAACCTATCTCACAAGTGATACCCCCCAAACAAAAACACCACCACACGCCTGGCTCGCTCCCCATGTGGCGCCGCGGCGCTCCGGCACCGGCAGCGCCGCCAGCTCCGCTTGGATCTCCGGGTTCGACCGGCGGAGCCGCCGGTCTTCCGCTGGCTGCCCGAGGCCCTGCAGTTTGGCCTCGATCCGTTTTTGACTGCGCCCGAAAAACGGGATGTGACTCCAGGTTGGTTTCATCCAAGGCTTCTCCCCTGGACGAAGTCCACCAGTTGGCGCCAGTTGATATTCATCAAGCAGTGATTCTTCATTTGGGTGTGGGTCAAAAGTAAACCACTAGGGGACCGCAGGTGTGAGAGTCCATGTTTCCATTTACCAAGGTGCCATTTTGGATACCTATTTTGGACCCACAGCCAGCTCATGGAATTTGGGGAGGGGGTGGACAGGGGTGGGAGACCTAGCCTGGGGGCATTATTTTGACGGTTGCTAGGGGTAATCAAAGTCAGAAAATGGGGTTGGTTCCCTTCAACCCACCACTTAGGTGACTTTTATCATGGTAAAAGAATGAGGGCAGTGATGTCAGGGACCCGGACAAAGGGTGTGGAGGGGGTAGAGGGAGCAGCAAAAGGCCTGGAGGTAGGGAGGTGGGAGACCTAGTTCTATATATAAGGCCTTAAGGGCTTAAGGGCTGGTTCCCTGCCTCTGCCCGACCCCCTGATGATGGATGGAAGCTTCAAGCCTCCATTTGCGAATACGCGTCCTGAAAAATGACGAGTAGTGATAGATTCCCCGGGGAAAATATAAAGTCATATCAAGCAACAAGAAGAACAGGATCTATTTCCCAAAGAGTTGCTCCTTTTGCTGCTCCAAAAACCGATAAAGAAGCCGTTTGGGTAGAACATTGGTAATCGGTTCCTGCGCTTTCTATTCAAGCGACCCCATTGATTTGCGGATATCAAGGGTAGTTCCGAACAAAATAAGCTCTCGTGGAGAACACTACATAGTTAGTCTTTTCACATTTGTTCTGAACCCCTACTGTCAAGGGGATGCCACAAAAGTTTGTGGGTGTTGTGTGTTTCCAAAAGCCCGACAAAAAAACAATCTTTTGTAGGTACTAAACTGGACGCGGGAAATTCTCAGGCGCCCTGGGCTCTTCAGCCGCCGACTCCATGTCTGGAAAGTGTCCATTGTGATACAAACATGGGATCCGATCTGACGACTTTATCACACGACTAGTACAATTTCAGATAGCAAAGGAACTTGTAAGAGTCCTTCAGTGAGATGGTTCGGGCCTTGTAATTTGCCCAGATCACCTCAAAAGGATTCCCAAAACCTCAAACAAAATGGCAACCTTCAACCTCAATTTGAACGGAATTACCTGCGAGCGGCCAGGAAGTCTCGCTCGAACTCGTGCAGCAAAAGGATGCCCAGGCCTGAAATCTCGGGTCTATCCCAACTGGCCCATGACAAAACAATCTTCTCTGCACTCGATGCTTTCCACTTCTAAACCACTATCCCAGAAGAAACAAAAGTTACAATAGGAATTGCTTTTTCCCTTAGTGCCTATGTAGTGGCTGCATGTCCCATAACCCTTTTGAGAGTGGTGTTTTGGTAGTGAAGACCATCCTAGACTCGCGTTTTGGTTGCTCACAAAATTGGGTGCTCAAGGGACTCTTGAGTCAGCCCGCATTTGCAGGAACGGTCCAGGTTTCGCCTGTTTCGGTGGAGCACCCCGAAGTCCCGGAGCATCAGCGGATCCTCTTCTTCCTTTGTTTGAACACAGGGGAAAGACGGAGAACTCTGAAAAAAAAAAGAACGAACCCGGCCGGGCCAAGCATTGCGCGGTGGTAAATATGGAGTTTGGCGAACGTTACTTTGAGACACTCAGATGAAAAGACCGCTTTGTGTTGGAACGCCTGAAGGAACCGGTTTGAAACAGAAGTCCCTCAAATATATGTTGGTTTTGGAAGTTCAGGAACTCACCAAATGAGACACCTAGCAATCATGGATTCGTGGGTTCTTTCCGAAGTCGGGATTCATCTCCCTGGCTTGAACTTCGGTGAGCCGAACGCGGAGGCAAACCATGCGGATTTCGTTCTGACGGCCCAACCACCCGCGCAAAACATCCGTTTGCTTAAGTTTCCTGGAAAAAAAAATAAAAAATAAAACACTTCCAGTAGTGATAGATTCCCTTTAAAACCAACAGGGAAAAATAAAATATTCGGGGACACCTGCAATTCCTTGGCAGTTCCTGGTGTTTCCTCGCTGGCAGCCAGCCACACAAACTGAACAGAACGCGCACAAAAACCTGTTCTGCGTGCCACCAACAGCTGTTAACATTTTGATGGACATGTCCACCAACCCTTCGAGAGGTGGCTCCCTCTGGTTTGTCTCAAAATAGAACACCCCTAAAATGTGTCATGTCCTTTCGGTTGTCCCCTTTTTTAAGCATCGGTCACCATTTTTCTTGACACCCCGATTAGCAACTCATCTTGTTTCTACCTTGAAATGCACCATTTGGTATCACCCATCAGCGGGTTTCGCCCCTGGGTTAGACAAAGCCCCCAACAAAGCCGCAGCCTCCATTTGCTTCAGTCCCCCCTCCCCCGGACAAAAAAAACAACACGAAACAAAAACATCCAGTAGTGATAGATTTCCTTTATTTCGAACAGAGGAAAATAGCACATATTCTTAAGCAAATGGAGGCCCGAGTCTGCGAATATCTGCGAATGAGTCGCCGCGAGCGTCGCCGAGCCTTGGCGCTCGTTTCGCCCGGTGCGGCCCACGCGGTGCACGTACTCCGCGCGGTTGTCCGGGGCGCCCACCTGCACCACCGAGGTGACGTTGGGGTAGTCCAGGCCCCTGCACTTGCCATGGCAGGCAGCACCGGATGCACCGAATCTCCACCATCTGGTCTGCCAACATGGAACTTACCACACAAATCCCTAGGAAAGTCGTCTTGCAGGACCTCCATGTGAGGTTCCATGTTTGTGGACAGGGTACCCAAAGGTCTGGTCGTCTTTAAAGTCTTTTATGTGGGTTCAATACGGAGAACCAACTTGATTTCAACCACCAAGTCAAAGTCTAAAGATCCAGCCCAGCAGGTGACACACACTCACACCTCTGCGAGCGCGCGCACGCCGGCGCACGCACGCTCGCACATCACACGCTGGCGCGCTCGCCTGGAGGTCACGTCCGAGGTAAAGAGCAGGCCGCGGGCCGCGCGCCGGAAGCCCTCTGACTGCTCCGTCCGCTGCTGCTGCTTCCTGGGCTCTCGGATTGGCTCCAAGTGGATTGGTCCGGATTCAAATTGGCTCTAATTGGCGGTTTGGATAGCATCCTCAACCCCAGAATAGCAAACCACCAATCCAAACCACCAATTGCAAGTGGAACCTGAGTGGAAAAACATGTGGGGTCAATCCCACCATAAACATGTCTTCTCTTTTACCCGCAAGGGAAACATGGGAAAGTGCCTTTGTTGGGAGTACGCCCTTCCATGCAGTATCGAGGGGGTTGGAAGGTCGTGATGAGTACCCTCTTTTTCTGACACCTTTTCAGATGATGCTGGCACCCAACACGTAACACCCTCCTGCCAGGACAAGCTATCAAATTCGAACAAGGGGTTTCAACCAACTTGGATAGTTTTCCTCTATTTGCTTAAGTCCCCTGAAATATATATATATATATATATTTCCAGTAGTGATAGATTCCCTTTAAAACCAACAGGGAAAAAAAACAAAAGCTTAACCAAATGAAAGTTTGCAAATCACCACCCCTTCCCCACTTTTGGCTCGATCAGACACGCTGCCGAGGCGCATCCTTGAGTGAATTTCGAAGACCTCCAGCTCACAGTGGGACTGTCGGAAGACTTCGGCGTAGTAGGCGGCGATGCGACCAGTCAGAAAGATCACCTCACCTGAGTCACAATCAAAACCCGGTATTAAATTGTGGAAATACCAAGGCGCGGATATCCGCAACTATTTATGGCTGGGATTGTCCCTTACTAAGCTTCAACTACCCGGGTTTTGATTGTGGCTCACCTGGACCTTGACCTCTCGACCCCTTCCCACTGCTCAGACTGACCATGGCGAGCCTGGTAAGGGCACCCCTTCCTAACACAAGAAGGGTGGCACTGGGCAACCGGGTTGCAGGACACGGTTTCGCACCAAGCCCCAAAAAGATTCTCGAACCGTGGATTTCCATTGCCCTTGTTGTGCGTGGTTTTGTTGCCCACCCCAAGTTGAAAGAAACGTTCCGCAGCACCGCTGGAGGTTTGCGGATCGCAGAGGTTTGTGGTTCGAAGGGATACTTCAGGCCGTGTACGTCGGTCGATAACCCCACGAAAAGGGGACCGGGGGTAAATGGTTCAGAGCTCATAGGGCTCAAAAAAGTACAAGATCCAGGAACTCGGGAGTGAGAAAATGCAACATATTTTTTGGGCTGTCCTCAGATCTCCTGCTAAAAGTTGAACTTTTAGTGGGTTGCATGGAAACCCCACTAAACCGACTAACAAGCCGAAAAGCTACAAAGCTGAGGAACCGGATGGCTGGGAGCCACCAATATTCTTTCCGTGGACACCCCAGTACTCTGTTGTCTCCGAGTGGCCACCATCTTGGGCGGGTCACCGGAAAAGTACTTTCTCGCATCCTCCGGGGTCAGACTTGAGGCATGTGGGCCATGGTCACAACATCCCGAACATGATAAATCTATCCCTCAAAACTTGCATGGGTGTGTCTGCTTTAAGCTTTGGACTCCCCAAATTGTTGGTGTTCTTTTTGGTTCCCCTTTCAAATCGCCAAACAATGGGCACTCGCACAACAAAAAAACCGTCTACAATCTAAATGTGGGCGCCCATGACCATCCCGAGATATCCCGAGCCCCAGCAAAAGGGAATGTTGATCATGCCACATATGAGCCGCGGGCAGAGGCTACAGAAACTGTAGAGGATTACACTCTGGATTTCCAGGTCCCACGGCAATGATTTGTCGCGTTAGCTCTGTCAGCAAATCGTTTTGTCCCATGGGCGGCTATGGGCTGACCAGCCAACAACTCAAACACAGCTCAGGACAGTCGCACAAGTTACCAAGTAAACATGGGCTCCGACGCATAGAGGGAGAACACTGTATTCAGTGATGGGTTGAACGCTAGTCTTCTTGAAGACTACATTGAACACTACACTGAACACTCATTGAACACTACATTGAACACTACATTGAACACTACCCAAATCGCTTAAGAAACCAGCACTTCCTACAAATCAGCTAAATTTGGCAAGAAATTGACACCTTTTTTGGTTTCTTTTAACCCAAAGAAGGCGTCAAGCTGAAAATGCTGGTATTTGCGCAGTTTTGGCAGTGTTCCATGAGTGTTCAATGTAGTGTTCAATGTGGTGCGCATTGTAGTGTTCAATGTGGCGCTTGCTGCCGCGCTTCGCTCAAACGCCTTGCACGCAAGGGTTGAGTCGGTTGACGGACGAAATCCTGCACCGCCTCTGCCAACTCCATTCTGCCACTGAACAGGCTGCGCACCCCGCTCCCCCTTTTCAATGTTGTTGGCATTCGCAAAAGGTGGTGCAGGATTTCCGTCATTCCAAAATGTTTGCAAACAAGGTCCCTTAAGCTTCCAATGCTAAATGGGGAATGCGGAGTTGTTTCCCCACAACACAAGTGGTGCAGGATTTCGTTCGTCAACAGCATGACTTCCAGTGGCTGAGGGGTAGTGGATTCTCCTGATTTGAGCCACGTCTAAACATGCTGCTTCCCCCAAGAGGACGTATGGGTGGTCCCCTCCAGTAGGCTACCAAGTGTCACTGACTTATGTGTCAACTGCTGTGTTCACAATCGCCAAGCCCTGGCAGAACGCGTGACTTCGGGTCAGGTTGTTTAAACACATGGGTATTGGTCAAAATTAAACAACATGCTAATGTTGGCACTTGATTAGTAAAGGGTATTGGAATAATAGAAAGTTGTTTTCCTTATTCTGGTTCGCACCCATTGTTTAAGGGGACCAGAACAATAGAAAGTTTTTTTGGCCGGGGGGGAAATTAAAAACACAACTCCACAAATCAATTTTAATTTAAAAAACCATCCCCCCTCCCAGAAAATAAACTATCAGTTGCTTTACTCAAAAGCATTCCCTTTCAATTGGTGGCCCACTTGCTTAAAAGCATCCCCTTTCAATTGGTGGCCCACTTGCTTAAAAGCATTCCCCTTTCAATTGGTTGCCCAACCACAGATTTCAAAGCCAGCTGAAACCTCTGAAATTTGAAAACCATCCCCAGCCCTGAAACTGCAAAATCTTTATTAAACCGTGTTACAAAAATGCAACAAAAAAACAATCAGGACAAGGGTACCCCTCACAGACCCCACTGAACCACAATAATGTGATTGTTTTAGGGGACCACAAAAGTGGCAAGCCCCCAGCCCCCCCAGAAAATAAGCTATCAGTTGCCTTACTCAAAAGCATTCCCCTTTCAAGTACTTGCTTAATTTTTTAAAAGCATCCCCTGTCAATTGGTAGCCCACTTGCTTAAAAACATTCCCCTTTCAATTGGTTGCTCAACCACAGAACCCAAAGCCAGCTGAAACCTCTGAAATTTGAAAACCATCCCCAGCCCTGAAACTGCAAAATCTTTATTAAACCGTGTTACAAAAATGCAACAAACAAACAATCAGGACAAGGGTACCCCTCACAGACCCCACTGAACCACAATAATGTGATTGTTTTAGGGGACCACAAAAGTGGCAAGCCCCCAGCCCCCCCTCCCAGAAAATAAGCTATCAGTTGCCTTACTCAAAAGCATTCCCCTTTCCATTGGTGGCCCACTTGCTTAAAAGCATTCCCCTTTCAATTGGTTGCAATACTAAAGTAGTACTCCCAAAAGTATGCTCAGGAAGAAGTGGTTGCAATACAAAAGTAGAATTGCAACAAGGAAGTGGCTGCAATACTAAAGTAGAATTGCAAAAAGGAAGTGGCTGCAATACTAACGTAGAATTGGGCCCCAAAATCCTCCATTGTTTGGACGTCCCAAAAGTGCGCCCCCTTTATTTTGGCGCCTCCATTGTTCAGGGTGGGACGGGGGCCCTCTATTAATCAAGTGCCAACATTAAGCCATCTTGGGCACCTGTTTTTGACCCACAGCCACATGTTCCAGAGGCTCGAACACATTTTGCGGTTGAAACAAACTGCAAACCCCTCCTCCACGGCCTCCCAAAGCGAGAGCGTCATCTCTTCAGTGGGCACCACACGATACGTCTGCACCTCAGAGCAATGCACCGCAAGTGGAAAAGTCAGCAGAGCACATGCATTCATAGGGGAACAAACTAATCAGCGTCAACAGAAAAACAATAACAACTAGAGGTCTGATGTTGGTTTGGGGAGAACATGTCGAATCTCAAAGGAAGTTGCGACCATATGCGACCAACCCAGCTTCAGGTTGAATGATTCCCAGCCCTTACGGCACCACTTTTCTGAGCAACCCGTCATCCCGTGTAGAAATATTTATCACTGGGCAGCCATTGTTAATTCTCACTTGCCGCAACCTGGAAATACATAGCCAATCTCAGCATGCCAGGGTTCGGCCAACACCTCGTGTTCAATTAAGAGTTGTTTAAGCAACCTCCTTGTGGTTTCCAGGGCCAACGGGTGTTTGTTTGTTTGACAAAATAAGCAAACGAACCTGTTGCTGAGGATGAGGCGATCGAGTCTGGCACGACATCTTTGGACTCCAAGACGTCCACATAGCTGTGATCCTCCGCCACCTGTTCCGGATCTCAAAGCGCGGGTGGCTCACTATTGCGGCATATTTTCCGAGTTCTCAGTGGGGAACGAGGGAATAAGGGGATCTCTGGTGATTCCCTACTGAGAACCAGCTAGTTCTACGTTTTCGTTTGTCTAGTTGTTGATGGACATTTGTCTAGCGCAATGCACAAATTGGTGTTTGACCTCGTTTTGCACTCGTTTAGACTCGTTGTTCAATAAAGCAGTAGCCAATTCAGGGACCATCTGCAAGGGATCAGTGCAAGAGCACTCGTAGAAAAAAGCGCGTCGCTATATCTGCAACACTCCTGTGCGCAAAGCGAGCTACTTTGTTCTCTCGCATGTCTTTTCTAATCATCTGAGCTGGGGAAGATGAGGAACTGGACTTCAAATTGGCCATGGTTCACCTTGTGAAGGCATCCGACTCGTTTTGGAGTTGTTTCCTTTCTGGCTTGCGCGCCGCCCCGAGAAAGCGTCACTCTCGCAACTGTGATTAATCTCGTGTCATCCCGTTTTGCATGATTTCCAACAAAACTATCTCGTTCAGATCTTGTTGCTTTGAAGGGGGCGGGGCCACCGCGCTTCACAGTAAAGCTTCTATATTTCATGGTATTGATCGGACCACCACGCCGGAAAGGTGCTTAGAACATTCTTAGAAGGGGCACTGATGGAAGGGCTCCGTTCCAAGCTTTCAGGGGAGGATTTTGTGTCTCCCATAACATGGCCAAGCTTCTTCGCAACACAGGGTTCCTTGCGTTGATTGACCGCACAAGCATTGATGGCCCCTGGAACTCAGGCAGTGGTTGCGGGGGTTCTGGCTATTGTGGAACATCGGCAACCTGGCACCTTCGAAGGTGCCATTTGTGAAGAAAATAACTTCTGACTTTTGGAGGGGAGTCTGTCTGTGAAGGGGCCTTCAGAGCGTTCTTGCATTCTTTTGGGAGGTCAACTATTGTTACACAAAGGGTAGAAGGGACAAATGGGGAAACATGCAAAAGCGGACATGACGAAAAGGGAAACGAGAGAAGACATAAGGGAAAAGCTACTGTCTGCCATGGAACAAAAACATCTCTGACTAAACTTCTGTCTTTCATACTCCATGTTTGGAAAAGCAAAAGACCCCTTAGACCACGATTGCATTTGTCATGGGTGTGGTTCCAAATTACCAGCTGGGGCTACGCAGGTTTTCGTCCTTGGCTCCATTGTTCGAACAAGGGTACCCTTTTGCTGTCATCTATTTTAGTAGGGGAACCCTCCTAACTTAAAAAAGGGGTGAGAAAGGGCACCTAGCTGGACCATTTTTTTGAGCCACAGCCAGCGGGCGATCGCGCGATTCGTCCTGGGCAATGAGTTGGGTCACCTCCCTCGTCACCGTGGCGGAGTAGAAGAGATGCTGCGCCTTCGGCGGCAACTGCAGCGTCTCCAGCAGGCCCCGCGTCGTCTGGCCGCTTCGCTTCAAAGCGTGGGGGGGGAGGTACGCATTGGCAAATTGAAGGACTTGGCGACCAAATCCAAAGGCAGAGCAGAGACCAATTGATGCCTTGGAGGCTCATCTTTGGTGTGATAGAGTTGCCGCATTAGACCCCGAAAAAACCTATTTGTTTGCGTTTACAGGGGGTGTGTATACTAACTGGGCGTCCTTAGATCCCCTGTCAAAAATTGTTTGGTGGGTCTACTGGAAAGCCTAAACCCCGAAAAACATAAAAGCCTGAAGGGGATGGCTGGAAACCACTAAGTTAATTGAAACCTACCAAAGGTTGATTAGACCTTTCGCTTGTTCTTGCGGTTCTTGCAACGTGGATTGCCCCGTTCTGCAGGCCTTTGTGGAGAGTGTTTTGTCTCCTTGGAAACTAAATAACCACATAGGGTGCCGATGCTTTGTGTTTCTGTTTTTTCCCTCTGAGGGGCTTGAATATTTAGAACCGGGATGTGAGCTACTAAAAACAAAACATAATTTGTGTGGGAAGAATGCAGCCCCGTATAGTGGAATATGTTTCTTGACCGGACCCATTTTGGGTTTGCTTGAAAAGGAAAGCCAACGAAAACCAGGCCAATTCTGCATAAGACGAGCCCAAGTGGATACAGGCCAAACGGAATCTTTCTTATTCTAAGTAGGTTACAACTGGCTGCGCCAAACGACCCGCTGAACGTTTAACTTGCGGGCTAAACGGAAGCACAACCCTAAGGAAGCGGATGGCTGACAAACACCAAGATACATGACTCGACTTCAGCCCAGTTGTAGAATGTACATTCTATTGTTTGCTTCACTTTGCGCTGGTAACATGTAAGATGTATCCTAGGTATACCCCAGGATAATCATCGTGAGTGGAGGAAAGCAAATTTTAATGAAGCAAACGAAGACTTTCTCACGCAAACGGAGCCGCGCGCCTCACCAAAGATCTCCCCGGCTAGCTGATCCGCCTCATCCAGGACCAGCACTTGCCTCAGAAACCGGCCCGGGCCCATTTTCCCCCAAGCAATCGGTGAGGTTGAATAATGCTGTTTGGCCTCCTCAAAACTTTTGGAAGCCCCCAACACAAACCTCTGGGAACTTGTTTTGCGATTTGGGCTCATTTGAGTGACAAACAGAACCTGGTATTGACACGGGTTGGTTAGATGGGTCCACCCCCAGCGGGGCTCCCGGTGCTCGCGATGGTTTCTGCCTCCCAGAAATCAACTGCTAGATTGTGGTGGATGCTTGTGGAACCAAAACATGGCAAGAGATATGACACACATAGCCAAATGCTTAAGACCACATTCGACGTTCCGAGAGTTCAGCTATGCAACGTGCCAATATCAGCATGCAAATGCCAGCTCAACTGAAATCGGATCCTAGGTCTCGCCCCCCGTCGACGGAATCGCAATACGTAAGCATCATTATGAAATCATCATACAGCCTCTGTTTATCCAAAATGCAATCACGGTGGTCGTTCATATTAGGTCTATTACGTCTATAATTATGTTCATTATTAGTGTTATTATGTTTGTTATGGTTGTCACTAGTATTATGTTGATTATGACTATCATCAATATTAGTATTATTGTTTTTAGTATGATTGTTTATTGTTATGTTGTATTATTAGTATCCTTATTTATTATGATGATTTCATTTATCATTATTAGTGTTGTGAATCTATGAAACGACTTCATCTGATACATGGTATTTTCTATGCCATAAATATTGGGTTAAATATTGAACGACGTTGTACCTTGTAATCAAATAATGGCTCATTTGTTTAACAACACTTGACTTTGATACTTCGTTTAACTCCCATCCGCTAAAATGGAACCTGACTAATACATCCCGGAGGGGAACACTTTCCTCTAAACCAGGCTGACAGATCCACTGCTCAAATTTCAAACTTGTGAGTAAAATGGACACCCCCACTGAACCCTACGGAGCAAAGCTAAGGAACCGGATGACTGGGAGCCATCTCTCTGGTGGGCTCCATGTGACAAGAGGTGCTGGGTGTCTCTGCATTTTTTGGGGGACCCCCATTGTGGTGTTGCTTCTAGTGTTCCAAAAAACACCCAACAAGGGGGCGGAGAAAAACCCACACACCCATATTAATGTGGCCATGGATTAGATTTTCCCGGGTCAAAAGCCCGGTTACCCCCAATGGCTACATCCCAATCCAACCACTAAAATAGGTCCTAAGATTTTGCTGGTGAGTTCACCAATCCCAACCAAAATTGGGGATCCCAAAACGGTCAAATGACTGCCAAACTCCAGGGGTCGGTTCCTTCTTGGCCGGCGGGTTCGGATGGGTTCAGACCTGCGGCCTTTGGGGTCCCCGCACTTGGCGGAGCCGCTCCCGAAAGGCCGGGGTCTTCTCCAGGTGCGTCTGCAGGCGGCCTGGCATTGGACTCCTGGGAGGGGTTGAGGGTGGGTTTAGGGTGGTTTAGGGTGGTCTAGGATGGGTTTAGGGTGGTTTAGGGTGGTCTAGGATGGGTTTAGGGTGGTTTAGGGTGGTTTAGGGGTGGTTTAGGGTGGGTTTAGGGTGGTTTAGGGGTGGTTTAGGGTGGTTTAGGGTGGTTTAGGGTGGGTTTAGGGTGGTTTAGGGTGGTTTAGGGTGGTTTAGGATGGGTTTAGGGTGGGTTTGTGGTGGTTTAGGGTCTGTGTACTTGGGCTCCGAATCCGCCTTGGTTGGCCAGGAAAGGGGGGCCAGGCAGGATTCGCGGCAGCAAACCTGAACCCCAAACTGAAACCCCAACCCTAAACCTAAACCTCCGCCAGATTCATGGGTTTGTTCACCGTTAAAAACACGGTTAACCCCACTGTGGGGGAACTTAGAAGTGGGTAATGGCATAGGGCACTAATAGCTTGCTAACTTGGCCGAACACGTGAGGATTTGTGTGCCCACCAAGTGTTGAGGCGGTTCTAGCTCATAAAAATCATGGGCCATATGGGTGGCTCGATTTGTTTTGGGGACCCAACAATATGCCTTTGCAAACGACCAAACAGGGGTCCCTCACAAAATGACACCCATATGGGCCCACTGACATTGTGGACAGCTTTGAGGGTAGTCCCATTTGTTCAGCCAATCAACTGGGGGTAGATCCAGGTGGTGGATGGACAAAATCGCCTTCGCACCAACGGGTAGGTGGTTTGTCCGGTTTTATCCATCTCCACGGCCATGATTGAGCCCATCCGAAGAATGAGCCCATGGCCATGATTGATTCCTTTGGCCCAGGGCTATACCGCTGGGTAGTCGGGCTTGCATTGGCTATCCTCGGCGCATGATGCCACCTCCTCTACTTTAGAACATGGTGAAAACTTGTGGTCCGGGCGTTCAAGAACCCAAGTTGTTCAATCATAACATATATCCAATCTGGCATCTTCCCACCAAAAGCAAACCTCATTGGTGATGGTTGGAATCACCACAAGGAAACGTCAGAACCCCAGAACCCGTCCTTTCGCGGGCTTCTTGCGTGGGATTGCGGCTTTCGGGTGGGCTACGGCTCCGAGTGGAATGCCCTCATCCGATGGCCATGTTTCACTCAATTCTGGAATTTTGACAAGCAACTCCTACTCACCCCAAATAAGTGGATTGGCCTAAAAGAGTCCGACTTTCTTGGTTTACTACTCAAATTGTCTTTCCAAACGGAGTCCAACAACTCAAGAAGTGAGCCGAGGGTTGATGGCTCTCCCTTTTGACATTGAAGTACAAGGTCCAAAGCGAGCTCTGCGTTGGGGTCAAGCGCTTGAACCCTCTGGCCATCATGAAATCGAAATCCCATGTCCGGAGAACAAAGTGCCACAAACAAGAGATACACCTGAGTTAGGCGCAACACGCAACGCTAAAATCAAAAACAACAGGTTGGCATCCTGGGTTTGGCTTTTTGAAAACAAGCTGAGTGGATCGGCTTCCAAGCAGAAGCTCAGTTGCAACTAGTGACCTGAATGGCAGAACAAGAAATGGAAGCCCATATGTTCTCACCCCGGATTTTGTTTAGACAACACTGATTGACAAATATGGGGGTGTCCCCTATACTCCGTTACACCCTCCGCTTGGATCCCGAACCCTCCGAACTCAAAGGATGAAAGGGCAGCGAGCAAACCAACAACCGACGAAGCAGATAACCAAATTAGCAAACCAACGAAACACGGCAACCACGCACCACAGCAAACCAACGAAACACGGCAAACATGCAAACAACACAAGGAAGCTTGAAGACAAAGTTAGCTTGTATCAGAGGAATCCTGCTGGGTCCCTCCAGGACTTCGTGTCGCAGATTCGCCTGGGGTGGCGATGAGCATCAAGGCATCGGATGCGCGCGCCAAGCGCTCCACGTCCTCACATAATCGATCGATCATCCAGTGGAGAGGGTAGAATAAGTTGCTACCCGAGGTGTTTGTTTCTGTCGTCTATTTTTGTAGGGGAACCCTCCCAACCAAAAAAGGGGTGAGAAAGGGCACTGGGGCACCTAGGAAATGGATCACATTGCAAGCCGGGGCCAACGGCTCCCCAAGACCAGCCAACCGAAGGCGAGTGTTCGGCTTTGGGAACCGATGTTGGGGTGCTTTTTTTATTGGAACACCCGGGGAAGACCGGGAAACCAGGAAGCCGTGTTGAGGATCCACATCTTAACACACAGTCCAAAATGGGCTGTGCGTCTCCAAATATGGGCCCTGTCTGGATAGTTTCCTTTCGGTTTTCGGCTGAAAACTTCCAAGAAGGGGTCCCCCATCCAGACCTAAATGCGTCATGGTCAAAACTCCCAAACTGTCCCTTAAACTAGTTGCCAACATCGGGGTGTAATTTTCAACTGGGGGCCGAACATCATAATATGGACATCCTGTAGGGGAGTCATGTCCACCAATCACTTTGGGAGCAGTTCTCCGAAAAGGATCAAAGCCACATCTTGCGGGGATTTCTTTGAACAGTGTGATTCCTCCGAAGCAGGGATGCTCCACACATTGAAGCCAATCACTCTGCGCCTCATTTCGTTTACGCCGAAAAAGGGACGAACAAAGGAACAACAAAACTCAGTTGCTTTCTGCTCCCATGCTAAAAGTTTAACTTTTAGTGGTTTAATGGAAAAGCCTTTAGTTGGCAAAAAGTTAAAGCCCTAACATCCAAGCAACATGCACCAAAGTTGGATCATCTCAGGGGCGAACTTCACCTCGGGCACCGCTTGGTGAGGGTTGCCGCATGCGCCCTGCAACCAAATCTTTTTGCGAACATTTAGAGGCTTCCAGTCTACTGGGCTCTGATCCCCGCGAAAAGTTTAGCTTTTGGTGCAGTGAATGGAAACTACCAAACACTAAACACCTAAAAAGCTAAGGGACCGGATGGCTGGGCCGCCAAGTCCAACAACACTGCCCTGAGCACGCAGACAAATCGTTGATCTTTTTGCCACGCAGTATCCAACGAACAACCCCCCAGTTCGGAGTCCCATGTGCCGCTGGGATTCTCGAAAAACTGGGTACAACAAAGTTACATCCTCCAAATGTAGCCTCCAAATGGTGGTTTCAAGGGTATTCACGCCCAAAAACGTATTTTTTGGGAACCCCTCAAAAATCCCACCAAACTTTTTCCAGCACCCAGATCAAGTTGCCAGCGAGTCTTCCCTCCCCAGCGAGTCCCGGATCGCACCTCCTCCCAGTTCGAGCCGCCTCAGCCAGCCATCCTCCCCCCCCCCAGAAGGCCCCAGCGTCACTCCGCGCATCTTGGGTTTGGAAAATCAGATCGAGTGTTTCTCAAAATGAGGGTGGTCCGTTTCCTCAAAGAAAAATGGCTTCCTTTCTGGTGTCCATTCGCAACCTTTTCAAGGGGGCCCGCCATGTTGACACACGCCCAAGTAGTGTCCGGAAAACATATGGGGCTTTTCCTGGACCTAAAAGACCAGCCATGTTTTGGCTTGGCCTCCCGGTTGAAACATCTGTCGATTTTCTGGGAACCCAGTGTTGGTTGGTGTTTAAGGCACACCAACAGGAAGCCGATCAATCTGGGGGCCCCTCACCCTCATTTGTGACACAAACCTACATCCAAAAAAGGGGTTCAACGGCCACAGAGGGGGATAGCCCCATTTGGCCCCAGAAATCGCTCCGCAGTCCCGACGTCGACCGAACCGGTGCGCGCCTACCATCAGAAGGGGCCTCGGCGTCGGGGCCGGGATCAAGGGAAGCTCAGTGCGGGGCTCTTCGTTTCGTTTTGTGTGTCTTAAGGGTAGCCGGGCAGCCCTTTTCTGTGGCTAAAGGAAAACCAAAACGAACACCGAAGCCATTTAGTTCAAATCCTCAAAAAACACTCCGTTCTTCAGGGTATAGCCCTTTCTGTGGTTTGAAAGTGTCACCAACATGAAAACCGAAGCCATTTGGGGGGGGTCCAAATCCTCAAAAACGGCACACCCTTTAAATGGTCGCCCCCAAGTAACCAATAAGCCCCCCCCCCTCCCTCCAGGATCAACAAAGTTCAGAATACAAAGTTTTGGTGTCACCAAAGCCATCCAAAAGAGCGCTTCATGAGTCATCCCACTTCGTGAATTGGCCCCAAGTCAGCACCGCCGCTGCCGCTAAATGGTGCAAACCCCAGCGGCTAAAGTTGACTAAACTCCAGGAACAGCTGGGGTGTGTTTTAGGATTTGGACCCCGCAAAATGGTGGGTGTCCTTTGGTGTTCGTTTACCGCGGAAAAATATGTACCCTTAAAAAATGCACACACCCATCTGGGCAGTATTCCCAAACCACAAAGCAAGCACCCGCTTATTTTAAACTCATCAATCTCTTGGCGGCTTTCGCACTCAATGCAAGCCAAGGAAAAAAACACCAGACCCCCAGTGTCCATAGAAACAAAAACACGCGCCATATTGATAGCAGTTGATTTTGACAATTTGAAGGATGAAACGGGAGCAACAGGCCGAACATTTCGCGCAAGACATGGGGCAATTTAGGCTCTGGCCTTGTGGTTGACATTTAGGGCTCGGTCCGTCGTCCCTCCATCGGAAAACAAGGAGATTTCAAGGAACAAACCCTTCAACACAAGGGTACCACTAGAGTCATAATCCAAACCTCGTATTGAAATGGTCTACCCGTAGGTTAATTACATAAAGACAATGGGCGGATATCGGCATATTGGAAACGTGGGTGTTTGGGCAAGATAGAAAGCGGTTTGTGTAACCTAGGTCATAACCTGAGATGCCCAAAGAACCCAGAAATCAAAGGTCAACCTTGTGGGGCCACGACTAAAAATGGACCAACATGGAAAAACCTAAAGGTTAAAAGCTCGATTCGCTTTAGGCAAACGAGTCACCTACTTCTGAGTCCCCCCCGGTGCAACCCGAAACGCGCGTCTCTTTGGTGACGGACGCGCGAACTCGCAGCAAAGCGGCGAAACGCCTGGGAAGTTCTCCGCCAACTTCGCGGCTTCTGCGTGAATCTGCATGGACAGCTCTCGCCTGAGAGCTTGCGCGTCGTTCTCTTGGTTGCTTGTTTTCTTGCTTGGCTGGGTGCTTGCTTGTTTGCTTGGTTGCCTCATTGGTTGCTTGGTTGCTTTTGCTTGGTTGCTTGATTGGTTGCTTGCTTGTTTGCTTGGTGGCTGGGCTGGCTGGTTAGTCTGGTCGGTTGGTTTGGTCTGTTGCCCCTGTCTTTGTGACCCCAACAACAGCTGTGCACTCCTCGCCCGTTTCTTCCGAGGGGCACGGGGCTCAGCACCAGCACGGTGCCCTGCGCTTCTTGGTGCAGGCCTCAGGCGTATCCGACGGCGTGATGCTTTTGTTGAGGGGGACCCTCCCACCAATTAACATGGAACCTGAATTGAAGGCCGGAGTATTTCCAGGGGGTCATTCCCCATTCTTTTCAACCATCCTTGATTCCCTATTCTTTTCAACCATCCTTATTTTCAAAAGCCAGCTGTTTCCCCTAAGGTTCTGATGGTTTTCTGAAAAGAAGGATCCCTGGAAAAATGGGTGTCCCCTAGAGTATTGGTATAAAGGGTGGTGTTCAAGCCGGGTAAAAGAGCGTGGCATTTCCCTTCGGTGTTCTCATTGTCAAATGGATATGGGAAGGGATCTGGGTAGGTGTTTCTTGGCATTGGCATCCTAAGTTGTGTTATGATTGTCAGTTGGGAGCGAGCCCTTTGGTTGACATCATTTGCATGAGTGCATGGTCCCCTAATCTTATTGGTTTCCTTTTGGTTTTCCTCTTAAATATCAGCCAAAACGGGCATTTCGAGAAGCTCCCACATGTAGATCAGGATATCAACCGTCCTCTTGGTGGGCTCGCTCGGTTTAGGCTCGATTTTGCCAACCCAGAGACGAGATAACGTGGAGTTGAACAGAGAATAAGGGAGTCTCTTCCTTCGTGACCCTCCCCCAAAAAACAAACACTGGCGGTTTCCCTGTTGGTTTCTGTTTTAACAGCAAAACACATGTGTTGTTTCCTGTTGGTTTACGTGTTAAAAGCAAACCAATGGTGGTTTTCCGTTTTAAAAGCAAACCACTGGTGGTTTTTCCTGTTGGTGTCCGTTTTAAAAAGGCAAAACACATGTGGTTTTCAGTTGGCTTCATTTCGAAAGCAAAATAATGGTGGGTTTCTCCGTTGGTGCCCGTTGAAAAGGAACAAACCTGTGGTGTTTCCTGTTGGTCTCCGTCTAAACCCCTTGAAAACCCCCACCAACACGGGAACCCTAGCCCCCAAAAGCAGCTTCAAACACCTCCGGGCCGGGGCGCGGTCCATGGTAGGCAGCAGAAAGCTCAATGTCTTGCCCGCGCCGGTGCGGGCGCGGACCACCAAATTCCTTCCGTCGCGGATGGCCTCAACCACTCCGTCGAATGGGGGGAGGGGGGGTGCTTCAGCCAAACCGCCAAGGTCCTTCACCTCTCTCCAAAGCGTCTTTTTTTGGGTAGAAAGTGAACAACTTTGAGTGGGTTGAATGGAAACCCAACCACTGAACCAACCAAAAACCTAAAGACACCTAGGGGGACGGCTTCCCTGGCGATCGATTTGGAGCCCTGTGGTTTGGAGGTTGGGTGGTTTCCCAGTTCAAAAACTCAGCCCTTTTAACGCCCCCAGACCAACTAGGTAAGGGATACCTGATTCATAAGGATTTAGCCTTATCCAAAGGTGCACGCAATGCGAAGCACCGACGAATGAACAACGGATATGGCTCTAATTGATTGATCGGATTTTGAAGTAATGGTCATCTCGTCTATTTTGATTGCTTTGGAAGGGTTGAGTCAAACAAGACAAATAAGACATAAACTTTTGAGTCAAACACGTTGACAGAAACAAACCGTCAAGTCTAACCAAAACCCGTGCGTGGCACAATAGTATATAGTCTTGCCCCGACCCGCTTGCAGTGTGGTATGTTTCGTTGTCGGGGACTTGCTTGCGTGCCCCTGACTAACTTGGTACACCCAAAATGCAACATTCTAGGGGTACCTTCCTCATTCTTTCCAGGGATCCTTCTTTCTAGAAAACCTCCACAAACCCAGGGGAAACGCCTGGCTTTGGAAAAAAAACGCTGGTTGAAAAGAATGGGGAATCAACCCCTAGAAACATGGGACCTACACGAGTGCATCACATTCAGATTGATCGTTGAGTCCCTTCCAAGCGGGAATCAAAGAAACTCATGTGCTGGCTTGCCAAACACGCGAGCTAAAGTCAAAACTTGGTAATTCTCAAAGTGGTCAACCCAAAACATGCAAACAACTACAGGGGTGGCTGTTCCTATTCTGGCTGCATGGGACTGTTCCTCAGAATCATTTAATCTACCCAGGTGTTGTTTGTGGCCATTTCACGATGCTCTCAAAAAGGTAACGTGCCGAGTCGAACTTGAGCAGTGATCATGCGTGCCACGGTGGAAACTCCTGCGTGCCATTGGATCCTTTTACAAGCCTTGCAATGGGTGTCTGAATCTACGGGGCTGATACCATTCTAAGCCCAAGCCAGAGGTACTCATAGGCAACTCGCTTGAAACGTTGGACCAATTGGCCAGTTGACACGGGTGAGGGTTAAACGAGTTTCGCAGAATCTGAAGGAACACAAATCATGGTAATCATGGGCCACCTCAAGGCTCCATATTTTATGATGCTTCCTTGGCTTGGCTTTCATTGGTACAAAAGGTGGTCGTGGGCTGGAGATAGCGCATGTTTGTCTAAGAAGGAATCCACCTTTTCATACTCTTAAGGAATCTACCTTTTCATTCCACAGGATGACCTAGCATCCCTGCAAACATTGGGAGAAACTATCTAATGTTGACCCCATATGTATCAACCCCAGTTTGTCAATATGGGGTGTCCCTGCGTGAAATGCGGGGAATCATGTTTTTGTTTTTGGAGAGCCAGCACCATCCCCCCTATTAATAAATAGGTTGGTTAAGACAAATATGGGGTCAACATTCCCAACTGCTGTGAAGCGGATTTTCTCCCATCGCTTCGCCAGCCTTTCGCCTTTCGTCTTTCGTCCTAAAGTCCCAACGTCGCGCCTGGAAGGTCTGCCGCTGCACTTCCTTCAGGGAGAGGGGATGTTCGGGGCCTATGAAGGTGCCACAAATCCAAAACGCCGCAAGAAGGTGCCACATGACTATGTTCGGAGGCCGGGGCCTATGAAGGTGCTACATGGCCATGGGGCACAAGCTATGGCTCCATTTTGGGGTTGGTAAACATCCACTTGCCACCTACTTTGATGTTCACCAGGGGTACAGGGTTTTGACCCACAGCCACATCCAAAAATGCCGCAAAAGGACATGTTGACTGAACGACCAGAAGGAAGCCTCCTACGCAAAACCGGTTCGAGGTCTACTCTCTTTACCCGGGGTTCACAAGGGCGGAAATCCGCATGCTTCGTCCGACTTACCTCTGGTTTTGATTAGGGCTCAATTTGGATTGGAGACCGTTGGGACTCGGACCATGAGCCCCGGTCTCAAGACGGGACCGAAGTGTGAAACCGTAGAGCCAGCAGGCTGTTGCTCCGCATCGATCGCACTACCAGTAAGTAGTAGAACAATGTGGCCCCTGAAAAAAGGGAAGCCAAAGGACACCGTTTACAAATGTTGCGCTGAAACGGGTTGGAACCCGAAAAGAGGGGAGGGGGGTCCTCCTGAAGGATATTCCGCAAAGGAAGAGGAACTCTTGGGGGTGCCATCTGCAGACTGCACACCCTTCAACCACCCCATTCCAACAAGGAGCTTGTAACCCAACTAGTCAAAAACAAAAGAAAAATACAAACACCCAAGACCTCCGTTCGGGCAATTGTTGGCTGAAGTGTTGGCCAATCCCAATCCATTCCTATTTGAAAACCACAGCAAAGAAGACCCCTTCGTAACCCAAACATTTTGTGGATCAGCTTAAAGCTTAAAGCTTTCCACCCGATTCTTCGCAGAATTCAAAACGTCCCCAACCTGACACGAAAAAGTTGGTACCCCTTGCAGTGCTTGGAGTTTCAATGCCAGGGTGGCCCGCCGGACTGACAGCGGATGATTTGTCTAAACATGTGTTTGAGCCACAGACCATGTTGGCTCCGTTGGGTAAACACCCCGTGCGTTTTTTTTAGGCCCCAAATGAACAGATGCTGATGCAAAAAACTGTCCTACAGACCTCTTAGGCACTTGGACCCTTAGGGTTAGATTGCCGGCCCTTTTGCTAGAGGGTTTCTACGTCAGGCAACCTCAGCAATGAGAGGGCATTTGTGGTTCTACGCAGGAAAGAACAACTCATGGTCCTTGGCTTCCACTTGGAATGGGTATACCGCGGTATACCCCCTCAAGCCCCCCCCCCTCCAAGGCCCCGCATGCCCTCTTCCCCCCGTCAACAACTGTTACAGGCTGTTTCCTGCGATCCATTCCAAACCCCTGGGAAGCCCTCTTTGGATTTCAAAGGGACACCAGCCATTTTGCTTCAAGCAGACTGATCCGACGCGAACAGTGAGAACTTGTTGCTGGGTTTGTCAAAAATGACGGAAGACCAAACGAAAAGTCAACAAGGTATTTGGATGTTCAAGCCACCTAGGTAGGCCAGCATTTAGACCCCCAACAAAAACAGAAAAACAAATGTTTGCTGGTTGAAAGATAACACGAAGGACACCCAAGGCAAAGAGCTCATCAGGTAAGGTACGGTTGGCAATAGAGTAAATTTGAGTAAGTCGAGTGTGGCAATCTGTGGGTCTGGCTTCGAGCCGTTTCGAGGTGCCCTGTGGACTAGACAAAACAACATTAACTTTTGGACCTTCACGAAATTCATGAAGAAGGTTCAACCTTTGAAAACCAGCCGACAAGCTCCTCAGCCAGAGTCAACTTTGGCTTAGTACTGAGGACCATGCTAATCAGGGCTGGTTCCCTTACTGTTCCCTTTAAGCAAACGATCCTTTTAGGGGCTTCCTCATGGCTCGCCAAAAACAGAAATCCCTGCTTCCCTACCTCTCGCAGCAGCAACTATAGTAGGCAAACGACTGTTTCCTCTGGCCTTTACTGTGTAGTTTTTCTTGGTTACCTACTATACAGGTAAATGGATAATGTTGACCGCGTATTTGATCAACCCAGTTTCATTCAAAAACAAATCGGCCCAAACGGCCGGGGCCCCGTCCGTGGGGCTCCGGTACCCGCGGCTCGCCGCGGCCATCTCCGCCGCTGAAGACAGCCCCAGGCCCTGGAAGCCGCCGAAGGCGGCGCCATCCTCGACGCGGGCTGCGCGCTCAAGGCGCCCGGGGCGCGGCCTGGGGAGCTGCGGGTTGAGACGCTGGAAGGTTGCGACAGCCAAATTTGCAGCACGACATGAAATGGGTGAAACCATAATTTGTTGGTATTACAGGAGGAATCGAATCAGAAGCCAGGGGGAATCGAACCATCCTGGGTCTTTTTTGTGTCAAAGCTTTTAGCCACAAAACGGCGGAAACAATGCGGAGAGCGGAGCTTCATGGAAATGAGTTGGATTTAGAAGGTCCAGGATGGTTGAAACCATGTTTTGAGGGTATTTACGGGGGAATCATCAGAAGCCAAGGTTTCTTTGGTGGCACGAACGGAGTCGTCCATCCACAGTATCACCCGTTCCAAGGGAAACTCACCTTGAGAGGGCATGTCCATTCAAATCTGGGCTTATATGATCCGACATTCACCGACTGGACATATTCCTGAATATGTGCACTGTTTCGACCATGTTCCCTGAGGTGAGTGGGTCTTCCCTTCCCAGCTTCCCCGGAAAGAACAGTTCGCTACAACTGGGCAGGATAAGTTCCCTGGCATCACAAAACTACAATCCCCTCACTCCCTCAACTCTCCAACTGAGAGTTTGTTTTGGGTTACTTCAACTCTTGCGAGTGCACCTGGTAGTCAAATGCTGGGAATCCCAATTGGTCGATTCCGAGTCACCAAACAAGAAGCGACTTGAGCGGTTCCACTGAGCAACTGGGTTGTCCAATCAAAACCAGCTATGGCATGATAAGATCAACTGAACAGAAACAATCAACGCTGAACAATTTGGTACCTAAGGTTGTTTTTTTGAGGTCCCCAACCTCGCCACAAAGATCCCTTTTTCCCCTCCGATGGAGGGTCCCATGATGCATAGGGAATCATACTGGGCCATGCTATCACTATCAAACAACAAAAGCTCCTGGGTGGCAGGGCAAAGGGAAACCACCTCAGCTTCATCTTCGAACCCCCCTCCCTTCCACCCGGTCCTCACGGCTCCGCAGAAGGCTCGAGACTCGAGACCTGGCCCCCGAAAAAACTTTGCTGCGGTGTTCCTGGTGGCTTCCCATTGAAAACCAGCCAACTGGGAGTACCAACTCCAAAAAAAGACAGCTGCAAAAGTCCTCCTTGGGAAAATGGGGGGGGGTTCAGGAAGCCCACTCGCGCAGATGTGAGTCACAGGAAGCCCAAAGTAGCAAGTGCGGATCATTGGGACCAGTGTAAAGAATCTCAGATGCCCAGTGGCCACGGGAAACAGAGGGCATCCTTTTTGGGTTGGTTGAGTGTGAAGGAATCCCTTCCCACAAAAAAGAAATGAACAAAGGAAACAACCCACTGGGCAACAGAGTAAATTCTCAGTTGCCCAAAGGACCTGCAACTAAAAGGCTAACCTTTTGGGGCCATGACTAAATATGGACCAAAATTGGAAAACCCAAAGGTCGGATCCGGTCGACTCGCTTTGAACCACTGAGTCTTATGTTGATTTCTCTCCCCGGGCTCCACAACGCGTGCCTCAAGGACTTGGTCGGACCTCTCTGGCAACCCATAGCCCCGGGCTTCTGTTGGCGGCTCTCGGACTTGTCTACCACATCTCCAAAGGATTTCCCTGAGGAAAAGGATGCCCTTCCATGTGTAGGTGATTTCAATTGGGAAATACATACCTGTTATTTATTTATTTATTTTTGTCAGGCTTTCACTTCTTTCTGGCGAAGCCCAAAAACGCAACACAATGACACAATGTTGGCCGTCGGTTTGCGTTGCTTTCGCGTTGCCTTTTGCTGCCTTTGCGTCATGTTTTCAAGGGCGCCGCTTGCGTCGTCAAATTTTCAGGGGAGACTGAAAAAAAGCCCGTCGGTGCAGGGTCCAGACAAACTACATCACCCTTTCTGCGGTACCAACATGGGCTATTCACATGACGACCTTCCTGCTTTGAAGGGATTCCCTTAGTATAACAGCTATTGGGTCTAAAAACAATTGTCCAGGGTTCCTTCAAGGAGAACTACATTTAAAACCACCTGATTTACAAGGGTCCTCCAAACAACAAGGTGTGATCTTCTAACTGGCCCAAATGTATCCGAAATCCATATGTTTCGTTTTAGTGGTTGGGTTTCCGAGTTTCACCCACTAAAGGTTATTCACATTTTAGCAGGGGAGTCTTTTTTGGACAGCCCAGCAAGTTGCGGGTTTGCGGAGTGGGTCTGCCATTGTTTGCCTCGTGGGCCTCTCAAACCCGGGTTTGTCCGAAATGGATTGGTTGGCTTCCTGTTGGCCTCTCTTGAAAACCAAGCAAAACCTCCATTTTATTAAGTCCCCTGGAAAAAATAAAAAAACTATTTCCAGTAGTGATAGACTCCCTTTTAATAGCTAACAGGGGAAAATAAAAAACATCTTCATTTCAGCAAATGGAAGACACACATAGCCATCTGGTTTGCCAGTGTCTCAAACTAAGAAACCCTTCATGGCTGGTAAGGAAACCAAAAAGGAAACCAGCCACCTGGCCCGTCGAAAACGGGGGCGAGCGCCCCAAGCGAGACGCACCCCGCCACGTCCCGCCGCCTCGTAGGAGCAGCGGCAGCGCCAGCGCCGCGCCGCGCAGGGGCCGCGAGATCCGCATGGGAGGCGCGTGCTCGGGGGGGGGGGGGTGCCATGGACGCTTGGAGTATATGTTGCAGCCAAGAACCCGAAGACCAATACCCCAACTGAAGGTTGCAAAATAGACCCTAAGTGTTCACCATACGGGGGCGGGGGTTTGGAGGGGTTCTAGGATTGAGGGTGTGGGGGGGTGTGGGGGGGGAGCTCGGGGGTTGGCGGGGGCTTTTCTGCAACCACCTTCCTTTAGGGTGCACAAAGTGATTGAACCACCAGGCATGCTGTTCTCTCCCATGATTTGGCACACAGGCTTTCGACTATCTACCCGTTCCAGTCGCCTGGTGACCCTGTGCGCAGCTGCCCCCCTCAAAGGACCTGTGCTGAGTTTGCTGGTCACGCCAGAGGTTATACGTAAGCAAAAGTCTGGCAATGAAACAATCAGTGTGCTCTTGTGCACTCAACTCCCATGTCTCGTTCGCCGATGGGTTGCCGTGTCGAAACCGCCGAACCGCCATGCGGAGCCTTCTGATATCGCTAAGGGATGCCAAGACGGTATCACAGACCCTGGCTCAACCACAGCTGACCTTTTCGAGATGAGATGGATTCAACAACCCATCTAAACCAGTGGAACCCTTCTATTCAACCAAAATCTCAAAAGGACACCTATGAGCTCAACCCAGCTATAAGCTGGCCTTTTGGGAAACATCAATGGGTTTCCCTGGTACGGTATATGGATCAAACAACTCAAAGCCCGTGTCCCTGTGAACACCCAGAAAGCCTTCTGAAAAGACAACAGCGGAAGGGTAACCATCTCCAAAAAGGCACCTTAGGTTTTGACCCACATCCATATTTCACCATATTGTGGGTCAACCCATATTTCAAAACCCATATGTCAAATGGGGTTTTGATTAAACAACCCATATTTCACCATGGGCCCAACCCCATGTCCCCTAAGCACGCAGACCCATTGGTGATCTCGTAGTTGGTGCGGTTCACCACCACGTTGCCCACGCGGAACCTCAACGCGTAACTCTGCATACCAAGCCCCAGGACCCTTAGGGTTGTTCAAATCTCCTTTCAGTTGTCATGTTGACCCCAGCCACCACGAAACATCGACACCTGGTCTGACTTGAACAATGCTTAGACATTTAATCTCGCGTAAACGGGTGGGTCTGGCCAAGTCAGTACTTCAGGATCCCAACATGGACCCACACACTACCTCCATGTGCTACATATCCCCTAAAACCAACAAGAATCATACTTCAATCGCTCTAAGAGAGTGAAAGGCTGGTACCTGATTCGCTGCAAGACTCAGATGGTCACAAGAACTGGTCGTGACCGAAGGTCGTGCCCAAACGACCTAACACATTGTGGGAACCGTCGCTTACACATTGGCTTAGTTGGCGCTAGCATCCGAAACATGTCCCATCTGTACCAAGGGATACGTACACGTCAGGCTGTCACACAAAATGGGGCCATAGGATTACCATTCCCCTCAATAGTTTCATCGGGTGTGCCATCTTAGAGGGATCTGGGAGTCCTGCATCTTTTGTTGGAATCATCCCTCTAGCACTAGTTTGGAGTGCAATTTGTCGGACCCCCAACGGGTCCGTTTTGGAGGTACGCCCATCAATGTGAAGGACTCTTCTAGATCAAATAACATTGGGAACTCACTTTAGGTAGCCCCAAATCGGGGATTTGGATTTGAACCCGTGCTTCTTGAGGGTAAATGGGAAGCTACCCGAGAAGCATCTCCAAACCACAAATCCTCATTTGCCCTTTCAGACTAACAATGTGTAGAGTAAAATTTGTCAAGCGGGGGCAAGGGACCCACCGAGCCAGCAACGCTGGGTTCCCCGGCCGGTTGCCGAACTGGCCGCAGAGCTCCAGGCGCGTGTAGCGCCGGCGCGGGGGGCGGATCACCAACTTCCAGACCTTTCAAATCGAAGCCATGCTGTGGATGGCCGAAATCATGAAGACAACTTTGACACCATGGCTGAAACCACAACGTTTGTGTGTATTTACAAGGGAATCATCATTCCAGGGATTGATTCTTAGGTGGTGCAGGAGTTTTCGTCAATCCACAGTGTGGAGACTTCCGCCTCTGAACCACGGCCATGTTGCCGTGGATATTGTGGAATTGGTGAGCAGACTGATGCGACACGCAACAAGTGATATCAACTTGTTGCTGGCTGAAAGGTAAAATGATGCACATTTGAAAAGGCAAAAAGCTAACACGGGAACCTATAACCGGGGTTTTCAGCCTTAACCTGGCCTGGGTCCTTGGAATTCCCAAAGGGTTCCGAGAAGCAAAGGTGGTTAGAGTTCTGAGAGCCTGAGGCCCCAAGCAAGACCGTTTTTGTTTCTCTCATATTTCTGCGTCCGTAAAACTGCCTTAAAGCACAAGGATTGAAAGTTGAGACCGTGCCTTACAGAAGTTCGATTCGCCCTCGTATTTGGCTAGTATCCTAGGTCAAAAAGAGACAAGGCGAACTGCACTTGGGGGGTTGTAATCTAGGCTGCCGCTTTCTCATTTGGCCGACCACCCAGGTAACCTTTACCTATCCGGGTTTTGACTCCGGCTCTCCTCAGGGGGACGGGGCTGCGCTGCCCACTTCCACTTTGTCTAGGCTTCACAAAGAAAGCGAGGGAATATGAAAAGATGGAAGTGCAAGAGGCACCCCGCTCCCCATATTCCCATCTCAAAGGGGATGTGTTCCCAATTGAATCGCCGCCGGGCTTTGGAGATCGCCTCTCCGGAATAAATGAGTGAACATGCAGGAAGCCAAACAAATCCCCGCACCCACATGCGCTGGTTTAAGTGGGAAACATACTAATAGAACACAAGCTATTCAAGTTCACAAACGAACAAACAAACAACCCACCATGTTATTCAAGTTCGCAAACACAAAAAAGGACTCAACAGTCAAACCACCGTTCTTCGAGAAGTGCCGGTAGCTGCTGAAGCGAACGCACATTTGGATACAATGGGTCGGCAACGGCTCAGGTCCCCGAAGAACCTCGACTCCCTCAACCCCAGGCCGAGGGACGGCAAAGACATACTCGCTCACGCTGAGTGCTTCCTGAGCAAGTTTTGGGTTCATCAATATTCCGCTTGGGCCGCAAATGACCATGGGTAACTTGTTCCATTTAATGGGACATACTGTGGATGGACAAAATCCTGCACCACTTTGAAACCATGGGAAACTATTGTGTGTTGGTATTTGCAGGGGGATCATCATTCAAGGGTTTCTTAGGTGGTGCAGGAATTCGTCCATCCACAGTATGATCCTTTTAGTGTGTTTTCTTTTTGCAATGGCCATCCCATGTAAAGGACCTTTTGATCAACCCCGATTTCGGTGGCTCTTTCGAGCAGGGAAGGAGAAATGGAATGAGCCCGGTTGAAAAACCGTCCCTTGCTGGTGGTTTCCTTTAGGGGAATCCCGAAACGGGTCTTTCCCAACGTCCAGAACGGTCATTCCCTACTGAGCACCAACTATTTGGGATTATTTGGGTGCTTCGCTTTTGTGAATTGGACCCCACAATGGCGGAACGCTTTTCCTTTTCGTTTCCCTTTTCAACCACCAAACAAGGGGTACCGAGCCTCAAAAAAGACACCCCATTTGCCTTCGCCCACTGATTCGCCAGCCATTCACTGCAAAGTACCAAACAAAATCATGAGCCAAGAACAGAGTGAGGGAGCGAAGGATCGATCTGCACGCAGCAAATTGGGATGTTTCATGAATGAGCTAGCTCGTGGACGTATCCGTGTAGTGTGAGAGATCCTTCCTCCAACTGACCCTAGCTAGCGGTCGGCTTGCCTGCGCTACCTCTGCAAAGCTCACCGAACAAAGAGGCCCTGACTTCACGCAGTTCCTAAGCTGAGTCACGTTGGCAGGTCACCTTGTACTTCTCGCTTGCCACGCCAGGGTTGCACGCACACACAAACACAAAGGTGGTTGGGTCTTCAAAATGAAGTCATTGCAAGGCCCCAAAACAGGGTCAGTCTCTAAATAGGGGAATCTCCAAAATCCGGGGTGGGTGGGGTGGGGTGGGCCTTGTCGTGTCCCTTAAAACTGGCCCAGCAAGGAGCCGCCAGACCCAACCAACTCCAACAGAACGGGGAGAATGGGGATTCACCCGGGTTTGGCTTAAAGCGAAAACTTAGCCCCCTACAAATTGACAGAAGGAACCCAAACAGGGGTCGCCAAAAAAGGAGATTCTGAGCATGTTTGAGTTTGGGGCATGTCAAAATCTCTGCGATAGCAAGGTGCTCGCCTTCTCCTGAGTGGGTTGGCCAACACAAAGTCCACACTTTTTCTTTGCCACCACAGTGGTTTTCCCAAACAGTTTGAGGTCCATGAATTCAGGGCGTCGTAAGCCCAACTGGGGAAGTCAGGCTTATTCTGACCAGTGTTCCAGCATCGAGATCGACGCCAATGCAGCTGAGGCGCCATCGTCATGCTGGGATTGATTGGGAAAAGACGGGCAAAACCCGGGCAAAGAGATTCGAAGCCAGACAAGACCAAGTGATCAACTCGTGCCGAGTTGGGTCTTCTGTTTCTTGCAAGCCGGTTCAATATGTGTTTTGCATCGGTCTTTGCCTGGGAGCCACTGGAAGCAGGCATCGGACAAGGCTAAGAGATCTTGCGAAGCAACACATGCACCCCTTTTTGAAAGGAAATGTCTAGTTTGACCAAATCCATTCGATGGGTTTTGAGAAGGAATCCGGTCTCTTGAGAAAATCACCGGGATTTGACTTGAAGCATTGAGGTCTAGCTCATGAAAAAATATGTCATTCACTGCGAGCTCACTTCTCGGGTGGGAACATCCCCGCCCCCTTAAAAATGGAATTGGGGTAGGGGGCTTTTGATTCCTGGAGATCTCCATTTATCGTTCCATTTTCCCTTTCATGGGGAAGACTAGATAAACGGAATCGGGGGACCCCCTACCCCCTCCCCCCTGAGGTAGGGGGGATACCAAATGACTTCTTCGTGGTTGTTCAAGGACGATTCCCGGCCTCCCAATTTACGGGTTCATGGAGTCGCTGCCAATATGCAAATGAATTAATTCAGATTTGGTGCGGAGCGCCTTTGGGCTGGGTTCTGGAAGGGTGCCGGGGTTGCTGTCGAGGATACTACCTGGGCTTACTTTCTATAGGCCATCATGTTTGCCGGACTGAAACCAAGGGAATCCAGCAAATCTGGGCGTTTGCTTGTTTCAGCATTGGTATACTGTTGGCAGGGTCTATGTTTGGACCCTTGTGCTAGAAATTCCGCAGCAACACCTGTCCCCGATTCCTTTCTGTTCCGCAAATCTGTACCCGCCCCAAAAACAAACAAGGGTGTTTGGCCCCCCAAATGACCATGGGTAACATTTGCCATTTAGGAGAAATATCAGCGTCTTAGTGGCTTTCCCCAACGGTCATCCCATGTCATCCGAACCTTGTGATCACCTCCCACAGAGAAGCTCGGAGGAACCCTGAGGTTTAAAGATCGGAAACATAGTGTCACCTTGCGCGACAGGGAACCCTGGATTAGTCGACCCGTGCTATTGACAGGGGGCGTACCAAGGAATCTGAGGCATTGCCACTCATTTGAAGGAGACACGCACTATGAATCGACAAGGGTGGTATGGGTTTGTCTCAAAATAGGGGACCCAAAAAAATAGTTGGTTTCCTTGGGCATTTTCATGTATAAGCTTAGGAGACACTTGTAAGCTGATATTGATGGTATATAAGCACCCCATCTCCAAAATCTATCTGGAATGCCAACTTGATCATTTGGGTATGCGTAAAACAGGGGGATTCGCCGCAGTTGCGGGCTTCCTTTTGATGTCACCTTTAAACCAACCCAAAATTCAGGTACCCTTAAATACAAACACACACACACACACACTCAGACAAATGCATCCAGCAAGCCACACGCTGGGGGCGAATCCGCCAGCATCTTTTTGGTGAACCACTGCACGCGAGGCATGCCATCCGCAAGGCAGCCAGCACCTTTGGGCTGGTGAGCCGCAACCCGGTGAGATTCCGCAAACAAAAACAAAGAGAACATATCAGCTGTTTTTGTGTTGGGTTCCCTCATAATCTCTCTTCCTGGATTGGCCAACAAGTGTCCAAACTCCTGATTTACCACTAAAATGGTCCAAACCCAAAACGTCTAAAGTCCGTGAACTCAGGGAGTGAGTCATAGGAGGGTAAGGAAAACCAAGGCAAATGGTTGTTACACGGCAAAATCTCAAGCTGGCCCTTCCTTCCGGACGGGGAACATGCGCTGCCATCCCCGTTAGAGCGAAGACGCAGATTTCAAGTGGAGCAAGGCCTCTTGGTTGCCGTTGACCCCCCTGCAAAAAGTTTAACTTTTTGTGACTCAAAAACTGATGGGAACTCATGGTTGATGTAAAATAGGGCGGGGGAAGCACCTCCTATGTTCAAGAAGGAACATCTTCCAAAAGGGCGTGCACCAAACTAGGTGCGTTCTTGAGGGTGCCAGAGGGAACTTTGCACAGGCCTTGACTGCTATTGGGTTGGATCTTTAAACTTTAACTTTTTGGGAAATCAAGGGGTTTTCCACTAAACCCCCCCGAAATAAACCATCCCTTGCTGGTGTTTTCCTTTCAGGGGACCGCAACTTGGTGGTTTCCATTTTTTAAAGGGACCCCTAAACCAACCTCTCGCACCAGCAAGTCAGGCTTGGTCATCATCTTCCACTGAGGCCCCCGGACTCTGCAAGCGATTCCGCAGGCCTCCGAATGCAAGCTCCGCAAAAACTGTCCCTTTGGGCTCACGGATGCGATGATACCAACATGGGATGGATTCCCATGAATTCCCATGTCTTCCCATCCAACCACGGCCTTGGAAGTTTGGAAAACATCACGCGCTCTAGCATCAACTTGATGAATCTTGATGAAGGCCGGCCTTCCCAAGCAGCCTTCCAAGGTCCGTGGCCTGGCGGAGTTTCAGGCCGTTGGAACGAAACCCGCCGCCGTGCTTGTGGCATTTTCTGGCTGGTGCGATAGGGAATGTGGCAATGAACCGTTTGGGGTGCCCTGAAAGGAAACCACCAGTTACATATAGTGGGGTCAGTCCATTTCTCATTCCCTGCTGCTTTTCGGGCGAAGTGCAAAAATGGCTGAAATATCAAGGTGATCTTTTTCGACATGGCGGGCATGTAGGTATTGCCAGGCGTTGGCAAACCGTATGCGGTCAAGCTACACGACAGTGTATCGCAAATGTGGATGACATCAAATAAGGGACCCGCCAAAGAGGAAGGCTTCCTTTTGACTTCCCTCTTGAAAGGGGGTGGGGTTGTCACAAAAAATCACTGCCATGTGTCACCCAGCGCCTTGTTTTGCACTTTCCGGGGCCAATGATGACCCCGGACTCACAAGTTGCCTTTTGGGGTCTCAAATCCGCCTGTTTTGACTTTTTGCTGGGCACCAAATTCCATCAAGACCCTTAAGAAATACTGGGTATGTCTCTACCCCCAAAAATGGTGGTTGCTCTTTTGGTTTCCTTTTCAAACCAACCAGAAGGGGATTCCCCCAAAAAAGACGAGTTGAAGAACCGAAACTGAACAGACTGGGCTTGCGAGCGAGAAGGGCAAAACTTTCCTGGCGGGCAAGTCAGCCCCAAGTTGGTTTTCAGCACAAACCTTCCCTCGCCCAGACCCGACGATTTTTGTCCATGGGACAGAACTCAGACATTGCTTAACTTTACAAGGCCCCCCACCAAAGCAAAAAATGAAGAAACAACAGTTGAAACAAGGAACCAACAAGCAGACTTAGGGACCCGCCCCTCAACAACTTGACCCCCAATTGCTCATGTGAGCCCGCGTGGATCTGTCAGTCAAAAAAACACTTTCAAGATCATGTCTATGCCTAAGCCACCCGGTTTGATGGGATATACAACTACTACATACAACCACTATGCGTGTGTGTGTGTGTGTGCCTCTGGCTCTTGTTTGAGGGTATATATATCCTTTTTGGGGGGTAGTTTTAAAGGGAAAACACAAGGAACCCCTCTCCCCACTGAAGCCACTCACAGGGTAGAAGCAACCAAAACGCCCCCGTCTTCGATGTTCAGGCCGCGGCCATGCCAGAAGACAGGGAAGAACCTCGGAAACGGATATCACCAAGGCTTTTTGGGTGTCTGTGTTTGAGGGTAGCCGATTTTCATTGGGTTGGTTTGAAGGGAAACACACAGGACCAAAAACACATCTGGGAGATTCTGGGAGGTTTTTGGGTTGGTTTGAAGGGAAACAAACAGGAACCAAAACACATCTGGGAGATTCTGGGAGGTTTTTGGGTTGGTTTGAAGGGAAACAAACAGGAACCAAAACACACACACACACACACATCTGGGAGGTTTCCCTATTTTGAGACACCACTTAACATCACCCCACCTTGAAGGGAGCTCACTCAAAGCTGGCCCGAAAGGTGATGGTTAAGACCAGCGAGGCAAGTGACATATCGGGAGCCTTGAGTTGGGGAAGAAGCCCAACAAGGGTAAAATTTGCCACAAGGGTGAAGTGATTTCGGGGTTTTGGGGTGCTCAAAATTTGCTTTGAGGCGCCTTGAGCATGTTGCTCAGACCCAAGGCGTAGCATTTGGCCAACCGAACGAGGGCGTCGGTTCCAAGCAAAACCTTCAGGCAAGCCACACGGCAGGGAGGTGCCAAGGTAACTGAATCTACAGCGAACCCATGCCTTTCCTGGAAGGGGGGGGGGGGGGGGTAGCCTGGAAAACCATCGCAAAAGGGCAGTCATAAGGACGCCCCAAATCGAGTTTCCTCAGATCCGACCCCACCAAACCAACCGAACAACAGGTGTTTTCCGCAACACGCCCGGAACCCTTCTGGAACAGCAGCCCCGAGCTCCGAACCTGGAGCCTATCCAGGCAGAGACCCCAAGGCTGAAGACCTCCCCTTCCCCTTGGGCCCCAAGCCCCCCGAGCCAATGTTGGATTCTGTGGATGGACGAATTTTCTGCTGTCGGGATGGACGAAGCTCAATGAATACTGGGATAAACCACCTGCCGACAGGTGCAGGATACGTCCATCCACAGTAGGGGGGTCCGGAAACATGAGCAAATCCACATCCCCTGCTCGCTTCCTTTCGGGGAAGTCACACATCATGAGTCATGTCTCGCTTGCCCAAAACAAATCCTGAAAGGGAAAAGGTTGACGCTTTCGATCGTTGACCCAAGCTGGACTCAGTTGCCCCGTTCGGACCCACAAACAAAAGGTGACCACCTTTTCTGAGCTCGACTCAAAATGAACCAAGATGGGAGAAGGTCAGATCCGGTCAGATCCGGCCGATTCGCTTTGGACAACTGAGACCAAAAAGGAACCCCAAAAGGGTCGCAAGGTCCGCTTTGCGGCGCCTCCAACAAGCTGGTGCCAGTCAAAAGGAAGTCGGAGAGACAGTGACCCAAGCGGCTTTTTTTGGTTTGCATCGGAAACAAGTTCAAAAGTTGGAGTGCTACAACCGCACTAGCATCTATGAGTTGCTATCTTGACCGGAGTGGCCACTTCCTCATGAGGTACGAATCTTGCGGGAGACAGCCGAGAAGCCTGATAAGCTACTGCACGACTTTCGCTCAACTGTTTTGTAGTAAAACAGATCACCAATTCATGCTCAGTTGATTTGATCCGTGCCAAACACCAGCAGCAAACAAATTCTGAGCTATTTGGGCCGGGTATCTCTTTTTTGAGCTGGCACCCCACATTTTGGTGTGTGCTTTTGTTGGGAAACCAAAAGGTACTCCCGCCATTTTGGTGGTTCCCTTACAAAAAGACACACCAATACTAAAAGCCAAGCAATAAGGTGTCTTTTTGCAAGGAAAACCCAAACACTGAGGGGGGCCTCTGGTTGGGGTGTCCCTTGCCCCATTTTTGTAACCGAAAAAGAGGCGCCCGTGGAGCACCCAAAAGCCGCTGTCCGTCTCTCAGCAGTCGGCGCTCGTCCCAGGAAGCGCCCGCTGCCTGGGGAGTGGGTGTGGTTGGGTAAGGTATGGTGAGGGTAGGGTGGGTAGGGTGGATAGGGTGGGTAGGGTGGGTAGGGTACGGTTGGGCGTAGGACAAAGTAGGGTAGTAATCCAGCTCAGCATCTGCCCGACCATGAAAATCAACCACCAACATTTTGTGTTTTGTGATGGTTGATTTGAAACCATCCCCCCTCACTGCTTCATGATTTTCAATTGGTTGGATTCCTCTTGGGTGCAATTGCAAATAGCGGATCAAGGGAAGCTCTGTAAATTACTGCAACTTGCTAGGGTTTCTGGTTGTCCACTTGCAATGGGCAGGGAAAAAAAAAGGTCTAAACCCAACAATGTTCCGCAGGTGAGGGATGTCAACATGCACCGATGCGCAAATGGCCCCCTGTCAAACGTACGTGCCGTGCGTGCATGCATGCACGAATGAATGAATGAAGGAATGGACAAATGTAATGTCTGTCTGCGTGTCTGCCTGCCTGCATGCATACCTGGATATGAAAACACTCGACACATGGCAATCCATTTAACCTCACAGTGCTCAGTAGTCATGAATTCTGTTCATGATGCCCACAAGTGAGTTCCTATAACCTAAGCATCCCACTCGTATCTGGTATATGAGCCATGGTCAAACTATGCGACTCCCCCAGCAATGACATGGCAAATGGACCATAAACTACCAGATATATCGACTGCACCTCATCTGGTAAGGAGTAGCAGGGACGGGCTTTCAAACAGAAAATTGCGGCCCCCATGCCATAGACGGGACATTTTGACCTGACCTACACTAGGTCCTCCAGTAGAGAGGTTAGAATAAGGGTACCAACTTTTCTTCTGTAGTCTATTTTAGTAGGGGAACCCTCCCCCAAAAAAGGGGAGAGAAGGGCACTACTGGGAGACCTAGTCCATGTGGTATGTAGTTTACAGAGGGACCGCTGTTCGCCGCCCGCTGGGGCGGTCCAGAACTCCCCGAAGTGGACGCCGAGGAGCAGCCGTAGGTTTCGAAGACCGACTGCGGGGCATCGAAGACCAGAGGCACCTCGAGACGAGGTCGTTCTCCGGGCTCAGGCGCGGACCAACTATATAATGCTTTAGCACTGCTGTAAGCAAATTAAGCAATGGCTATGGGAGCAAACCAGAGTACATGGTTTGGCCCTATATCTTACCTTTCGAGGCTGGCATGGTCTTCGAGCCTCAAAACTGAACTGATTCCTTTCCAGAGAGACTGGGTAGGTTGTTCCTGAAGAAGTAGCAAGTACGGCTGGGGTTACTCAAGATGTGTACCAAAAACCTCCAACATGGAGGCAGCACTAGCAAAGCACAAGCCTTGCTATAGCTCTGAACCATGTCGGATCACGAGATTGGCACCCCTCCTTTCGTGTTTGTTCATTTGAGTTCCCAACCCTTTTTCTGGACCAGGGCCAAATTTGTAGGAGGGAAACAGAGAACCCGAAAGATCAACAGGGATTGACATGCATTACAAAGGTACAAACTCCAGGTATTTGACCATGGTGCATATGGGTGTTGTGGACGAGGTTCGCTTGAAAGCCATCCAAAACGAGGCTTATCTGGAGACAAACGAATCCATGCCCTACACCCAGTAAAGGAGTGTTGATTGTGGCACAACGGCTGGGAATGTCCACCATTGAACCCTGCACCTAATGTAAGTTCCCAAATACTTGTGGGGTGATGCGGTGCTTTGAAGAACCAAACTAATCCACAGATGAGCTCCACTTGGTTGACGTTGGAAGGGGAGCAATAATTCAAATTTTAGCAGTTAAGTGGTTGGATTTCAACCACTTTGCCACAATAAGCAAAATGTAAAACATGTTTCCCAACGACAACCATGTCCAAGCGGTATCTTTCCTTCCGGCTGGTGGCTCTATCCACAAGCCAGGGGCGCGGAATCGATCTGTGAGGCGCGTTCGCGCCACGCAGGGGCTCTCCAGCCTTACCATGTCTTGATAGAGCCCTTCCGCTGCCGCATTCACAGGTTCCAACTTCCAGCCACTAAACCTGCCTCAGAAAAGAAAAAAAAAAAGCCGCCGGTCAAGGGGGTCGCAACGTTTCAACTTCCTCGGGTGGCAACGCTGCAAAACCTCTAGATGCGAAGCTGGCTGCAAAGCAATGCCTGACCAATCCAGAAAGGCACCGAAAACTAACCCGTTCCTGGAATGACCCAAGGGTGGGTGTGTGTGTGTGTGCATAATTCAATAACGAATTGGTTCTTGGATGCTACACACGTGATTGTCCTTTGAGTCAAGCTGGAAGATGTTGAATCCATTTAGGGTTTCCTTGTGGTACTCAAATGTCCCGTGTTGCTGCTCAGCGCCAAGCATCCACATCGATGGAGTGGCCCTTCCTGAGCGAAAGCTGCTCACTCGACATGCAACTCATGTCATGGGAGCCCAAGTTGGCAAGCTGTGCTTTCCATCACTCCTTAGCCCTCAAAACCTGGAATGGGTATATTCCCAACTGTCCATGGGGCTGGGGAAACTGGGGTAGTGTCTACCCAAGTGTCCAGCCCCGAAAATGCACCAAAAAAAAGGTGCCGGGAAATACCTACGTGCGTGTCGACCCCTGTCCCGCAATTCAACCCGATTTCCCTTCTGAGGGCACCAGCCCATGTCGGGATCTCTGGATGTGTCTTCAAATATGGGGACCCATCTAAAATGGCGGCTGGTCCCTTTACTTTCCTTGTAAAACCATCTCCAAAAAATGCAAAAAAAAAACGCACCTACAAACTTGGTTGCTGTTGACCTCCCTGCAAAAAGTTCACCTTTTTGGGGGTTTAGTGGAAAACCCAACTTGATTTCAACCAAAAAGTTAGTCTAAAAATGCAAGCCAATAGCAGTCAAGCAAAGTATTCTGTCCTTCTCAGCCTCAGCCTCGGCAGCTTGGCACCCGAAACAAAAACGACTCCGCACCAGGCACTCAAGAACCAAAGTTCTGGACACCATTGTTTCCGTCAACACACACACACAAATGAACTAGAAAATTGATGCAAGGTGACTATAAAGTTTCGTGACCTAAAGTTTCAAGGCTTACACACTTGCGGGAGCTGTCTGTAAAAGCGAATCCCCTCTAGGGGCTCCCCCCCCCCCCTCTAGGCCTCTAGGGGCTCGGAAGTCAGGGTCAACACTGCGCGTTCGGGATTCCCCCCCCTTTTAAGGAACGGCTCCTTCAAAAGGATGCTTTTCACTGGTGCATATGGGGCTGTCCTTCGTCGTCTGCGTGGAGCTCTGAAAGGGAAATCAAGGGGAAACCACCCCCTTTTCTTGGCTCCAAAAACTTCCTCACCTCCTGGATCCAACTTCTGAACTGGCGGAATGTTCACTCTCTAACTCGTTGCACGGGTGAGCGAAAAGGAAGGGCACCCTCCCCCAGACGATTCCATGGAAGCTCCCAGGATTGTTTTTTGGAAGACTTGGTTCCATTTACAGGATCGGCCAATTGGGGGAGCTCCCATGTTAGTCTGAGGGAGTGCAAGTTGCGGCAACAGCATCAGCTTGTTGCGCGAGTGGGGAACATGCCGCCGTACAGCGGAAGCGACAAGTTCATGGCTTTGCTGGTCGAAACGGAACATGTGAGAAAACCAAAAGGATACATTCAACAAGGTTGGATAAGTCTGAAAAAAATATATCATGACAAAACACACTAGAACAAGAAAAGCGCAACCTTGTGCGGTCCAATGGCAGGTTGGATCCTTGGTACCTTTTGGACAAAATGATGCCTCTCATCTATGTCTAACCAAACTATGCAACCTGAAAAGGACATATTGATGGATATTGGTCAGACATGTCCTCCACACATGTGTTGGTAACCATCCCACCGGATCAAACCCAAGTCCGCTGCCGTGTTGGTCACCATCCGACCAGATTCAGGGCTTCCCAAAGATCATGTTCTAAGCAAGGGTTAGGGGCTTACTGGGTGAAAAGCCACGATTTTCGACAACCATAACAACCAAGCAAAGCTCAGTCAATCAAAAGTTCAGTCAATTCGACTCGACATTTCGTTGCTTTTGTTTTGTTTTGGAGTGGGGGGGGGTGGGAAGGTGCCACTGGACAACTGGGAAAAGGATCAAATGGGTGCGTCTTTTTCGAGTTGGTACAGTTTTTGGGTTGGTTCCACGATTTTTGGCGCCCCCTACAATTATTTGTGTCCTTTTGGGCTTCTGTTGAAACACCCACCAAAACTAGGCTGTCCTCAGATTCCCTGCTGCAAGTTTACCTTTGAGTGCGTGAAACGGAACTCCCCACCTAAGCCGACCAAACATCTAAAAACTCAAGAGGACGGCTGGGAACCGCCAACCAAAAGCAACCAAAAGGTGAAAGCCCTCCATTTTGAGAACCACCAAACTGGAGGAACTTGTCGCAATCCGCGCGGATCGCGGTGGCCATGGGTCGAAATCCAAATCGGTTACCCCCCAGTGGTTACATCCCAATCCTCACCAAAATTGATAAAAAAAAAAAAAGGTGGTGCACCTACCCCAAAATGGGATAGCGTTGGTTTTGACAACCACAGCCTGGGCTCCGTGCCCCTCTCTGGTAGCGATGCCCGGCTCCGTGTTGTTCAGCAGAACCGGCCTCGCTTCGTCCGCGAAGCGAAAGGCTGAGGAACGAGTTTGACCCCGAAGTCAACCATGGACACCCCTACAAGTGTGATATGATGCTGATGCCACTTGATAACGATTCACTCCCCCAAAATGAAACTATCAGTATCCAAAGCCAAACTATCAGAATCCATGACAACAGGTTCTGGTGGTTTCCTAATGATCCCAAACGGTTCATTCCCAACAGTGTTGATTCCTTGAGCACCAGCAAGTCGAGAGGCACTCGGCTTGACTTTTTGTTTAATCTGGGGATGAGACTTCAGGGGATCACTCAGGGGGGTTAACAAGGGGTTTACATCCTTTCAGAGGCAGCTGGAGCACTTTACAGCGGTTTCTGCTGCAACCGCTGATCTCCGAACGTATTTGTGGCAAGGGGACAGTTCCTAATTAGCCTTCACTTACTGAGCAGCGCCCAGAACCCATTGTGGTTTGGCTCTGATGGTCACAAGATACAAATCTTAAGCCCTCAGAGTACGACATATCCAACCAAGAAGTAGAACCCCTATCTTAAACAAGTTGCTCAACTTGTCATGGCTCTAAGTTGCTGCCGTTGGATTCGATTTTGGGACAATGCGCAAACCAAATAATCAAAGATTGGCTGGACCCTGTGAACAGCATGTCATTTCTTGCCCAAAGGACCCGGAAATACAAGGGTGATCACGTTTGGGACCATGAGAAGAAGTGGACCAACAGAGGAAACCCTTAAAAGGTCAAAAGGTCGGCTTTATACAATCGAGATTGACCAACGTTTTACATTTCATTTACATCATGTACCAACGCTTTGGTTGCAATTTGCATGGCCTTCATGCAACGCAAGAGACCATTGGACAAACCACACCAAGAGGGATTTGAAGGGCCATTTAGGTGTCTTTTATTGGGGGAGCCCTCTTTTGGCTGGATTTAAAAGGGAAACCAAAAGGAAGCCTCACCCATTTTTTGGGGGCACACCGATTTTGAGACAAACGCATTTGAGCAGCGACCGAAACCTCTGGACTGGTTTCCGTTTGGCCTACCCTTGCGAGTAGAACCTGGGTTTTGTCTCGACCCAGCACGTCGGTTTTCCTTTTCTCCCCGTAACCAGAAAAGCTGGGAACCCGAAACCCCATCCCTTAACCCGTCCCTTCCCTGTTTTCTGGTGGCTTCCCTATCGGCTTCCGCAAAAGGGTACCCCCCACAAAAAGACAAGCCAGCCACCAGTGGTAGATCCGAGCTCCGCGCCAGTTCGCCTTCTGGTAAACCTAGGCACGCTGACCTCCAGAGGGCCTGGGTCCTGGTTCCCTACATTTCAATGGGATTTATGAGTTCATGAGCACCTAATGAAACTGGTCATGAACCTGTTAGAATATGTTGGACAACTTGGAAATTAGACCAGCGAACAATAATCACTTGTTGGTCGCTGAAAAATGAAAAATGAAGGACAATCCCTCAAGGGCAAAAAGTTAAGACCCTCATCGTGCTTGCTTGTATAAGACTTCTAAACACATCCTTGACCACCCCCCACCGGATGAAGGGTAATTTGACCGTGGCATTGAGGGAAATCGGCGCGCAAAAAACACACACACCAAGAAACCGGTTGGGGTCTTGCGAACGTGGGATCTTCACAACACCATTGCCCCTGGTAGGTATTTCAGCCCCTTAAACTCACTTCCGATCGAGTGGGCATTGGTCAGAACAAGTCGCCAAACTGTTTGGTTACCACTAAAAACCCAAAAAGGGAATAAAGTCCGAAACGGAACTCGGGAAGTGAATAAAAAAAAACTGGCACAACTCTCTGTGTTTTGCCGTTGCATTTCTGTTGCCGCGCAAAATAATTGGCGCAAGGCCCCTCCCAGGAAACCCATATGGACAGTTGCTTCGGGCATCTGTTCCGGCAGAGGTCAAGCGAATCTCCAACCTCCTGCAGCACTTAGCGGACGTTCAGCTTTTTTGGAAATGGACCAAAAAAGGGGGGACCAAAAGGTTAAAAGGTCGGCTTTGGACAACTGAGTTACCAAGGACGCATCTGCTCACCGAAACAGACTGCCAAATACTAAACGATGTTTGAACTTTATCTGGAGTGGTTGTTTAAAGCGGTGTCTCTGTTTTTGACGGCAATCCCTCCCTGAGGAAACAAAAAAAAAAGACATGTTTTTTAGGGCAGGTGTTTGGGAAACTCCAAACATGGTTCCAAGACACACACACACACACAAATACTTGTGTTTTTTGAGGCAGGTGTTTGGGAAAACCCAAATCACCTGCTCAGATGGTCAAAGTTCCTGGGGCCGCGCTGTGGACCCAAAGATCAGCTGCTCAGTGTCCAAAGCCTTAGCTGTGAGCGAGCTGAGTTGACCAAATCCACGGGAATCCATCGGCAGGGGATGAAGCTGGAAAACCACCCACCACTGTCTTGCCATGGCACCTGACGCTCAAAGGTCCCCACAAGAAAAAACATGATCTTCCAGGTTCCCTCAGTGGAAGGGAGGGTAAATCTTTGACTGAAATGCTCTGTGCCCCTAGGTTGCTACGAGAAGGTTAGGTTGGAGTTTCTCAAGCACCAATTGGCATGGATGAGACCCTCTCTATAATTCTGGTTGGCGCACCACTCACCAGCTGGTGCATGATTTATGCATGTCCACAGTCTGGATTGTTCCAGTGGCCTACCTCATGCAACTCGTGCTGGCATTTTCTCTCAAAAGGCAGGAACCCTCCAATTCTCTCAGTAGCGATTCGTAGAACTTTCTTTTTGGAAGGGGTTCTTAAAACCCTTTTGGAAGATAGGTGGGATCCCATGTCTCTCCCGAGGTCGGGACAAAATGTCCGAAAAAAAGAATCCACGAGTGGATCGCACGCTTTCTGAAAGCCACGCCCTTGGAGCACTCTCGTGCTGAGCTGGGAATGGATCACAGCGGTATGTTCAGACGCTAATGTGGGGCGTGTCTTTTGTTGAGGACCCTTTTGTGGTGGTTTTCAAGGGTTCCAAAAGGATTTTGGAGGTCCACTAAAAAACAGACACACCCACGCAAACATCCCCTCGAGGACTTTCAAACCCTCCGATCTTGGTCCCAACACCCTTCACACTCAGTCGCCCAAAAGACCTGGAAATAAAAGGTTAACCTTTTGGGACCTTTACTAAAGATAGACCAAAATTGGAAAACCAAAAGGTCAAAAGGTCGGCTTTGGGCAAGTGAGCACATGATCGGGCGCGGTTTCTTGAGCATCCCTCTTGAACTTCACACGAGTCATTTATAAAATTTGGGTCTGTCATTTGTACCCCTTTTGTATGGCGTTAAAGGGAACACAAAAGCAAAACCATTGCGCAATTTTGGGGAGAGCCCCCTAAACAACGACGCACCGATTGCTCAGCATGGAAATCCCCTTGGCAGGAAGTCAAAGACACCACAGCATCAGCAGGACTAGTACCAACGCTAACATTTCTTTTTGTCGGCACTGCGCCCAACCCCGCTGGTCCTGCCGGAGAGATAGGTTGACGCACGAGCAGCAACACAACAACAGCCTAGTTGCTGGGGGCAGTATGGCACTATCATGGGTGTCCTTCTAGGGGACACAGATGGCCCTGAACTACCAGGTAACCAGGGCCATCATGGGACATCTACTTTTCTACCAAGACAACCACACAGGACACCTATGGGCACCTTTGCTCACCTCGGCCTCTTCGAGCACTGGGAGCCCCCACCACCATCCTCTCCTCCTGGCCTTCTTCAACTGAACGGACATGGCCTCGGTACGTGTCAAGACCCCCAAATGGCGGTGGTGGTCAAAAATAGGGTAACCCCAAAATGGCACCCTGGTGCCCTGGGTCAAAAATAGGTACCCAAAATGGCACCCTGGTGCCCTGGTAAATGGAAACAATGATAAAAACCTGCGGTCTTCTTGTTCCTTTGGCTCCCTTTCCTGGAGAAATCCGACAGCAAGGAACTGGCTGCCAGAGGAAACTCCCCCACTTCCCACCACCAAGGAAAAAAGCCACCGAACAAAAGCGGGCCCCTCAAAGGATACAAAGCATCGGGGGGAACAGCGCAGTTCCTCAACCCCACCATAAACTTGCCTGGTACCCACATTCTGGGAACAGGTCTAACGCCAACACTTCTGACAATTTGTGCGTTTGGATTCGGGTAACCTGTTTGGGTGGAAACCGAATGGACACTACCCATAAAGTTCCCTGTTTTAAGACAAACCCATTTTGTGCACGCACTGTAAACTGGTCTTAAAACGAGGTCGCACATAATCAGGAAGTGCACCTTGCATGCCCAACCCTTCCAAATGAACTGGGCCAGGGCACATTCACATCCTCCTCACTAAACTGACACTGATCAGGTAGCCGCTAATTGGTGGTTTGGGATTTGAACCCCTGGCTTTTGTAGAGGGTAAATGGGAGAGCACCCCTTAACCACAAAACCACCAGGCTCCAAACACAGATCAATGTTAGGGTTCGGGTGAACACGATGTGCTTGATTTTCATCCAAAGAACTACTTTCATCCGCCACTTGCCTTTTAGTTTGCAGAGAAAACAAAAAAACACTTTTGCCAGCTGTGACGCCGATTCCCTTTTACAACCAACAGGGGAACGTCAACATAATTCATTTCAGCTTCCCTTTTAAAACCAACAGGGGAAAATGAACAAAATTCCTTTCAGCCAATGGAAGTCCTCGCTTCGGATTCCGGGGGCCCAACTGGCAACCGGCCACCGAACAGCCCCACTGACCAAGTCGCGGGCGAAAAATTTCCCGAATTGGGTGTGGCTCAAAGTGAAGCGATCCGGAGGGGCCTTTTTGCGCAGGTTTTGGTACCCATGTTTCCACTTACCAGGGCAAGCCAGTTTGGAATTTTCCGGTCTTTTGAGCCACAGCCAATTCTGATTTGCGGCAAAGGAATTCTCCCCAGCTGTGTCTTTGAGGCCGCTGCGGATGAAATACCGCCAGAGCTCGTACCTCGGCGTGCTTGTTACATCTCTGTCAGTATCTGGGCAAATCAATACCCGTGGAACCCATGGAACCCATGGAACCGACCACATTCCGCTTAGAGAACCATGTGGCTGCGGGTAAAAAGAAGGCAACCCCGAAATGGCCAAGGACTAAAACCTGCCCTCTATCTCCTGGTGGTTGAATTTTGACCCATACCCATGTCTTTCAGGACCTCGAGTAATCTTCACCCCCAACAAAGGTCTCTCTCAAAAAAAGCAATCCCTCCCAGCGCCCAAATCTAAACTAGAAATAGCTAGAATAGCCAAATTCTAAACCAAGACTAAACTAGAGATTTGTCCCGCCGACCTCTGCTCCAGTTGTTTTCAGGGACCCTCTGCCCACTACAAACGACCGACCAAAACAGAAGTGAAAGACGCGAAGTTGGCAGCCCAAATGAGTATGGGTCAAAATCAAACCGCCAGGGGACCGCCAGTTTTTGTCCTTGTTTCCATGTACCAGGGTTGGTACCTTTTTTTGACCCACAGCCAGGGATGTGGGGGAAGCCATTTATCATTGGGAAGACTATGTCTAGGCTCTGTTTTTGATGCCGAATCGACCTGTGGATCCCTGTTGTGGTTTTTTTTGTATTTGTTTCTTTGTTTGTTTGTTTGTTTGTTTGTTTGTTTGTTTGTTTGTTTGTTTGTTTGCTTTTGCTTTAAGAGTGCTCAACAGAGCTCAAGTGGTGGAGTTCCCGCAGTTTGGGCATCTATCTGAAGCGATCCCAAGAACATTCATACGGCGGGAGTTGCTTTCAGCCAAACACCGGAAAGAGGGGTCCAGATTGGTTGACCCTACATTTTCTCAGGGTTCCCCAAAGTCTCCCTAGTTAACTTACGGTTGGTACCATACCACCACCCGAGGGACACCACAACGCTTGTCTCAACTATAGTTGCTATAGTCAAGGGCCCCTCAAAAGCGGCCCTTATTGTGCCCGAATCTCAATAGAGTCTGATCGCGCAGACTCCTTTGACCCTGTTGGAACTTCCACTGGAGAAAGGCCCTTGACAAATATTCTTCCCTGGTTTTGGAAGGACCATTTTCCTGGCTGGTACGCATCTGTCTCCCCTTTCCACATCCTTTCGACCAACTCAGGTCGTCCCAAACATCAACTTGGCACGCGACCGCGCGGCCTCGCTTTACAGCGCGGACGCTTGACCAGGCAGCCCGGCTGGTCGTAGGAGTGAAGAAACCAATGCCCCACGATGTCAGCATGCCTGGCATTGGCCCCTCTGACGTGCAACTTTAGAAAACGCCTGGATTTGGAGGTATGGTGACGATATGCCACTTGTATGCTGATTAACATAAAACCCAAAGGGGGTCCCGCAAAAGCGATGGGTTTTGGGAATGTGTGTGTGCCTTACATGGGACAATGCACTTGATGTGAGGAGTGTATAAATATGAATCAATTTTTGGACATATACCCATGACCTGTCTGTCCTCTTCAAATACCCTAGAATACCCTAGAGAAATAATGATTCGAAACTAGAATGCGACACTCTTCAGATGGGCCATCATGTTGGTATTGCTGACACTGCAAAATATCAAAAGGGTTGGCTCGCCAGGCTTTTCAGCCATGCCGATGTGCTTGCGGATGGAGCGACCATCCCAGCACTCTTCTCCAGAGAGCAGGGTGATCAAGGAGCTGCACGCCGTGGTAAGCGCAGTGACCACGTCACAAATACGCTGCCCCGATGCGAGGACGTTGGCCTTAAACAGGGAATTGGTCCCCTGCAGCACGACGATTGGCTTCAAACAGTCACGGAGGCCAACCTTCACAAACAACCGCGAGACGGTGCAACATCGTCGTCGCCAGCCCTGATGATCGCAAACAGCTCGTCGCATGGCGCCCCGGCCAAATTGCGATTGTCAGGGTCGCAGCAATCGTGTCACTGACAACCATGCCGATGGGCGGCAAACGTCAAGAACGCTTCGCACCAGCTGGCAGGCCATCGATACTTAGATGGGCTGTGCAATTGCTAGGAGTTATAATTTTTATAGTCAATTAGCAGCACTATATTAGCACTATGTTAAAGCCATGCTAAGGCCATACTAATTTGCCTAATTATTGCAAGCTATTCAGCCAATTATAATTATTAGCTAATTAACATAATTTTGATGGAATTTAGCTAAGAATTAGCAGGTCGCTAATAATTAGCTAAAAATTAGCATCATGTTTTTGAGTGGTTTTTCAGCGCTATAGTGGCTCAAGAAGGCACCTTCGCACGAGCCCCAGCTATGGATGTTGCCAAGGAGCTGCAGCAAGTCCTGCCTTCCAAGTTCTCTGCGCAACAGTTGAAAGATGCACTTGCAGTGTTCTCACAGGACCACGCCTGCTTGCTGTGGCGTTTGTGACCTGCTTCTTGAAAGCACTGCAGCGCTGCCCCATGCAGCATGTCTTTAGAAGCCTTGCAAGCAATCTGGTGCACCCAAAGGTGCTCCTCTTGGCAGGGGCTTCATGGAAAATTGGTTCCCTGCCTCAATGGATTTCCAATTTTCAAAGCCTGGGCAAAGGCGCGCCTGTCCATGTTTTTTTGAGCTTAGATTGTGCAAGTTAATGCAAGTTAATTGCTAGCTAATTATTAGCTAGTGACTTCTAATTTTTATAATTAACATACCTAATTATGTTAAAGTACTAGAAGGCTATACCAATTCACCGGCCCATCTAAGTATGCTTTACGAGTCACAAGCCCGGAAGGAAAACAATGCTGCTCCGACAACCGGATCAGCGTAGAACCCATATCGCAACCCTGAAACGGGAAACAAACGAAACTTCACCAAACTTCTATCAGCTTGAGGTTTGGTCATCTTGTCCAAGAAGCAAACCATTGCGAGTTATATATCCGCAATACAGCGAACACTGGAGGTGTCAATGCAACCCTTGAAAACGCGAATGCAAGCATTGCTCCGGTTCAACGCACGTGCAACCAAAGGACATAAACCCGTTCTTGCTGAGGTGTGTATGTGATAGTGAACAACCACATTGCCACCTGTATATAAGTGAAGCCGAACTACCCACCTGAGAATGCCCTTGAACAGCCCTTGAACAATTCCTGGTTGGAGAAAGGCTAGGCAGCTTTGGCCCTGAGAAAACTCGACGGCTACCAGGAAGTCTCTGTGGAATCACTAGGTCCAACAGGAGCTGTCGACTGCCCAGGTGGCATGTGTCAAGACCCGCACTCCTCCATGCAGACTGGCGACTTGTTGGTTTCACTTCAAAAGGCCATCAGGATACGGACCACTTCAGCTCTTTCAAATGGGCAGACCCACCTGCTAGAAGTTAAACAGGAATTTGTCTCCCAAATAAGCATGAGATGAAAGGGTGTTTGACACCAGGTGTCTTGGAAGGAACGGAGACTTCTAGTAGGGGCAAATTGGCTATGTGCAACCAGGGCTGTTGTGCACTAACAGAGTACACCCGATCACCTTCTTTGAGGAAACGAAGAGGCCCCCACACGAGGGCCTTCCAGTCCCTCTATTTTCCGTAAAATACCGGGGTACACGTTGTCCTTTCGGCAAGTTGGTTGACTTGTTGCAGCCCAACCTGAGTTAATCAAAGACCACTTCAAAAGAAGCTTGCCTGTTGCCCTTTTGAGTTCCGACCCCACTTTTGGGGTACCAGGTATGCCTGAGGCCGCGACGCCATCAACATCTGGGGGTTGTTGGCAGCCATGTTGTCTCCTCAGACGAAGACTCCAAAGCTCCTCCCCATAAAATGTTGACTTGTGCTGGTTAAAAGGGCGGAATAAAAACAAAAAGGCAACACAATAAGAGTTGGGCAATGTCTTGGGTTGTCTTGTTCCCCTGGAGGAACTCTTTTGCTGGAGCGAGAAATCAACCGGGCGCTTGTTTTAGCGGCTCCTCTATGGAGTCGCACTCACCTTTTCACCGTTGCTGTATGTTTACAGACCCACCCACCCACCCACCAACCAACCAACCGGCCTGCCCTGCCTACCTACCTGCTGTCAGCCACTTGTATCCGTGGTGTGTGCACCCTCAAAGAACTGCCCCCAGAGAAACACGGGGCACACAATCATCTCACCTTCATGCGGCCATGCGTCTCACGTCGTCGTACATCTTCCTGAGGGCCTAAGGGAGCGGACGGTATGACTTTGTTCTCAGGGATGCAGGAAACCCGAAAAAAAGCCCGGGACAGGCTACCAACCTGATACAAGATGTCCATCCACATGCGGGTGTGTGCTGCTTTCAGGGTACCCTTTCAGGCTTAATCCATGGGGAACCAAACGGACAGCCGCATGTTTTCGATAGTCGACATGCTTCCAGTTGGAAGATGGGCAAAATGAGTGGTCATTTTCGGGATCACCTTGAAAAGGCACCAGGCCAATATGGCCCCCTCATCAAAACCTGAGGCTGCACGGCCTATGGCAGAAAGCAGCCCTGCAGCTTCTTGCTTTTGCGGCGCATCCCTAGCAAAACCATCCCTGCAGTTGGAGCAACATCTGTCCGTGCTTCTGCTCCAAATATACTATGCATATATATGTATATATACATGATATGTATGGGCTTACAAACATGCGGCATATATACTAATATATAAGTGTGTATATATATATACTTGCCTACACATAATATGGTCTTGCCTCAAAACACGACAGATCCCGAAAAGTTGTGGTTTGCCTTCTGGTGTCCCTTGAAACGCCCCGGAACATGGGCACCCAAAGAAAGACCATGGGGTTGCAACACCGCTTTGGGCTCCGCAAAACCGTGTGGGGTGTGGGGGTGCAATCAAATCTCATGGGGAAATCTCAACTCTCCACCTTCAGTGGAGTAAGCCAAGTTCAAGCTGTTTTGTTTGCCCTCTACATATCTTCGTTGCTTTCTGCTCCCCTGATAAAAGTTGAACTTTTAGTGGTTTAATGGAAAACCCGTTAGTTGGCAAAAAGTTAAAGTCCTAACATCCAAGCAAAATGCACCAAAGATATGGCAACCCCCTTATAAGTGACCTGACTGAGCAACCAAGTCGGGACAAATCCATGGGAGCGCCATTTCCCGAAACCGCAACGCGCCGATGTCCGGCTGCGGCCCCTGCCCAGCCCATGCCGATGATGCCCCCCGCGTTGAGGAACCGCGAGGGAGCCGAGGCCTCAACTTTGAAACCAAAAAACGGATTAGCTCATCGGAGCTTTTGGTCTAAGTGACTACAGTCCAGCATCGGATTCAAGGAGTCTGAACAAAATTGACATATTTCAAGAGGTTGGGCCATAGCGACATCCCGGCAATTTTCCTTTCAAGGGGTCCATGGACTGGTTGTTTCACCAAATTTTGCCCAAGGCGATAGTCTGTGTTCAATGATTTGCCTTTAAAGGCGACCAAAGGGGGGGGTGGTCGTTGAAACAAAGTTCGACCCGGGATGGCACTTACTGGGGAAGAGCTGATTTACCCATGCTTACCTTTGGTATTTCGCCGCCAATTACTCCATTCCCCGTTGGAACGTGTAGGTACTGGTACAGCTATCACTACTGAACCCTGGAGAAGAAAATTGGGTTGCCAAACGTCTACCGATGTTCCAGGGTCGAAAGAGGTGCAACTCTTTTGAAAGTCGAAGCGCCCGTTGCATTTCAACTTGGGACTACTTGCCCCAAAAGACGCAAGCTGGTCCACTACAACAAGGTATCTGGGAATCCTTGTGGAAAATTATCCAGCTAAAATGCGCCGAATTGTCCCAAATCCCGAGCTCCGTTGCTACCCCGTTTTTTGTATTCTTTTTGCTGGACCATGCCGTGCTTCATCCTGGAAAGTGGTGGGCAGGGTCGAAAGGGGCCAAACGACACACAAGGGACTCTGGAAATGATCGGTTTCCTCGTGGTTGCCCTTCCAACACAAGCCAAAAGACGAGTCCATGTCCAATTTGGGCTGGTGCCGCCCCCTGCAAAAAGGCATGAGCTCGTGCCTGGAAACATTCTGACCAGGCTTAAACCTGTAGAAAGCTCAAATTGGACAACGGGCAACAGATTCTGATTGTTGTTGATGACTATTCAAGCACACCCTGGTACTTCAACAAGTGTCCAGCCAGCCTCAGTTTAGTCAGGGGCCAACATGTCTCAGATGCTAACCCTGACGTGTCATGAACCTGACTTGGCCAAAATAAGAGTGAGCAAAAGCAAGTGTTCAGTCAGCTGGTCAGTTTAATCAGTTATTAATAAGTTATTAAATTCTGACCTACAACCAGTTTAGTCAGTTTGCCAAGTCAACAGGATTTGCTCATTTGGTTGCTGCTACCTTGTTCATTTGGGTATCGGGGCACCACCCCGCCCCCACCCCACCGTTTCTAAGGGAGGACAATCCTCCGTTCAGCCCAGTGTATGTCAGGAGAACCAGATTTTAGGGATTCTGGGATAGAAACGCCCAGCCTTCGTAAGCTGCATTGTTTCAATCATTTGGGACAGATGCGGAGAAAGCTCCGCCAATTTCATGTATCTAGTCTCCAAGAGGAACATGGGTTGGCAATGGAGATCTCCACGGGTCGAAACTCCAATTCCTCGCCCAATTCCATTCAGAAAAGTGGGGGTGATGACAGGAGGCTGGACAAAGGCACGCCGTCTTTAAGCAAAGTGGTCCGAAAGGCAACGGTTGAATGGGGAAATGTCGGATGCCCCATCGTAAAGAACCAAAGAGCACTTTGAAAGACACCAAACATGGCAGTGCCCTTTGATCAGTTGGGTTGTGGGTTAAAACCCCCTTTTGTAAACACTGACATGCCCAAAGGACCTTGAAATTAAAGGCTAACCTTTTGCGACCTTGACTAAATATGGATCAGAACAGGAAACTCGAAGGTCAAAGGTCGATTCGCTTTGGGCAACTGAGAACAACCACCTTGAAAGCGCAAACGTGGGGGACCATGGCAACTGAGGGTCCGAACATTTCCCAAGCCCACAGCGTCCATCTGCTCCACAGCCATTTTGGCCTGCCTTGGGCCATCAGCTTGCAAGTTTGAGTGGTTTGGAGGAGTGGGGCGAGGGGGGCGGCGTGTCCCATTTACCATCAAGAACCAGGGATTCAAATCCCCACCCCATCAATCCAAACCAACTAAGGGTCTCCTGAGGAGAAAGATCGGAGCTAAACCCTGATACAAGGCTCCAAGTGGGCCTGGGGGGGGGGGGAGCTGGGGAGGAGGGGGTAACTCACCTATGAACTCCTTATATAGTCCTGCACATATCCTCGGCTTTTCCAGGGATAGCCGCCCTATAGACTCCATGACAGTGGGAGGATCTTTGAAATCTGCTTGGTCAAAACAACGCATGATGGTGGAAAAGCACCCTGTGACAATGACCCACATCCCCACGACATCACTAAGGTTGACTTCCCGAGGGCCAACTCAAAGAGTTCGTGACAACCCAAATCCACATGTGCTCGGAATTGCGAAACAAGCGACTTGGTGACGCGCGGTTGTCACTTTCGTTCTCGCTCCGTGAAGCTTTCCCTTGTGGATTCCCTTTGGGAATTCTTAAAAGTCTTAACGTTGGCTATTTAGCACCCAGTGCACAAAGTGACTAAGTGGGTTGAACATTCAAGTACAATCATTCGGGAGTCGCCCAAGAGCTTGAGCGGCAAAAGGTTTGTGCCTGTCAGTACAAGTGTCTTGTGGCATCGCTCGGGATTTTATCCATGCGTGTTGGCTGCTTACGTCAATCGGATGTGCTATCTTGTCAGTCTCACCTGTGATCTTGATCTTGTGTGCAGGCTCCTTCTCGGCATTACAGTTCTGTTCTCAGCCGTCTGGACAAGTGTACCAAAGAAGAAAGTGTCCTGCGTTGCTCACTTCCTGAGTGGATGGTCCGAGTCCAAAAAACGTCCAAACTTTCTATGTACCACTAAAATGGACCTTTCAAGAAGTGATTCGAGTGCAGGAACTCAGGACGTGAGTTATCGTGTCATTAGAGTCTTACAGTGGAACATATCCCAAAAAACGGAGGATGGTCAAGGCCGTCGAAAACTCGGAAGGTTTTTGGGTTGAGCTCATCTCCCACCAAGCTGTGCAAGGAGACCTCGCTTGCAGGTTTTGTGTTCAACCCAGAGAAAAACAATCTCAGTTTCAGGATTCTTGTTCACCAAGGCAACAATTGAACAAGGGCTGTCATGGAACGGTCAAACTCAACTCGGTGATCCTTAGGGTGGCACATTCGTTATTGGCCAGGCTTACTAGATCGGAAGGGGTATCGCCCGGGTATCGTTCAGTGTATTCTTCAGATACGTTTTGTTCTGTGTCCCGGAATCTGGCGACGGGGAATCCATTCTTTTGGGGGGCCCCAGCTTGGAAATTAATCAAATCAGATTTCCACTACCAAACCAGTACAAACCACTGCCCCCCCGAACAAACAGTGGATGTATCCTTTGAGCGCCTAGCCGTTCTCCCATTGAGTGCCGGTTGACCTTCAATCCAAGCGCCCCGCTCCAGAACTTCCCGGGGGAAGACGTTCTCCTGCAAAAAAATGTGGTTCAAAAACTGAAAGCCCAACTTGTACTTCCATTTGATTAAGTCCCGTGGACAAACGCTGGGCAGGGGATCTGGAAGGGTTGGGCTCCAGTGATGCTGTTACCCACCTGGTTGATTTTATGGGTTCCATTATAGAATTCATAGTGTCGGCAACGCCGGAGTAGGTTGCCTGGCTAAAAGCTTATCGGAGAGTTCCAAGAGATGCTTGATTGTCTGTTGGGGCAATCTTATCTTGCGCCTTTGCTACATACAGTACAAGGGTTGCATGAAGAGCTTTTGTTCCATAACAACATGCTATCTGTTGACTCTTGCTCATCGATTGAGAACCTCTTTGTTTTGCGGTTGGTCGCAGCTGCAAATGTGTTGCGCATGCTTGTGTTTGGCTGGAAAAAGGAAGGTCTGTCTTTCAGCATTTGGGGGTTGCAATAAGGTGCGTGGCTGGATTGCAAGGGTCCACTCCAAGGTTAAGTATGTGCACTTGCCACGGAAAGCTAACCTTGTAGCAAGCCGTTTGGTTTAAACCTTTCCGTGCGGCTCGGGTGCAGCAATGGAAGTGCAATTGAAGTGCTGCAGCAATTTAAACCTTGACGGTGCACGGTGTGGAACTCACCTTTTCCACTTTGGCGCTTTGATTGAAGAACCTTCCTTTAATTGCTTGGCTCTGGATTTTGGGGTTCACCATGGCTTTCTTTTGGAAGGAGTGCTATGAAGATTTGGGGTGCATTACTTGCAACATGCAGCTTTGCCTTGGTGGTTTTGTGAAGGTGGTGAGTTTGGAACAGCATGAAAAAGAGGCTCATTTTTTTGTGCGTAGATATGAATTTGATGGAGAACCCTTTCCTGCTGTGAGGGGAAGGGGCTATTGTATTGCAAATATTGACATTGCTGAGCCTTGGGAACACATGAGAGATGTGTGCGGAGGTGGTCAGGATGAGGGCGGCATTTGGCAGGGACCCCTCCACAAAAACAAGATACCCTCCCCAAAAGGCCCCGAATTCAAATTCATCCACACGGGCTAACCATGGCCTGAACAGGCCTTTTACTGAGACCTCACCAGATTCTCTCTTGGCTGGTCTTTCGTCATTGGTGTGACCCGAAAGGCCCCTTAGTACTTTTGTCAAGCTGGGATCTGTTGCCATACACCCATGAGTCCAAGGTCTCTTCAACAGGGATCTGCTGAAGGGGAGATAGGTGCCTGGGCTAGACAAAGCCTTAAACAGAGCCCCAGCCTCCATTTGCTTATGCTCCCTGGAAAAACCCAGCATACTTCCAATGGTGATATATTCCCTTTAAAGCCAACCGGATAAAAAAGCACATATTCTTCAGCAAATAGAGATTTAGTTAGTGGAAAACAGCCACCAACAAGAAAAACAAAAACCCTCAGGAACCGGATGCCTGGGGGCAAGCCTGCGACGGCCCAGCGCACAAATGGAATCAACATCCGCAGCAATTGGGGTCCCTTGCCACCAATCAATCTATCCGCCGTGATATTACCAAAGTCAGCGCGCGCCTAAGTGGTGGTTGAAAGGGAAACAACCAACCAGTTTCTGACTTTGACACCCCCAAATCAGTCCACATAGTTTTAGCCCAGATCAATCTTCTAGGGGTACCTTCCCCATTCTTTCCAGGATCCTTCTTTCTACAAAAACCTCCGGAATCCCAGGTTGAAAACGGATCCGGTGTTTGGAAAGAGCGATGGTTGAAAAGAATGGAAAAGGAACCAGCCCCTAGAAACAATATGTTTGATTTTCCATTGTTGGCTTATCCACCCCTCGAAATCTACCGCCGGCACATCTTCACCTCCACCAGTCACTCTCTCCCCCTCCTCGGCCGCGATGACCACCGGCGTGCCGAAGGAGAAAAACCTCCGCAGAAGCTCCTCAGTCACTGAGTCACGCTGGCACCCCAGACCCTTTAGGGATGGAAAAACAATTCCGTGATGACCAAAACACATTTTATACATATATGGCCATGGGTCAAAATCCATGTCGTACCCGCAGTGAACATCCCAATCCCCACTGAAATAGGTTCTAAAATGGGTGGTGCACCTACCCCAAAATGGTACCATTGGCTTTGACCCACAGCCATAATTCTATAATATGTATATATATATATATATACATATGCATATGTAGAGATATGGGGTTGCCTCAAAATAAGGGGACCCAAAAATGGATAGTTGCCTGTGGCTTGAATCCCAAAAAGGGTACCCTCGAAAATACACACCCATCTTTGTAGATGATTATCATTGACTCAACAATACTTTACTATATCACATATATATATATAATATATATAAATATATATACACGTATGTAACGATAATACACATCCATGGGTGTGAATGTATGTGGGTGATCCTTTGCTGGACATCAGTTAGGTGGATACTCATGCCCACCACTTGAGAGATGGTCCCCACTAAAAGTCATAGCCGCATATCAATGGGACTGCGCTCTGACAATTCCCAAAATGTTGCTTTGCGAGGTTCGCCAAAGGCTGTTCCTTATGCGAACCCCCTTTCATTCTTCTGGAAGTTGGTTGCCACAAGCCCTTTTTTGGAAATGGGCCTGCCCCATCAAAAAGCGGGCGAAACCTGAATATACCTGAATGTAAAAAAAGGTGGTGTGGATGTCTCTTGTAGAAGCTTTCTAACAAACCTCAAGCGAGCTCAAGCGGCCTGATGGGAAACCTAGATGAAAAACTGGTCCTTCCAGGGGGTCTCGTCCAAAAAAAAGAGCCGAGACCCCATGTATTTGTTGAAAAGGAACCATGTTCTCCAGGGTAGTTTACCTCCCCCCCCCACATTTAGGGGGCCATGAGCTCACGCTGCTTGACGTTTGGCCAGCAACTCCGTTGCTGGCCGTGCAGCTAAATGTGAGGCCTTACGGGGAGTTTAAATTGCCCCCCCTGTCCATCTGAGGCTTCAGATATCTGGGCTGTCCTCAGATCCCCTGGTAAAAGTTTAACTTTGGTGGTTTAAATGGAAATCCCCACTAAACACTAAAAGGCTAAAAAGCTAAGGGTATGGCTGAGAGTTACCAAGATATTCCCCCTACATCACCCCAAAAGAAAACTCAGCCACAATTAGTTCGAGAAATGGTGGACACAACCAAAAGGCAACATTTGGCTGTGCTTCCAAACATAGCACCCAACATGGCACCTTGGTATGGTGGAAACAAAGACTAAAAACCCGCGTAACCCCCAGCTGTGTAATTTGAGCCACACCCATTTAGTGGGACCCCTGACTTCCTGACTGCCCAAATTCGACGCGTGACTCGGGCCCCTGGCATGGCCATCCAGGCCGTTGGGGAAAACGTCGAAGGCGTCGAGAAAGACCACCACGTCGTCGTCGCTCACCGTCTGAGCGGCGGTAACGAAGACATGAGTGTCCCCCTCATGTGGCTGTGGTCAAAACCGTTTTGGTACCGATCCCATTTTGGTTGGTAGGTGAATTAACCCATTTTTTAGAACCTGTTTTAGTGCGGCATTGGGATGGTCACTGGGGTACGACTTGGAATTTGACCCATGGCCATGTAGGCTGTAACCAGGGGTATAAGGGAGCTACCACCATTTAACCCAATCTTGAACTTTATGGTTGTCAAGTACTTGGATGTGTTGAACTTTAACCGCTTCACCACCAGACTGTGATTTTTGAGTGTGGCCTTGAACCGTGTAACTCTTCGGAAACATGGGGAGTCAGTAGATCAAACACACACACACACACACACCCAGCCCCTTGCATTGAAAGACTCGTGAACGGTACTTGAGGGCTACGTGAGCCCAAGGCTAGCGGCCGGTCCAGCAGGCTCCGGTTTTTGGTAGGACGCTTGTCGGCTCCACGCTCTGTGCCAGTGAACAAATGGTAAGTCCAGCTCCTTCCGCTTGCGCCGCCAGAGTCCCGCGTAAATCAGAGTCATGGACTTCTCCATCGGCTTTGGCTCTTGGCCAGCGACTCGCGACTCGCGACTCGCGACTCGCGACTCCACCTGTGCCTTTCTTCGCAGGGCCAGCAACTCCAGCCGCTTCGGGCAAGGGCCATATCTGCTGCTGCGGGCTGCCCTCCAGGCCCTCGCAGCGACAAATCCTCGCAGATCTGCTCTCAAAACGAGAGAGGCCCCTTTCCAAAGTAGGGGTGGGTGGCCCTATATAGCCAAACAACTCACTTCCTGACTGAGATGGGCCAACAAAAATTCTCCACTTTTGATTTGCTACTAAAAGTGGCTTCCCAAAAAGTATAAAGTCCAGAAACTCAGGAAGTGAGGCAAAATAAAGAGCAGGTTCTGAAGTTCCGACCACGGTTTTCATTGGGATACAAGACATCTTCTCTGTTTTCAACATCTTAGAATCCTATGAAGAATGATGAAACACTGACAGGTAGACCCTTGTCGAAATATCTCGACTTGTTCAGAAAGCAGCTTCCTTTGCAAACACCACTGCCTGCCTCCCTCGGCTCGCCACCTTTGACCTCCGCCTCACTCGGAGTGACTGCACTGACTCAGTTCGATCAGCTTGATGCATCTGCTGTTCTTCTCTATGCGCCTTAGGACGGAGCTGACCCCCACTTTGGTGTCATAAGGGACATGTCCGCACGCAACTTGTTGAGACACAGTGGCCTTCTCGTGATATAGTGAGAATTCATGGATCGTGCGCAGTTCCTACCCCAAAACCCCGACAGCCATGGGGAAAAATCTAATTTTGGGGTAGTTGATTTCAAAGGCAACCATATGCAACAAAACAAGGAACATGGAAGCGACACATGTGTCTGGGCTGAGCTTGGTACCCTTCCAAACACTTCGCACAGCTACGGAATCCGGAAATATCGAGTTGTTTGTTCTTTGGATTTCTTTGGGGGGCCCAAGTCCACGTTGGTAAACCTCCACCTAGCCCTGCTTCGAACAACGTTTACAATGACACAGGCTCATATCAACTGCAATTTATTCCAAAATATCGTACTAGAATTAAGGGTGGTTCGATAGGGTTGTGAATCCCAATACCCAAAAGATTGGCTTTCCCGAGAACCAAGGGGGGAGCGGGGAGCGTCGACCTTGGACTTCCACGGAGGCCGAACCCTGCGCAACACGTGCAGCTTAAGGGGGTGGATCGCAGAAAAGTTCAGCTTCCCTCTAGTTGGTCTGGATTGGTCTGGAGGTCAGGAACTGGTTTCCCAGTTCCCCTGTACAAGAACCAGGGTTCAAACCCAAACCACCAATCCAAACCACCAATTCATGGGAAGCTGAAAATTGCTTCACCAACAAGTTGACGATTTAATGCGCAGCCAAAAGCAGCCAAGTGACATGCCCTTGGAACGTAAATTGCCACATATAAGCCTCTGGTATGACTTGGTGAATTGGCTGATGAAGCATTAGTCATATGAACCATCCACGCAGGATTCCCTGCCCCCTCTCAGCTTCCCTGACCCCCCTCGCGCGCCGAAGTAAGACAATGATAAGACCTATTGTAACTTTCCAGACAAGGCATTCAAGCAAAACACAACTAGGCTTCAGCTTCCTCAAATTGGTGGTTTGAATTGGTGGTTTGGAGGTTGGCGGCTGGTTTCCCATGTACCCTCTACAAGAACAAGGGGGTCCAACTCCCAAACCCAAACAACCAAACCACCAACAAAGGAGTACTCTACTTGAACGTTCTTGTTGCAGCCACCCACTAAACACAAGCAGAACCAAAATACTAAACAACGTGTCCACAACAATGAAGGTTCCCATTCCTCCCATGTTCTTACAACATGCCCGGCTCAACTGCTCCGACGCCTTAAGATATGTCCAGTATCCGATGAGCTTGTCCAAGGTCCCCTTCCACTCCCCCTCCTGAAAGGAAGGGCCTAGCTAGCTGAGCAAATGAGAATGTTGGGAGACTTTCAACTAGCAAATGGGCGGGTCACACTGGTGGGCCAGTGCTTTGGTTCCTTCCATTCTTTCAACCCAGCTGAAAGCTCTGGAGGTCTCGGGTTCAGTTCAAAAGGAAGGGTCCAGCTTTGCTGAGCTGGGGCTACCTGGGCTTTGGCTCATGGGGATGGTTGAGCCCAAGGAAAGCCACCCTGAAACCGTCCGAAGCCGATTTTGACACAAACCCATTTAGAGGAACATCTTTCAATACACGGTACATGGCTGACGGATCACAAGGACATTTTGACCCGAAAAACCCGGGGGGTCCCAGGTTTCAAGCCTAGGAATACTCACCTCGGTGAATAGCTAAGAGGTCAAGACGACAGTGTGACAGCGAGAATCTCCTTTTATGGGAGCTTTTGGGTTCCAGATTAACTTGTGGAGCCCTAATGTCTCTAGCGGTCGCTCGCGTTCTCTAGCTCCCCTTCCAGAGTGAAACCTGACTGATCCTACTAAATGTGGATGGGCAAACCAAAAGGTCCTCTCAGGTGATTCGCTTTGAAGAGAGTGTGGAAGGGTTCAGCATCTCTCAGCATGGGGCTCATAAAGGGCATTTAACACGGTCCCCAAAGTGACACTTCAGTGAGATTCGGCTCAAAAGAGGCGGCTATGAATTCAAACAGGGAAACACCTCAAAAGTGGTTGGTGGACATGACTCCGCACCTGAATGATGTCCACCAAAGGCACTCATTAAGATTCATGCCCATTTTAGTTTCATGGTCAATATAGTATGCAGCGGACATGGGAAAGCTAGCAAGTACCCGGCAATCCAAAGTTGTCTCAAAGCGGCATCTGCAATATTATGCTCCAAATGGTGAATTCAATCAAAACCACCCCCAACATTATTGAGAACTCCTTGACATGATTATTTTAAGAAACCCAGAAATCTGCGCAATATGCAGTTCAACAATCGCAAAGCGAGAATCCCTACAGGACCCGCACCATTGGCGGAGCTCAAGGAAGTAAATGCGAGAAATTGACCGAGGACTGCAAATTCCGAGCCATACCTGTGGCAGCTCGGGACTTTTCTTGCCCAAAAAGAATCAAAGGGCACTTCCTAAAGCAGAAAAGGGGCTCTAAACGCCTTTGATTCGTCGGACAACCATTCCCTTGTTCTAAATCGGTGAAATTCGGCACAAGCTTCGTGTGGGTTGGCCAATTTTGCCATGTCCCGTTGAACACTTCCGGCTCGCTGGTTCCTACCTGTACGAAACTCCCAAGCAGGCCCTGGGTCCGCCAACAGTTCCCCGCCCGATCACCGGTGACCGGTCCTGGCGGAGGATCTTCACGGGGAAGGGCGCGTGCCGCTGGAGCAAGTCCAAGTTCCGGTGCGGCTTGTTCCTGGCGACGTGCTGAAAAAAGTTCGCGCGGCCGACACCAAATGGCGGGGCAACCGCCAAACCACCAACACCACATGTCACATGGTGGGGCAAACAAATGAGAGGGGTGGGCAACCAAATGAGGGCGGGGAGGGTTGACTTTTGGTTCTGCTAGCATGGGGAGAACGGTCTGGGCCTTACAACAACCCTTCAGAAACCAGTGAGCAGCGACCAAAACCCGGGCTGACTACGGAGGTTTGGGGCCCTGCACGGGACCATGTCTTGAGGCTTCTGGGGGTAACCCCCAAGGCTAACGCCACATTCACGGGGGACTCAAAGTGGGTAGGTTGCTGTTGCAACTTACCAGCTTGGCCACGAACACGCGAGTGACTAAGTGGGGTTCAAGTTAAAAACCGGTTGGTTGTTCCCCTTTAACCTACTTGTGGGTTTAGGTGGTTTGCTTTCCACTTTCCAATCGAGGTGGACAACCTTCAACCTGAGGTAAAATCATGTAGCCAGCTGGTGAGTAGCCATATGTTGACCCCGGATTAAGTTACCCCTGTTTATGAATATGAGGGTGTTACCCTCCACAAGTGATGAATCCCCACATTCCACCCCAGATACACCCTCTTATTAATAAACTGCGGTTTATTAGTCGGGGGGTCAACATTCTGCTGACCCATTCAGCTTTCAGGCCACCAGCCCAGACACTTTTTGGACCAAAGGCGATGCACCACTTCTTACCACCTGCCGATGGAAAGAGGCCTTATATCAGCGGTAAGGGCTGTTCGAATGTCCGAATATTCGAATGTCCGGCGTTCCAAGGTGGCACCCTAACCTCAGCTTCCCCCCCAACCGAAAATGTCTTTGATTCTGTTGGCTTAGTGGGCGTGGCTCAAAATAAAGCAGCTGGGGTTGCGCAGGTCTTAGTCTACCTTTCTATTTACCGGGATTACAATGTGGACCCCCATTTTGGAGCCGCACCCTAGTGAACCTTGAAATGTAAGATCAGGTCAAAAGAGATTCCAGTCAGGCTGTTGCTGGAAACATGGGGGTTTGCTTCCCCATGACTTCCCCTGTCGCAGTACATCTGGAGCCATAAACAAAGGGAGCCTCATGAAAGGAGCCTTCCACATCGCAAGCCCAAACTCCGGTGAAGCCAGACGCGTGAGATTATTATTGTTTTGTTTTGTTTTCCCATTTTTCTCCCTGGGGGGGATGGGGTGAGTTGTTCGGACCCTGTTTGTTGGGTGGCACCTGTGACCAAAGAAACAGATACCGTAAGGCGGTTGGGTGCCACTGAAGAACTGGGAAAGCAGCTGATTGACTTTCTGCCTTTCGAGGATTCATGATGGCAGGGGCTTCTTTTCCACACACACCATGCAGGTTGAAACTGGGGCCCCGACGCGTACACCACAATCTGCACGCCAGTGATGCGCCTGGCGACTGCGAGCATCCGGACGGCTGTTCCCAGATGTCTCCGCAAAAAAACGGAGGATTTTCTGTACTGGAAGCAAAAACACGAGGGGGTTGGTCAGAAATATCGGCTGTGGACGCAGGTCCTGCCGTGTGCCGCCCTAGAGGGATACAAGGGTTCCTAGCTTGACAAACCCCGAAGTATCACTTGGACTTGGCGGTTGGAGCGGTTGGAGGTGTTCCGGAAGGGTTCCCATTTACACTCTTCGACCACCAGGATCCAAGCCACCAATCAAGGGCTGCCTGATGGACAGCTGAGCCTCGTGGCCTCCAGCTGAAGGAAAGTCTCAGGAGCTCTGCTGCCTTTTCTCACCCGCCTGCCCCGCGAGATCTTTCCTCCCCCCTGGCATGTGAGACCAACACGCATTGAACTCGGCAGCCACCCGCATTTCTTCCATGAGTAGAACCTACCAAAAGCACGGCGAAAAGAAATGCCGACTCACTGGAGTTCCCCTTCAACAGTTCTGGGGGTACCTTCCCCATGACCCAGGGAAAACGGCCGGTTTTGGAAAGAACAATGGTTGAAAAGAATGGGGAATCAACCCCCAGAACAGTTGATCATTTTTCTGGTGGGTTCCTTTGAAGCGATCGCCACTTTGGGAGGTTCCAAAATCCTGTACTCAGGGCCAGTTCGAGCTCGCTCGCGCTCGCTCGCAAAAAATCGAAAAACGCCTGGGGTAGCTGGCGAACTGCATCGCCTGCCATAGCTCGTCCTCGGCCAACCTCAAGCTCCAAAGTTGGAAACCGGAGGCAACGGACCTCCTGGACCCTCAAACTACCCTTGAAAAGGGGGAACACACACACACACCATACTTGTGGGGCAATAGTCCCCATCTTTTCAGAATACTTTTTTGAGGAGTGTGCAGCCTAGCAGAGGAGGGAAACCTCCAAGTGGAGAAAAAAACGGCTTCGAGCAAGAACCACGGGCCTGTCTCTTGTTTGTATAGCCTGGCTGGGTTTCAAGGGACACCTCCCAAAAGGCGGAAGGACATGTGCAAAACTTGGAAGGCCAGCGACGTTGGTTGGTCGATTCTCAGGGAAAGCCCCCGCACAAACAAAACATGAAACAAGAACAGAGCAGCAAAATCTGGGGATCGAACTCGCGCATTGGCACGTGGGGGGTTGATATGTGTTCCGCCCCCCATCCACACGTGGATTTTTTTGTTTTTGTCCGTGCCCACAAAAGAACCTGTATGGAATCGCAAGTGAGGGCCGACACTATGACTTGCCGAGGGGCGCATCCCACTCCCTGCTCCATCCCCGCCCAGTCAATCCCAAAAGCAGCTGGGAAACCAAGAAACCGCCTTTAGCAAAAAAACTCACTTCCTGCCTCCTCTGGTATGCTAGCACAGTGTTCTTTGCAGCCAAACCCAAACCATTAAAAAAAAAAAAAACACTATCACTATCACCACCTTAGCAGTTGCATCCCCCCATGGACCAACCCGCATATCCCCCGGTTCCCCCGTCCCTTTGGTCCATCCCCTCGCTCGGTGCGGGCCGCCCGAGGTTCGCTTTTTCTCGCCGTCCACATGGGCCATGATCTCCGCCTATGGAGAGCAGAAATCCCTGGGTCAAGCCCAAAGTGGTAGGTTCAAGGGAGACACCCCCTAGGTCCTCCAGAGGATAGAGGGTACCCGATTCTTTTCTGTAGCATATTTTAGTAGGGGAGCCCTTCCCCAAAAAAGGGGAGAGAAAGGCACTATTGGGGGAGAAACATACCTGCATACATTTATATATATATATATTATGTAGTTTGGGAGAATGAGTCAAAGGAATCCCGAAGCAAGGAACCTTCAGGCCGAAAATCCCTCGCACCTGTTACCCCCGGCTCGCTGGCAACCTGCGGCATGCTGGAACCATGTGAAAACCTTTTTGGGGATGGGGATGGGAAGTCTACAGGAAAGGTCACGGGAAACTCACCATAAACTTTAGGACAAGCCGAGGTTTCTACTTGGGAGCTCGTAGATTTGAGGCTTAGACCATCTCAAAGACACGAAGCCGGGTCTCAAATGAGTGTGACACCCAAGACGACACGGGTTGAAGACATGGCTGTGGGTCGAAAATAGGTAACCATTTTGGGAGCCCGGGCACATGGAAACATGGACTGAAACATTTTTGTGGCCCCTGAAAGTTTGGTTTTGACCCACACCCACATGGTGTCAACCACCTTCCTGCGACCCATTCCCATGAGGTTGGGACCAATTCCCATGGGGCCAAAGGAATGGACCTGTGATCCAAAACGTAGGTTCTTCGCACGAGCAATGAACCAACCCCCAAGACGGAAACTAAAAGCAAACCTGGCAGGATCCCCAAATGTCACTGCCAATTGGTCTAAACCGAATTGTCTAAACCCCAGAAGGGACATGCAGCGAGGCCCGTGTTTTTCAGGAAGATCGCAGAATCTCACAAGAAGAAACACATCAAATACACGGCGGTGTGTTTGGTCTGAATGCTTGGTTCCTCGAGACCCAAGATTGTTCTCTAGCACCACCCAACCAGCCCGAAACCCACTTGAAATGGCCACCGAGTGGTGCCAACAAACCTTTAGAACCGCGAATCCCCAAATCTGGCCGAACGCCTGCGAAGGGGTATACCAAAAAGCACCGCCAAGAAGTGAGCCTCGTCTTAATACCCTGAGTGCTGAGTCTCGCTGCGCTTTCCGGCCCTCTGGCCGGCGTGAACCGCCGGTGAAAGCCCGACAAGGGCATCCTCAAAACAACGAAATCATTCCGAGGAGTTCAAGCTGTGGTGGATGCCCTAAATATTGCAAGTGGACCAAGCACACAGCATGGGCACGTGCACGGATTCCCGTCTTCCCTTGCAACATTCTCAACTAGTCATGGATTTGTCCATCCATATCCTGCCTGCGCAGAGATAAGCGGTCGGCAATTCTTCCCAAAGCGGTGGGACAGTCCCAACCAAAGGCTTGCGGCTTCAAATCACCGCCGCGGAATGGATTTGGTCCATCCCATCTCGTGGGTTTCATCATGGATCGAGCAACGGCGGATCGGTTCCTCCAGACCCGGGTTCCTGCATCCGCTGAGTCATACTCCAAACGAGGTATTTAAATGGTGGTAATCCCAGAACCATGCTTCAAGAATTCAGAAGGCGGAGATCCGGAGCTATTTATGGCAAGGGGATTGTCCCTTAACCTAACCATCTACCCGGGTTTTGATTATGGCTCAGCTGGTTCAAGAGGCCGAACCAGCTGCAATCCACCCGCTGCAAACCGAGGGGCCCAGGTGACGGGCACATCGCAGCCCCCGCTCCGGGCGCAGTTCAGGGTGCCCGCTGCGCAGCCCTTGGCCACTGCGGAGGCCAAGTCCTCGCCGCACCTCAAGGAAGCGCTCGCCCTTTTTTCTGGACGTCTATTTTAGTAAGGGAACCCTCCCCCCAAAAAGGGTAAAAGGGCACTACTGGGGGACCTAGACTAGCAAATGGGCGGTACGCCAGTGCTTTTTGTTCCTTCATTTGTTTAGCCCAGCTGGTTCAAGAGTTCAAAAGGAGTCCAGCGGTTGAGCTGGGGGATGCCTGCGCGTATATTTGGGTCCGTCTTTGTCATTATTTTTATTATCTTTTTTGACTTACCCCTTTGCAGGTGGCTGAACCAGGGATCCAAGAGGAACACCACTTTGCCTGCCCTCAGATCCCCTGCTAAAAGCTTAACTTTTAGTGGTCACATGGAAACCCCACGAAGAAAAGATGAGAAGCTAAGGAAGCGGATGGCTGAGAGCCACCAAGGGAAGACATTGCTCGTCCTTTGGACTTGGTACCCGTTTTTGCTGGGTAGGAGGAAAACCACCCAAACAAAAAGCTGTGCGCCATCTTGGAAAATCGACACACACGCATCTAACAAGATGGGAAATTCATGGAGCACCAGAAAACTTGCTGAACCGCCGAACACTGGAAACTTGTGGGAAGACTTTGAAAATCGAGACCATAGGCTACTCTGGCAAACCATAGCATGACCTGTGGGCAAAGCCGGTAAAACAACTTGGAAGCTGCTCGAAATTGAAACATTGAAGCACTGAAAAACCATTGGGGCACAAGGAAAAGGACTTGGTCAGTGTTCCTAGGTTTTAAACCCTGTAATTGTTCATCACTTTGGTCGAGATGTAAGATATTAATGTTAACCCCGCATTAATAAGCCTCTGGTTGATCTTGATCGGGGGATCGTTGTCGGAGGGAACACTTCTCGAATGCAGGTCCTGCTTAGACCCGGGGTCCATCAACATTACCCTCACTTGCCCAAAGGACCTGAGAATAAAACAAACAAAAGCTAACCTTTGTGATCTTAGACGTTTAGCAATTGTTGTTTGCCACAAACAAGACACTACGTAAAAGCTTCGGTTGGTTTTCAGCTATACTGAGGCATGTCTCTTTTTTGTGCTTTTCCAGGATGCTCTGCTTGATTTGTTAGGAGAAAACCAAACGAAGGCTGTGCCCCAGTTGGAGCTCCCCTTTGTTTTGATCAACTGAGTACCCGCCCGGTTAATCGGGGGTGTTCCCTGCAAAAATGGTGAATCCAAACTAAAATACCACAAGGGGGCACCACCCAGCGGAGTCACACTCGAAACCTGGTATTAAAATGACCCATACAACTCCATAGGGGAGACTGCCCTTTCCAACTTTTGTCTTCTAGGGTTTTGAGCGTGGCTCAGGTTTTTTTTCATCCGGAGCGACCATTTTGTTGACCTCACATTTCTCAACCCCGGTTAGTTAATAGTGGGGTGTTCCCCTCCAGAAGTGATGATTGAGGTGACTAATCCCTAGAATAATGATTCCCGTGCAGATACCAACAAACAATGGGTTCAACCATGGTTTCATTTCGTGGTGTAGGATCTGGATTTTGCAACCATCCACAGTATGGGTTCAACATTGGGGTGACCTCATCCGGAGCGAACACGTTCTTCCATTTGCTTAAGGCCCCAGGAAAAATATTCCAGTAGTGATAAATTCCCTTTAGAACCAACAAGGAACAAAAGAAACATTTCAGCCAATGGCAGCGTCCACCCCGTCCCTCGCTCCGCTCGTCTCTTAACCCATTCGAGCCGCGCCCAGGAGGCCACCAGCGCCGCGCTGCAGGCGTCCCCCGCCCCGGTGCTGTCCGTCGCCGTCGCCGCCGGCAGCGGCGAAGGCGGCACCGCGCCGAAGGCGCCCTGGGCGGCCCAAAAGGCGCCTGGGCCGTGGGGGTGGCAACCCATGTGGACACACGTAACACCCCATATCTCGGTTGACGTTGGAAGGGGAGCAACAAATTCTCAAGTTTTTAGCAGTTAAGTGGATTTGGATTTCAACCACTAAACCACAAAAAACAAAATGTGAAATGTGTCCCAACAACAACCATGTGTGGACACATGGAACACCCAAGTTTTGCTGGCATAGTCAGGCCTTAGTTTTGTGTAAGCACACAGGCACCAATGGGCGGGGGTTGAACGATCCTCACAATATGTGTAGAATTCTACATATTATATATATGGGGGTTGATCTAAATGTTGGTGCCGCTGCAAGGACAAACAGAGTCCCTTTCGCTCGCCCTTACGCCGGCTTTCGCGGCTCGGGGAGTGGAGCTTGCTCTATGTGAGCAACTATAAAAGAAGTACACTTTGGTCGTCACTTTGGTAGCTCCGGCTCGCAAGTCGCAACTGTTCAGTACAAGCGTGGTAAAGGAAGTGCACTTTGGCAGCTCCGGCTGGAAAGTCGCAACTTTTCAGTACAATTGTAGTAAAGGAAGTGCACTTTGGCAGCTCCGGCTCGGAAGTCGCAACTTTCCATTACAAGTGTGGTAAAGGAAGTAAAAGGAGCCTTAAAAGAAGCTCTAGAAGGAGCTTTGTAAGGAGGTTTATAAGGAGCTTTATAAGGAGCGTAATTGGCAAGCTTTATAAAGTGCTTTACAAGGAGCTTTATAAGGAGCTTTTGATGGGTGTCCCCGAAATCGTTTTCCACCCGGTGAAAATAACTTCTGCGGATTTTGTCCCGGAACTCGTTTTCCAGCCGGTGAAAATAACTTCTGGGGGTTCTGTCCCCGAACTCGTTTTCCAGCCGGTGAAAATAACTTCTGTCCCGGAACTCATTTTCCAGCTGGCGGAAGTAACTTCTGGGGATTCTGTCCCGGAACTCGTTTTCTAGCCGGTGAAAATAGCTTCTGGGGGTTCTGCCCTCGAACTCGTTTTCCAGGTGGTGAAAATAACTTCTGGGGGTTCTGTCCCGGAACTTGTTTTCCAGCTGATGAAAATAACTTCTGGGGATTCTATCACGGAACTCGTTCTTCAGCTGGTGAAAATATCTTCTGGGGATTCCGTCCCCGAACTCGTTTTCTAGCCGGTGAAAATAACTTCTGGGGATTCTGTCCCGGAACTCGTTTTCCAGCTGATGAAAATAACTTCTAGGGATTCTTTCCCCGAACTCATTTTCCAGCCGGTGAAAAGAACTTCTGGGGATTCTGTCCCGGAACTCGTTTTCCAGCTGATGAAAAAACTTCTAGGGATTCTTTCCCCGAACTCGTTTTCCAGCCGGTGAAAAGAACTTCTGGGGATTCTGTGCCGGAACTCGTTTTCCAGCTGGTGAAAATAACTTCTGGACATTCTGCGGGCCCATGTTATAAAGACCTTTATAAGGAGCCTTAGAAAGATCTTAATGAAGAGCTCTAAAAGGGGCTTTGTAAGGAGCTTCAAAAGGAGCTTTATAAGCACTTTGGCAGCTCCGGCTCGAAAGCCGCAACTCTTCAGCACAGGCGCAGCAAAGGAAATACACTTTGGCAGCTCCGGCACAAGAGTCACAACTTTTCAGTACAAGTGTAGTAAAAGGAAGTACACTTTGGCAGCTCCGGCTCGAAAGTCGCAACTTTTCATTACAAGTGTTCAAAAAAAGTACACACTGCTGCTCATTTACCAACATAAGGGTAGTCCCGTACACAAAACCATATTTTCTCGATGTGCCTCTGTTTTTTAACCCATTCGTTTTTCATTCTTGCGGCCTGTTCTGCTGCACACGTTGGCGTTTGATGTCCAACCCTGATCACGCTGGTCTTCCAAAGGTTTTTTTGCTGGGCGCTCATGTGTCTGCGCTACTGCTGCTACTCGACGAGCTAGAACTGCTTTGCACTCCTGCACGCATTCGGGCCCATTTCTGTTGTTTGAGCAACAGCCTTCTCGTGCGAGCTGCATTTTGCTTCTCCCACGGCGACTGGCTTGGAAAACCTGTGAATCATTGCCAAATGGGCATCGTGTTTTTTCATGATAGCGTCACGCTTGCCAGAAGGTGGCGCTTCTCGCTCCCATGATTTCTCTTGGTAGTAGCCGCGTCTCCAAGAAGTGTCTTCCCAGGCTCCGGCGAAGCAAACATACTCAGTTCCTTTGCGTTGGCTAGGCAAATGAGGTCGCAAATGAAGTTGACTACGGGCTAAACGATTATATAAATAGAGCACGTTGCGTGAGTGGTCCTCAACTTGTTTTGAAGGTACCGATTGAGGCGGCAACCTTTGCCAGCTCAAGGAAAGCTCGTGGAAGGGCACCGTGGGCAACTCCCAGAAACCAATTTTGAGCCCCTAAAACATGTAATTGGTCGTAGGAAAGCAAGCATGTATTTGGCTTCGGCGGTCCAAAACAGCTCTCGGAAGACAATGGCGTGGGCAAGGGATTTCATCGGAATGAAAAAGGAGGACATTTAGCTCCCAGAAACTATGTTTAGGGCCCGCGAAACATTTTGGTGGTAGGGCAACAGGTCCCACATCGGTTTCTTCCCCAAGAACAGAAGGGAATGCGACTGCACAGGGACAGTCTGAGAGTGCATGTACAGTATTGCAAGCTAGCTGCGACAGGTTCCTCAAGAAGAGACACGGCCTCAGTCGGCCCTGTCGTCACATCCGCAAACACGCAGTTTCGAATCTGCATTCTTGCTCGGTTGGCATATGGCCGCTCAAGCTGCAGGCAATATGTTTTCGTGATGCTAAAGCTGCAGCTGGCAAGCCGCGTCACGGTGCCCGGCTTGACGTCAGCTTCGAACCTCCTGACCACCCAACGCAGCGGACTGGAAGGCTGGAGCCTTGCATCGGCATGCGCCGCAGCTTGGCAAATCGCTACAAGCTCTTCTTCTGTCTTGATGACTTTGTTGGGCTGCCGAAAGTGGGCAGCGACCCAGCTGCCGAAGTGTGAAAACATCGAATCCACTTCTCCTTTTCCGTGGCGTTCTGCTGCCGCGCGTCTGGCTCGGGCGCGTGTCTGGCTGCTGCCTGCACATCTGGCTCGGGCGCTTGCACGTCTGGCTCGGGCGCGTGTCTGGCTGCTGCCTGCGCGTCTGGCTCGGGCGCGTGTCTGGCTGCTGCCTGCACGTCTGGCTCGGGCATCGGCGCTGGCCCCTGTGCCTGCACGAGTTCGTGAAGGCCCCCCATGCTGAGCTGTATCCTTGGCAGACACACTCAGCATGAGCAAAATCCCGAGCATACAGAAAAGAGAACTAGGCCCTTACACCAACAATGCATGGAGTGAGGCAAGGTTCGAAATCTGGCAGGCGGTAGGTTTTGAGTCACGCTGGCCCTTTCTGCGGCCTTCTTGGAGCGGAACGTCTGGTTCCCAAACGCGTACAAGACTGAGCTGTGAGTCACACAAAAATGCCGTGAACATTGCCCTTTGCATCAAAGCAAACAACCCCCAAAATATGCTCCAAGCAGCAGTACGGCTGCCCGACCGACGCGCCAGACCCACGGATCCTGCGTTCACGCAACCACTCTGGCATGGCTGCTCGGCTGTGTCCTAGTGCCGTCTGGAGCTTACCATTCCATAGCACGGGAGCCAAAATGGCTCTTGAATCGTTGCAGATGTGTGGCAATCCACTCTCCCCCATCCAAGAACTTGCCTTAACTTTTTTGGGCGGGACCTTTGGAGGGGGACCTTAGGCCCTGGTGACTACGGGATCCTAATCAGATCAAAAACATACAGATTCCAAACCCAGCATGCCGAAAATGCTTCAAACTGGTCTGAAAATTGTTTTGCGCAAGCCCAAATAACATTTGGAGCCATTCGGGGCCCTGAAAACCATTGTGCATAACACCGACCACTTTCCCTTTCGCTCGCCCTTACGCCCTCTTTCGCGACCACAGTGTGGCAACACCTTGTATATCCACTAGGTCTCCCGTACACAAAGCCTAGTTCCGTCGATTTAGATCGACTCCCATATGTATGAATATGTATATATAAGAGTACATAAGGCGCCAAGAAAAGAGGCTGGAATTCCTTCGAAAATCATAATTAAGGGGTACCCTCCAAAAACACTCCAATATGTAGGAACGGCGAAAGCTGCGAAAACCTGTAGGCTGCGCAGAGATGCTTCATGGGTCTATGATTGAGGCAGAGGCTGTGCGAATGCTATGGGAACACGAGGTTTACCGGCGGCTGCGCGATGTACTAAAACAGGTAAATTTATGGAAAGCCTAGTGCGGGCACTTTTGGCTGCGCAGCCTTTAGCTGAGCTGGTTTGGTTGCATGTAACATAAATGCAAACCAGTATCCCTGTGATGTTCGTGAAGTCTACACAGTTCCGCTTGTAGCCGCGAGGGAATGAAACCAGATGTCTTGTTTTCCATGTGGCTTCTCAGGAGGGCCCGTACAGGAACCCGTAGGGCCACGGGAAGCATGACACTTCCCAAGGCCTGGGGTATGCGTAACAAACACATAGGTCTTTGCAGTCCACCGCTTCAAATGGACAGAACCCAACCAAGTAAAACAACCAAACAACAACATTCTGAACAGCGGCAAAGTCTCGATGCCCGATCAAATACCAACATTCTGCGAACTTCCAACTGGCCTACGCCGCAAAGACTCCCCCAACCTTGCGCCTTTGGCCCCTAGCCCTTGGTTCTCCGAGCCTGAGGGGTTGCTGGTCCAATTCAGGACATTCACCCGACTTTGAGTTGAGTGGCGAAAACCTCGCCTTGACAATGATGAAACCCTCCAACGCAAAGGTACGCACTACCTGGGCTGTTCAAAATGGGAGGAGGATCCCGATTTTCAAATCCGCAATCCGTAGCGGTCCACCACCACACAAGGATTAGCAGCAGAATTCAGGATTGAGTATAAACACTCCAGGTCTTGCCCTGACCTTGCTGCATTCTACGTATCCAACTCCAAATGCCACCAGCCAGGCGCCCAACCAACCAGCCAGCCAGCCAACCCAACCCAACCCAACCCAACCCAACCCAACCCAGCCAACCAACCAACCAAACCCAAACCCATCCAACCAGCCAGCCAAAGGTTTTCCCACCCCCGCACGCTGGCCTTCAGCACCGCGCGTGACCACCACAGCGGGGCCCACTGGAGCGAGAACGAATCCAGCCCAGAGGTTTGCTGAAAACCAGACCTCCACCAGCCCTTGGCAGAATTGAAAGCTGACTGCTCTTGCCGTTTTGCCCACCCAAAAAGATGCCACGGAACCGTGTGGGTTGTTTTGCTGACATGCCAAGAACAGTGAAGCAGGGATCCCCGTGCTTCTGCATGAAAGATGGACCAGAGGTATTGCAACGTGCTTTGGCAGAATTCTTTGAGCGTTCCAATTTGGGACGATTTGACATCTTTTGAAAAAGAGGCCCAAACAAGGGTTCGCATACCCTCCGCCAGGTCACCCACCGATTCTTGAAAAACCGTCTCATATATCACCCTCCTCGGGCTCCTTGGCATGAGAGACGCCTGCCAGACAGGGATAGTTGAGGGGTGCTGCGCGGAACTACCGACAAGGGATCTTCGTACCCTTCTGAACCCCTTCTGAACCCCTTCTGTGGAGGCTCCTGAACGTTTCTGATCAGGATTGGGTTGGTTTCCTGCCTGAAAATTCCGTGGAATTCAAACGGCCAAAACCATTCCGAGTGGAGTGGCCCAAACGCCTTGTCACTCTAACCGGGCTTGTCACTCTAACTTGCGCGGGGTCCCTCACAGGTGTCACATCTCGCCTGCGGCAATTTTGGTCATGGCCTCTCTCCAGCTGCAGCCCATGAGCGCTTCCACCTGTGTGGCCGCCCCAGCTGGGGCCCCTTGAGGTGGCTGGAACTGTCTGACGGTGGCTTGGCTTGCCCTGGTTTGTGGAAGCAAAAGGGAAATGGTCAGCTTTCTTCTAATTGGTGCTTTGGATGGGTTGGTTGAGGAGGGCGACATCCCAGTTACCCTCTACAAAAGCAGCAATCCAAACCACCGACTAGTACCTGAAATGGGTGTGGCATTGGGGTAAGCCATGGAACACTGAGCCTTGCGCTGTTTCTTGTCTCTGGGACCTGTGGATTCCCCCTTAGAACGCGCGAGCGGAGCCATCTTTTCCGAGTGCCTCCGCTCGGAAAGCAGCTCCCTGCGAGTTCCACCCCCGTTTTAGCTTTGTTTGGGGCGGAGGTTTCCCTGTGAATAAAGAACAGCACCTGCGCACAAGCGGACCAATGCCAAGGTGACCTGTTTTCCCCATGCCTGGGCAAGCTCGCGTTGCAAATTAGAAAGACCCAGCAGGAGTTCCAACACCCCGAAACCATTTCACCCCGAGCAAAGTGGCCTTGCTATCCACCGCATAGCCACAGGTTCTGCGTTTGTTCAGCTGTGCTATAGGTTTGGGTGACCACGTTTTGAGAGTGAGCAGTCTATGACAGATGAATTAGCAAAGGTGAAGCCCTTTCTCCGCCCCGGCATTCGGAGATGCATGGGAAAAGTGTGGCCCCACGAAAGACGTGGGGAAGAAATCCACACCACGCAAATCACGGAGATCCATGGATCACTTCCCATTCACCACCTCACAATCCTCCGAATTCCGCATCCAACTTTTTGACGTGGGGAGTGGTGGACAAAGAGGGCGCTTTTGCTTTGCTTGACTTCAAAGCGACTCCCTCTTTTGAGGCACCTCACACAGGCGCCATTTGGCCATGGGTCAAAATCCAAATCGTACCCCCAGTGAACATCCCAATCCAACCACTAAAATAGGTTCTAAAATGGGTGGTGAATTCACCTACCCCAAGATGCTGCCATTGGTTTTGGCCCACAGCCATTTAGCATTCGGGATGATCCCCCAACCCAACCAAACGAATGAAGAAAGAGACATGCTGTGGGGTGCTCGCCCCTCGCTGGGAGTGGAAAAGGAGGAAACGTCCAGCGACCAATGTGGAATATGAGGCAACAGTTTTCAAACCGTGGCCAGAGGGGAACAAATGATCGAGCAAAAGCTTTTGATAGGTGGGGCGACGTCTGATTTCCTGGTATGTGTCAAAATAGGAGGACCCCTCCAACAAGTACCCTTGAAAATACTGAAAAGCTGGGTAGCAGCTCAATCGCTCAGTTTGAAGTCCCAGCTGCGCTGATCTTCCCGACCAGCAAACACCTCTGGGTTTGGCAGCCTGCTGAACATGTGCAGAACCAAACAAGCAAAACAGTGCGCCGTTTGGTTGGTTTTGAAGGGGAGCCAAAAGGAAACCAGCCATTCTTTGGAGGGTCCCCTATTTTGGGACAAACCATTACATTGATTGATAGTGAAATTATGCCTCAACATCTTGGACCCAAACCACGATGAAATTGTGTTAGGGAAATTATACAAGATCGCGAGAAGCACACATTCGATTTGGCCACCGATCTTGTGTTCACATCATCACAAGCAAATGCAAATCTGCTTCTCCACAGTCAAGCGAAGGTCAAACACGGACGACGAAGAGCCGAACGCTGCTGTTCAAAAGGTGTGGCGGGAAAGTCATTCACGACGCACTGCGCGAAGAATGCTGCCACTGTGTCTGTGAACCGAATTTGCTCAGAAGCTTGCACCGTAATCAGGTCACTTAGTCAATACGGCGTGGAATTTGAGTGTAAGGTGGTCACTTGAACGCAACTTGCCACAATCAGCATCTTGTGAGATTGGAGCCAGATATGCGAATCCAAGTGGATTGTTTGTGGGGAAGAGTGCCAAACTGTAGCTACTATCGGGAATAAGGTAGCTGTGTTCTTTCTTGGTTTGCTTATTACAGCATATGTATATATACATGTATACATATATTGTTTTGAGAGAGTGTTCATCAATAAAATAGGTATACATATGTATATATATATACATATAGTATACGTACTACTCGCCCACGCAAACTGAGGCACCATTCTGGGGGAATTAGAAGCACCGACCCGCAATTGGTAGCGCCTGTAATGCCCAAGGTTTCCTAAACTCACAAATCAAACTGGCAACCATTTAGTTACACCAAAAGCGGAATGGACTTGTTCTCTAAGTGGGGGCCATGCTCATTGAAACGACACCGATAAACAAGCGTGTGGTTGCCTCATATGCCGAACATAGGTGAAGGTGGCCACCAGGTCACCGCGTCCGACCTGTCCCTCTCCCCGGTGTCCCGCAAAAAAAAGCGGGGCCCCTTAGGTCTGAATTAGGCCCTCACTGGCTGAGATGGCCCAAAAAAAGGCCCCAAACTTTATATTTACCACTAAAATGGTCTTCCCAAAAAGTTTAAAGTTCATGAACTCAGGAAGTGAGTGCCGGTTTGGTGGGGGATGGGGAGGCTTTGGACCGGTGACCTGTGAATCTGTGAACTCATCCGCTCCAACCCCCCCATTCCCAGCCATCTTCTCCCAAGGCCCTTGCCCCATGTCCGGGGCATAAAAAAATCCGCCGAGTCTGGCCATGTTTCGTCTATCCTGACCCGTGATTCCATCTCCGTGTATAGGTAACCACAACCACCCTTTAAAGAGGAACATGGCCAAGGGGTGCCGACTGAAGTGGCAACTGGGATCCGCCAGGTAGTACTCACTTCCCGAGTAGATGGTCCAAAACAACTTTGAGCTTGTTGTTGGCCACTAAAATGGTCTAACCCAACAAAGTATGAAGTCCAGGAACTACTGTGGATGGACGAAATCCTGCACCACTTGGAAACAATGGGGAAACCATTGTTTGATGGTATTTGCAGTAGGGTTTCTTTGGCGGTGCAGGATTTTGTCTATCCAGAGTAGTGAGAAATGCCCAAGTTTGCATGTTCAGAGCCATTGGCATTCACACGGCTTCACTGAAACACTGCCGGCAGCCACACAACCTGTCTCAGTGGCTTCGGAGTCATCAATGTTCTCATTGCTGGGAGGCTAAAACTTGCTGCTGCGAGAGATGCAGGAATGAGAAATGGACTGGCCCCGAAATCAACAATCCCCTATGCTTGCCTATAAGGGGACCAAAGCCTGGGTTCATTCCCATTCCCTTACCGCACCAAGAACATTGAGATTCGGACGCCGGCCACGAGCGCGCCGAGGGCGAGGGCCCCTTGGGCCTCGGGGACGTTCCCTTTGAAGAGGTCGAGGACCGGCAGAAGCTCCCGGACCTCAGCGTAGGCACGACCCGGAGACCGGGGGAGTTCGACTCGGAGAGTGGGAAACTTGATATTTGGTGGACTTCCGTGGGGAAAAAAAAGGACAGGATTTCCCAGAAGCCAGAAGAAGAAGAAGAAGTTGATTTTCCTTGAGGAAAAGGCTTTGCACCTTTCTCTTAGGCTCATTACAGGGGTTCTTCCCTTCAACAAAAAGAGGAACAAGGGCATTACTGGGAAAAAGGAAGGGAATCAACCGCTTTGGTATCACAAGGGCTATTTTCCATAGTGATAGGGGAACCTGTTCCGCAACCGCGGCTTTGGGCTGACTTTAAAAGGAACCCCCCTGGCGACAAAAAAGGAGTTTCAAAATTGGGAGGGATTTTTGAGGTGCATTGTTGAAAATTGTTAGAAACCAAGCAGAAAACCTCAGAAAACGTTGAGGGTGTCTTTTTTGGATTAAAAGAACAGACGGAAAACAAAAGGTTTGATGTTGCACTTTTGAGAGAAACCCAAGGGAGAACCCAACTGAGGTCCATTCAACAGCTCCTTGAAAAATCGAGGGCGGGTTGAGGATTGGATTCGAGCATTCAGGCCTCCAGGTAGCTTCCCTGGTATGGGGGGGGGGGTGAGTGGATCTCGATTGACAAACTGAGAACAAATAAAAAGAGTACAATACTCTAATCGTCTACCCTCCAACTGTATTCGTGGGAAGGACCACCAAGCTGCTCTTGTGGGCAACCCCCTGGCGACTGGTTGCCCTTACTTTTTGTGTAAACAAGTTATCTAAAACTCGCTGGTTTGGACCACTCGCGCATCGACCTCCCGGCTCCAAGGCCTCCCTTAGCTGGGAAGAGAAAGGGTGAACCACCCTTTACAACTCGGTCCTCCGGAGAGGTGAGCATAAGGGTTCCAACCTTTTTCTGTCGATTTTAGTAGGGGAACCCTCCCCCAAACAAAGGCTAACGGGGCGCTACTGGGGGACCTAGACAAGGAAAGGCGAAGGAACATTTCGAGGGCTGCTGGTTGTCGGTTCTTGTTTTTGTCGCCTGGGACTGCACGTACGGCTTGAGCAATGCAGACATATGGAGCGTCAGGGGCGGAAGTGGGGTTGGGGTAACTATCAAGCAGTTCGCTTTTGGTCTGGTCGATGTTGGCTGGCTGACTTGGGGTTGGAGTTGGCTGGCTTTGGATTGATTTGGCTCATTTTGAGATCGTGTTGCTTGCCCGATGGAGGCAAACTGCATCCTACAAGCAACCCGAAACCTTTGCTCAGGCTGTTGTAAAGAGAAACTAAGTTTTGCCACACTCCCAAACCCACAACCCAGAATTGACAGGAGAGAATCTGTTGCGGCAAAATTGTCACCTGGATTGCCGAGTAATGCCAGAGCCTGACATGTGGGAGGAATAGACATGTAAGGCACGGTCAAACTTACATGTCTCCCCTAAAAGACACGGGAAACAATCAGTGAGTCCCGTGGGCAAGTGGAACATGTTTGTGACCAATGTGCCTCCCAAAGCACACAATGGACTACTGGAAATGTTGATCAACACCTATGCAAACAAGTTTGACGTTTTGTGCTCGAAACATGATGAAGACATCTACTATACCGACAGAAAACAGAACAGGGCTCCTAGGGAGCCCTATACTTCCCCTTAAAACATCACCCGATGTTTAACACCACCAAAATGTAGGGGTTGACTCCTCATTCTTTTCAACCATCGTTCTTTTCAAAACGGCCGTTTTCCCTGGGTTTCCGGAGGTTTTCCAGAAGAAGGATCCCTGGAAAGAATGGGGAAGGTACACCCTGGAAAAAAAAGGGGAAATATAGGGACCCCTGAATAAACAGATTTGCCAACTGGACAAGTAAGGACACTGCATGTGCTGAGCGCTCCACTCCGTCCACTTGGTCTGCCTGTCCGAGTGAGTTTGGACATTTCGTCTGCGGTGTTTGAGGGTAATACTACGGGATAGATGGTCAAACAATCGTGGCTATGATAAGATTTGTTGTTTAAGTATCCCACAACCTCATTCTAATTGTGTCTGTGTGTTTGAGGGTACCCTTCCAGTTTGGTTGAAAGAGAAACTAAAAGGAACACAAACTACTCTGAGGGTCCTGCATTTTGACACCAATTTTGCAGGCCCTTGCGTTAGAGTAGAATAGAACACCTGTTCCTTGGGGACACCAACTCTTCCGCCCCATCCCATGGACCAATCTGGCTGGTGAGTTCCGTGTCTGCAGGAAACCAAAGCCTTTCAAACCTAGCAAACCTAGTTTGGGCACCTTGTTTGGCATATTTGAAGGCATAGGAGGAAGCCCCCCCTTTTCAGTAGAGGACCTTCAATCCAGGACGTGGAGTTGCAAGATACAAAACTTGCTATGTTCGCTCCAAAGAAAACGCGCAGACTTGTGCTTTTGGCCTCAGCTTTCGTCCTAGACCGAGTGCTGGGTGGGTCTTAGCATGCAAACTTGGAACAACTCAACACGTGTTGTGGGAATTGCGGGGTCCACATGGCATTCGGCAAGGTGCTCCTCCAAGCTGTTACTGGTTTTTCCGCTCATGCCCTAAATTCAACTCCAACCCACCCCATCCCACCTCACCCCTTCCCCCCGCTCCCCCTTTTGGCGCCGCCTCGTGGCCGTTGATGTCCAACGACACTGTGGCGCGACCTCCGCCGCTTTTGGCCGCCCTCAGCTCCGTGAGGGCCGGCAGCAGCTGGCGCTTCAGGTGGCTGGAGAAGGAGTAGACTCCCCCCAGGTGCAGATGTACCTGAGCAGCAGTACTCGGTTGACGTTGGAACGGGAGCAACAAATTAAGCTTTAGCACTTACATGTTCATTTCCCACTAAATCACAATAAGCAAAAATCTAGAATGTATCCCAACAACAACCATGAGCAGAGCCGCAAAAAAGAACATGGTTGCCGGCCAAAATTACCGACACGACAGGTTAATAAATAAATACATATATATGTATACATATATGTATGTGTATATATATATAGGTATTTGTGACCATACATGTGTATACTATATATATATTACACACACACGCGGCTGTTTTGCGCTGCCCCGTTTGACTCACGAGTTCACGAAGCGACGGCTCAGGCGGGCACAGGCCGCGTCGCCGTCTTCATGGCCTGGCGCGAGCGAGTCAACAAAAACGGTCCCTTGGATGTGACCAACGGGTCGATACAGACTTGATAGGTGAAGCTTCCCCATTCTTTTCAAGGATCCTTCTTTTCAGGAAACCATCACAAACCCAGCGGAAACAGCGGGTTATCGAAAGACAAAGGGGTCAACGAGAGACTTGTGCCTTTGCCCCGTGTTTCTAAGGGTATAAGGGCAACAACCAACCAGTTTCTGACTTTGACACCCCCAGCCCAGATCAATCTGCTAGGGGTACCTTTCCCATTCTTTCCAGGGATCCTTCTTTCTAGAGGGAAAACGGTCGTTTATTGATAAAGAACGATGGTTGAAAAGAATGGGGCATCAGCCCCTAGAGTCCCTAGAGTGTTGCATCCTTTCGACCTTTTGGGAGGTCCTTCATGTTTCCTTCGACCAAACCATGGACAATTATTGCAGGTTGAGAACTCCCAATGATTTGGTTTCCCTTTAAGTCTAACTGGCCATGGATGCTACATACACACGATTCTCAGGTGCGTGTGGGTTCGTCTTTGGGGAACACCATTTTCTTATCTGGCTGAAGGGCGAAAGCAAAATTCAAGCATGTTGGGGGTCTGATGTTTGGTAAAATGAGGGGTCCGAAGGGCAACATGATTGATGACACCTTTCGGTTGCCCAAAACACCATTATGATTGTCTTCAAAAAAGCAGGGGCTTCACGCGCAAATTGACTTGGGAACTGGTTCCCTCCAACAAGAGACTGCATTCAAAGGCGTTCTGTTCAACAAAGCCCAACCTTGGAAGATTGCAAGCAAACAAACAAACAAACAAACATAGATGATTAAAACCACTAACAACGCATGAGGTGTTTGGGTCTGTACGTAGGAGGGGGGTCTAAAAAACCTCGACCGAGACCCTGGTCCAAAGGATAACGTTTCATATAACTCACTGAACAGCGAGGTCTCAAAGAGGAAAAGCGGATCTGACACCCCCCCTCTCAAAAAAAAGAGGAAGGAACAAAAAGAGAAACATGAAAAGGACAAATGAAAAGGAAAAAGGAAGAAGAAAAAAAAAGAGAGGAAAACAAGGAAAACAAAGGAAGAAGTGAAAAAGATAAAATGGTTGCCCCAATAAATATGTCTATACAGGGGTTCTATCAGGCGAAAGCTGCTTCCGCTTGGCGGTCTGACTGATTACGTCGCTTTGTCGTTGGGCTTCGCTCAGGGTGCGGATGTTTGCGTCTCAAAATCTGGGGACCCGTTTTTGGACGGTTTGAACAGGAAGCCAAATAACTTTCCTGGAGTCCCCAATTCCGCGACCCACCTAAATTATCTCCATCAACGGGTCCTCCATTAAAGTTCACACGTATATTTCCCTAAAAGGCTGGTTTTAAACATCACAAACATGGGGCCTCTAATAGGTGTGATGTTGGGGTTGAGTGAATATTTGGAGGCCTTGTTTTCTCTTGGGTGTGGGGTTTCAGAAAGGTTTCCCTCGCCTATCGTCACGCAACTGGAAAAAGTTGTTAGGACGTTTGGGAAAAAGTTGTGACAACCTGACCTTCACTCTTGGCATGTGTTCTGGTCACTTTTCTTTTCTTCCGGGGTGGACTGTTGGGGCAACCATTTGGGTGGAAAACCATTTTTGGGTGAAAGGGAAAAGGACCTAAATCATATAAAAAGGACCTTCACTCTTGGGTGGCCCCCTACGGGCCCCGCCTCTAGCGGCACGTGCTCCAAACCCAGCGCGGCGCCGGCGGCGGTGATGAAGCTGCGACCCGCGGCCCCGGAGAGCACCTGCTGTCCAACGAGTGAGCCGAAGGAGCGGCCAGTGGGAGCTCAGGAGCTCTTTAGGGGACACCCAAAATGGTTGGGTTCTGTTGATGTCCTAAAAAAACCAACAGGATCAAACAATCCTGCATTTCAGCAGCCTTTTGAAGCCAAACACGAAAACACATCTTCTAGGTTCTCCAGATTTAAGAGGTTAGAATAAGGCTACCCGATTTTTTTTCTGCCGTCGATTTTAGTAGGGGAACCCTCCCCCAAAAAAGAGAAAGGGGGGGACCTAGTAGGGGACCACCCAAAATGCTTGGGTTGTCGGTTGATTTCCAAAACAAACAAAAAACGCCACGTGTTTTTCAGGGGACACCCCAAATGCCTTCGGTTGTCTTTGTGACTTCCCTGTCAAAACCACGTGAAAGAGAGGTAAGCGCAATAAAAAGCAGACGCTCTTTGGTAGTTGATGTTTAAGGGAAACCCTCTCCGAAGAAATGAACATTGGGGGGTGGGGAAATGGGTATGTCCTTTTGTTCTTGACTTGGACCGCTGCGAAAAGTGATCTTTCTGCTGGTTGAAAGCACAAATGGACAAAAACAAAAAGACAAAATGTTAAGGGGTAGTTGAGTCGGGCAATTCCCTGAGGGCCCTATTTTCGGATTGGCTTAAGTGAAAACCAGCAAGACAAACACAACTTGTTGGTCACCCCTATCTTGACACATATCCAAATCTCACTTCCTGAGTGGATGGGCCAAACAAGATGATATGTGTTTTTCAATAATATGGTCTTCCCAAATAAGCTTAAAGTCCAGTAAGCAATACAACCCAACCACTCAAAGCCCCCTGGTTGAGTGGGTCCAAACTTGGCTGCAAATTGCCAAGTTTGCATGTTCAAAGTTGAGGCATTGGCATCACACGGCTTCACTGAAAGCCCTGCTAGTGGCAGCCACAAAACCTGCATCCAACTCTTGAAGCACCCAATCTGAAAGAGTTGCTATCGCTCTCTCAACCATCATTGGAAGTACGGGAGCAATGACCTTGCATTGTCGTAGAACTAGAGGTTCATATTTTCTGGAACCAGGTCATCTGTTGGTAAGTTTCTTTGTAAAGAGAAGTAAGTGTTCCTTCGCTCTAGAGACTGGAGCACAACTTTGGGATACTGGTTGTTTGTTCTTTTTATATACACCACTAGGCTCAACATAGTCTCTTTTTTTAGGTGACTAAATATCCAGAAATAGGGGACGTGAAAGAAACAACAAAAGCTCCGTGGCTTCTCACCCCAGAGCCGCGCGCGGCTTTGCTTAGTTGAGGGGCAACGCAAGCGCCCGTAGATGTGCTGGGAGCGGCGGTGGTCATATCTCGCACCTTGCGCTGGAAAGCTTGACCGCCATTTGCTTGGTCCTCTAGAAAAATGGGAAACATAGAAATGCGTGTGGCTCACATTAAAGAGCTAGGGATACACATGTTCTAGTCTGTGCTTCCATTTACCAAGGTGCCATTTTGGTACACTTTTTTGAGCCAGAGCCAAATATGTCTTCTTTAGACAAGGGGGGAATGCAACCAGCAGGGAAACAAATCTTAAGCAAATGGAAGACCTGCTTTCGAAGGGGATCTTGGGATCTAAATCAGCCCGTATCTGGATATCCTAGAGACCGCGTTAAAATGAACAAATTTATTATGTTCTCACAATTTCTTTTTGGGGGTCGTCCATGAAGTCTCATGAGGCTAAATTTGAGGATGTCACGTCAATGGACCCAAGGACAATCTGGAAACCAAGAAAACATGCCCACCCTTTCCCCCACGACGAACTACTTCATCACTTTAAAGGATGCTTGTTTTGGTATCACAGAAAGTTGTAACGCGAGGCCAATAAATTCCAATGAAACTCATTGCCCACAGCTGTGCCCCAAAACGAGAACAAAAACACACATATCCAAAAGAAACAAAGCAAGAAACGACAACTCAGAAACCACAAAGAGGACCACCCCAAACCCAAACACCCAAAACCAACAGCCTCACACAAAAGAAAAGAACAAGCTAAAGTCAAAGTGACCCAAAAAAGCCAAACACTGCCCGCAGCCCTTTGAAAACCCATGGGGTTTCCCATGTGGCTCTGTTGCCCAAACATCCAAGCGACCCCCCCAAACCCTAAGGTTTTCAGGCAGGGCTCCCGCCCAGCAGGGGATGGTCTTTGTGCGTGCCTCATCTAAACAGGAAATATAGGGCACCCTGTGAACCATCGCGACTCCGTTCAAAGCGAAAGGGCCCCCTTTTTGATGTCTGGCTTCAACATCAAGGAACCACTGGAAGCCATGCCCCAAACATCAGTTGGCGGGTCTCTTTTTGAGGGACCCCCAAAATGGCGGCTTTCTTTTTTGGTCCCGATGAAAACCAAAACAACAGACGAGCCGCCCATATGGCCATACTTTTTGGCAACAACCTGACAAGTCTTTGGTGAACATGCTTTCAAACCCACGGAACAGATGGAAACGCCCGTGTTCTTTTTCAAAAAAAATGTATGTTTTTTTTTGATGTTTAAGGCGGTCCCTCACAATGGCTTCCGTTTTCCTGTTTGTTTCCCTTCAACCAGCAATAAAAGAGATACCCAACCTCCTTTAAAACCCGCGCTGAAAACGGGCACCTATAGCCTCAAACTTACCCTTCGAAACGTCTTTTGCCCCAAACATATGGGATGCATTCCCTCTTTTTCTGGGCAGCTTGAGACTCCACGTACCCTTTGTTTCACAACCCAATACAGGGGTAATGTTGACCCCATATTAATCATTCCCCCAGAATATAAATTTCTGGGTGTTCCCCTCCAAAAGGTTTGATTCCCCACTGCATCAGGGACTCCCCCATTGATTAACCTCCATTTGCTCAAGTCCCCTGGAAAAAATGAAACAAACATGTCCAGTAGTGATAGATTCCCTTTGAAACCAACAGGGGAAAAGTAAAAAAGTCCTCTTAACCAAATGGACGTTAATATGGGGTCAACATTCCCCTCCAAGCATAGGTGTCCTTTTAGAGGAAATAGATGGCCCTGGTAGATGACTCAACCACCAGGTAAACCAGGAATCGCCATCTATTTTTCGAGCAAAACAACCAAAAAGGACACCTATGCCTCCAAGCACCGCCGCGCCCCCCCAATTCCTTCAGCCGCCTTGGCCTTTGCCAGGCTCTGGCGCAAGGTCGCCCCAAACGCGTCATCGCCCAGCGCCGCCTTTGTTTTAGGGTAGTCCGCTTGGTTTCATGATCTGGGTGTTATCCTTTTTAGGATTTGGGGCAGTTTTAACTCTTGGTTTCATGATATGGGTGTGTAGGGTTTAAAGGACTTGGGGCGGTTTTCCCTTTTGGTTTCGCGATGCTGTGGATGGACACGATTTCTATTTCGACCCACCGTTCAGAAGCACTGGTTTCTGATTCGATTCCCCAACGGAAATGCCAACAAACAACGGTTTCAACCATGGTTTCCAAGTGGCGCAGGATTTTGTCCATCCACAGTACCGGTGTGTTTGTGATTCATCATTTTGGGTGGTTTTCCTTTCGGTTTTCCTTTCCAAAAAACACAAGAATCCCAACTCGACAACAATGAAAAAGTCGAGCCACCCGCAGCGGCTTGAAATTCCCACTCTTGTAGGAGATGGCTACGAACAAGAGCAGCCTTTTGGCATCATTACCCAAGCGATAATGGTTTCAAGACTTGTTTATGCATTTGGGAAAGACATCGGGGGACGCTCTAAATCCCACAAACACTAGGGGACGAGCCCTAATTTTCCCCATGTCCTTTGAATCAAAACTCACTTGACCGTGGCTCACGTCTCAAAACGATGGGGACATCTCTGACAGCAAGTTTTGAACCAGTGCCGGAACGGGGGTGCTTTCAAATCGTCCCTTGGATGGTATTTTACTGGGCCAGACGGATCCGATCAGCTTCAAACAGTGTCAGCTATGTGGTCAAACAGGAGCAAATTGCGACGTCCAAGAGGGATAAAAGGGCAGACATGAGACACAAGTCCAGAAATGACCAGTGGCTCCCCTTCGCCAAAATCGGGTGCGCCCTCGGGGCTCCAAGAGCTTGGCACCCATCCAAAAACGAGGAAAAACAAGGAAACTCGGCTTCCTCCAGTCTGGACACATCTTTTCAGGTGCTTCGGATGGATCCGAAGTGTATGGAAAGTGGCCGTTTGAGTCGTTTCTCATCCTGAGCCCTTCGCCTGAAGCGACTGGCTCAGTGGCTCAGTGGTTCACCGCAATGGGCTCTGAATTGTTTCCCCGATAAATTATTCTTGATGGGGGGGAGGAAGGGAATCGGGTCTAAGCGAGATCTTGTCAGGGTATTGGTCTTCTATTGTATTGGTTCAAACTAATCTCCAAATGTCAGATTGGGATGGCTAAGGTGCCGGGCCTGCCACCAGCACTAGAAGCCAATGTCAACAAGACTTACGACCTTTTCCATACCATCTTTACTTCTGTGCCTCATCTTCTTGTGAAAAAAGGGCGATCTTGTGCGCTTAACAAAGTGCAGAGCCCTTCTTCCTACCACGGCCCCTTTGCCTTAACCTCCCATGCAACGTTCGCGCTCTCTGGGTCTCCCTGCCCTCATTCAGGATTGCTTACAAACAGCGGTGCCTGGGGAGGAAGTCTCGTATCCCCGCTTGAAGGAAGCTTACAATACAAACTGGCCACCAGGCGATCATCAAAAAAAACTGGCTTCTCAGGTGACTTTTTGGGATCCCCCAAGTGGCTGATCCGTTTGCGTTCTCTCAAGGATAACACCCACGTCCTGTTCAAAGATCGGAGCAGAATCGTTGGCACTTGCATTCAAGGTCTGAGCCTCCTGCAAGCGGCCCGCTGACAAGGTGTGTCGACAAAAAAAATGACACGCGACAGCCTGTATCTGGCTTAAGGGAGGCTAACATGACCGAGCCTTTGAAACATCTCGTCTGTCATGGTCGTTGCTGTCCCTGACACGAGCCATAATCAGGAACACCACTTGTTAAATATCAACAACCTAAACGCATGAGAATTCGGGGCCATCGATTGAGGAAACACCAAAGCGCCACTTGGACAAACCTCAAGCCCATAGGAGTCTTTTTGGTAAAATAGATGGCCCTGGTAAATGGAGCAAAACCAATCTAAACCAGTGGAACGCATCTACTTCTAAGCAAACTAACCTAAAAAGGACACCGAAACGCTCGAGACCTGCTCTACAAGCGTCCAGAGTTTCTCCGCGCGCATCGCTCGCGCCATCTCTCGGCGCGCTTTGTCGAATCGCTCGCGCTTCCTCGCCCGCGCACCCTTCTGGGCGCGCGGGTTCGCAGAGTCGCGGTGTCACAACATACGCAACCCCTCCTTTGGCGTCTTAAATAGAGGATCTGGAAAGATCAAACACATCCCTTCTCGATTCCTGGGAAAGCTCAAGATCGCCCCACTGCAACTCAACATGGAACCCTACCATCGTTTTTAGAAGAAATCGGCTCCCTTTGTCTGCTCTCCATGTTAACTTGCAGGGGCGTCTTTCTTGTGCTGTTTTGGCACAAAGCCACACAGAACATCCCAGTCGTTCTTCCCGGCAGCTCGGCCATCACTTGAGATCTTCGATCAACTGAACCACATTGCCGAAGATGCCTGGGCCGCAGCCCGGGTGACCAACGCCTACCTCCATAGGCGTCCCTTTAGGGGAAATAGATGGCCCTAGATGACTAAACCACCGGGTAAGCCAGGGATCGGCATCTATTTCAAGCAAAACAACCAAAAGGGACACCTGTGCTAGCCTCAGTACCTCCGTTTGCTTCAGTGCCCTGGAGAAAAATAAGCTCAGGCGGTATCCTCAACATCACAGGAAGCCCCGCCAGAACCCTCCCTGAAAGCTGCCCCAAACCACCCCAGCGCCAACTATGGGCAGAGACCCCATAGTTTCCAGCTGTTGCGGCACAAGATTTCCAGCAGTGATAGATTCCCTTCAAAACCATAAGTTAAGACTAACCCCGAAGTATTTCGACAGAAACCCAAACCTCATTCGCTTAAGTCACCGAGAAAAATACAACATATTTCCAGAAGTGATAGATACCCGCCCGGTAAGACCAGGCCTAGGAGAAACTTAACACATATTCTTGAGCAAATGGTAGCAACAAAGAAACGAACAGCCGAACAATAATTTGTTTTTGCTGTTTGTAAAAAAGAAAGAAAGAAGAAGTGCTAGGGCAAAGAATCCAGTAGTGATAGATACTTCCAATTGGTTAAGGCCCCAGGAAAAAACAAATATTTCCAGTAGTGATGAATTCCTTTTAAGGCCAACAAGGGAGAACAAACATTCTTAAGCAAATGGAAGGATACCCTTTAAAGCCAGGGAAAACAACACATACTCTTGTAGGTCCTCCAGTAGAGAGGCTAGAATAAGGGTACCCTTCTTTCTGTAGTCTATTTTAGTAGGGCTCCCCTCCCAACCAAAAAAAGAAACGGTAAACGGGCACCTAGCTGGGGGAGCTAGACACATACTCTTTACCTGCCCAGCTGCTGCGGCCCACCATCTCCGCTTTGGGCGAGGCCAAGTTGGCGCTGGGCGTTCGCACGTGGGCTCCGAGGGTGTGGCCCGCGTTGCTGTTGCCTCGCAAGGAATCGTCTCATGGGTTGTTTAGAGGAGAATCCATTGGGGGAAAAAAACGGGGAAACCGCTCATTTCGCTGGAAAAAAAACGGGATGTTTAAAAAAAAGTCCACAGGAAAACCACTCTTTTTTTTTTCAAAAGGGAATCCACAGATTCACCTGATGTTTTTGGAAACCATATGGGCAAACGTCTCAAAGTGTGAGGCCACGTAAACCATGCCTTTGGGACGTAAACCCTGAACAAGAATCGCTGGCGGAGTATCCCCTTTGTGGATTTCGACCGGGAAATTGAACCCTTTTTGAGCACCGCAGATGCAGGCCAAGGCCATAGTTGCCACAGGAACCTTCATGATCGTCGTTTTTCGCCAGAAGAGGCTGATGACCATTCTTGGGGGAAAAAACAAAACGAAACACATCCTGTGCTACACCTAACATGTAGACACCCTTGGAAACAGCTGGTCTAGGTGGAAATTAGCTTGGCAAGAGTGTACACTTTCAGGAACCCTGGAGGAAGACTCCCACCAAGGGTCATATGGGTGGCTCGCCGTTTCTTAAGTTGCTACCAGTGTTCTCACTCTTTGGATGTAAAATTTGGGGATTCCCCCTAGAAAAACGACGCACCCATGTGTGGTTGCACAGTCCCACAAAGAAATCTGTGCTTTCCCTGAGTGGATTTTAAATGGGTGTTTTGACTCACAACATGTCCTACAAGATTCTGGGCACACAAATTGTGCATGCCCTCTTGGGGGAACCATTTATTTTTCTAGGTCCTCCAGTCGAGAGGTTAGAATAAGGGCACCAACTTTTTCCTGTCGTCTATTTTAGTAGGGAACCCTCCCAACCCAAAAAAAGGTTAAAAAGGGCACCTAGCTGGGGGAACCCTTCATTTTGATCGTGGCTAATATGCCCAAGGGGATTTGGGAACCATGGCTCAAATAGCTCTGCATTCAGTTCTCCCTGTGTGGTGGTTTGAGGGTCCCTGTTTTAACAACCCTCGCATGGTTTCCGCCTTGATTATAGCACTCACCTGGGGGTAAAACCATCCAGCAGGGGTTTCAGGTTCGTGAACGAGAGCAACTAGCGCTGATTCGACTAGGGGTGATCAAGCATGTGGCAAAACTTGTTGGGGTTCTGCCAAAGTTTAGCTTGCGCTTATACTGTCATCCATGAGCTCTAAACATCAACCGCAAAAACCAGGGGGACGAGCGCTAATTGTTCAAACATCCTATTCGGGGAAAGGGAAGCAGGCCCCCAAGTCCTTCCAAATGATCCATGGACTCGTAATTTATGACTGAACCTCATAGATCGGCCAGCAACTTGGTCGCTTCCCCT